TCAAAAATATTCATTTTGGAAAAACACAAAAATAAATTATAATTTTTAATAAAAAAAAATTAAACTTAAAAGTTTTGAATATTTTGTGATTTTTAAAATTATACTTGTTTTGATAAATAGTCGTGTTTACAATGAGTTTTATTAATATAATCCAAAACTTTGTCAATGTTTTTTATGAAACTCCTGCATACAATTTGGACCTGATATTAAAAGAGATATATAACATCAATAAATATATTTCAAATTTATGTTAATATCAGGTCGATTTTGAAATGAAAAATATTTTTGTATTTACCAAATTGGGATCCTTTTGCTAACGAATTTCCCTTCTGATCTGCAGGTACAAACGGTCTGCGAAGACGCGGCCGACAGACATACACCCGCTACCAGACGCTCGAGCTGGAGAAGGAGTTCCACACGAATCACTATCTGACCCGCAGACGGAGAATCGAGATGGCGCACGCGCTCTGCCTGACGGAGCGGCAGATCAAGATCTGGTTCCAGAACCGGCGGATGAAGCTGAAGAAGGAGATCCAGGCGATCAAGGAGCTGAACGAGCAGGAGAAGCAGGCGCAGGCCCAGAAAGCAGCGGCGGCAGCGGCTGCGGCGGCGGCGGTCCAGGGCGGACACTTGGATCAGTAGATCCGAGGATCTGTGGATCAGCAGATCTATAGTTCAGTTGATCTGCAGTTCTGCAGTTCTTCAGATCTATAGGGTCGAATTAGGCGGAATGGCGCAGAGACAGATACAAAGCAACTATATTGTAACAAATGAACTATTTACTTAAATGAATAATATTTAAATATTTTGATGGTACTTGTGCGAATACGAAACTTAACCTAAATCGAACCTAATGGAATTATTTCAAGCGTTTGAGCAGCAACCGAAAATACGTAAATGAAACAAAACTACAAACTAATTAACTAGGCTAAGTAAATGAAAGTAGTGGAAAGAGCGCAGATTATAAACCTACTTAGACGTAAACGAGGAAAACCAACAATTTTAATTTAGTTTCAAACGAAAAATTTAAAGATTCGCAAGCGTAAGATTTATGTTATCCACACTTAGAGAGATCACTCGAAATTTAAACCTCTGTCCTGCCCCTTTTGTTGCTTACTGCTATGTTTAAATTAATTTTCGCGAAAAATACTCAAAAAATTAAAAAACTAAAAAAAAACTATACGAATATAATGTTAAACGCGAGCAAAATTCTGTTGATATGAATTTTTGGTAAAAACCAGTTCTAAACCAATTTAAGATACGTAACAAAGGAAACGAAAAACAAAAAGAAAACTATTAAACTTTAACTTAAATATAAATAGAATTTGTTAGCCAAGTAAACATATTGCGAAACGAAAAACAAACGTTTTTGGGAGGATCGAATATTTGAATGTGTATAGTTTGTGCTTATTAAATAAAATAATGCAATTTTAGTTAACTCTGTTTATTTGTAAACGAATTTGTTTAGTTCTCGCCCAAACGACTAGAGTGAAGCTGTTTCTTTAAGTAATGTGTAGTGTGTTTACCTTTTAAATTAAATTAATGCCTAATTTTATTATTATTATGTTTAGTTTAATGACAAGCGTTTATGAGATTATCCGACAGAAGCGACGAGAAGAGGAGTACAACAAACCGTTTGCTCCGGCAAACGCAAATAAATTATTGGTTTTGAAAAAATCTAAAAAAAAAACAATGAGAAAACGAATTCGATTGTTGTGTTATTATTTTAGTTCTGCCATTGCGATTTTCTGTTCTCCCAGTGTAATTAGAGCCTGAGTTGTTTGAGAGTTCGCGGGATGCCCGCTTGCATGCGAAATTGCTTTTGATCTCGTTCCGTTAATTGATCGTAAGTTGTACGCTCTATAGAGATACGCATACCCATACCGATAACGATAACGATTACGATTACGATACCGATACCATATATAGTTTAGTGGATCCAACGAGCTGTGCTCGAATCAAGCCACACGGTGTGTCCCGAAACATCATCCTTCAGTTGAGTTTCCGAACTTATCCCAGTTGGGGGCCATCCGAAACGATGCCCTGCACAAGATGTATACGTAACTAGAGCCTAAGATTCGATTATAGATATACATATATATAATTCTTGATATATATATTATATTTATGTATTTATATATATGGAGATCGAGTATAAATGGACAAACAATAAGAGAGTAATATCTGCGGAACGGAGGCAGATGCAAATACGTAAATAAGAATAAGTTAAATGTTATAGATTTTAAATGCAACGGCATATGCTAGCGCAGATGCGAACCGAAATACGTTACTGTATACATACACTGAGCGAAACGAGAACGTGAAAGTGGCGAAGGAGAGGCGTGGATTGATTGGGGTATTCCCCGCCACCGCAAACCAAGAATAGACGCTAAAATACAATACTTAAAGATTTAAATGTGGATTATCGTAGCAACAGATATACGTAAATAGAGACCGATTCGGAGGAGTCTTGCATATAGTACTGCATCCTACCACTTACCTACTACTAACTTACGTAATACCAGTGCATTCGTAGTAATAATAATCGCTACATACGTGTACATTGCTAGTGGCTTTTACTTTAAGCTCTGCGACCCGCTCCAGATCGAGACTACTACTTTTCCTAACTACATACGTATTTCCATCAGATCAGTCAGACCTACAGATACTTTGCAGCTACATTTTCTACTCGTACTTCCCTCCCCGCGATCGCCGATTGGGCCCGCAGGCTCCGTTTATACTTAATCTATGTAACTCTAATTTAAAGCCATTCTATGTTAGCTCCGTAAGTTGTAAATTATCAATATAAACTATACGTAAAAAGAACAAACACAAAACAAACAGCAACCAGTGAGAATGTGGAAAATGAAACAAATAAATTAAACAAAGCGATTTAAACAAATTATGAAATGCCCTTGGGTTTTTATTGACAAGCAGTGGGATTGATTTTGGCAATGAATTTGGAAAATTACATAAAAGGAAAATAGGAAAAAATAATGGAACAAACTTTCGGTTACTCAGGGATTGGCTAGCCACCAACTCGATTTCTTGCCCATCCACTTTCTGGTTCTTCATCTATCAGCTTTTCATCGTCTGAAATATTATGTAGGGCGTTAACTTGGTAGGGATAAATATGTTTATATCGTCCCGTTCCTTGATGGTCAGAATGGGTTTAATGGCCAGGCTGGTCAACTGGGTTCTAGCCGGCCATTAACAACTTGATGATGATGAATCGCCTACAGTCACTCCTTGTAAGCGTTCAAAATTGTGAAATTGAGATTAAATAGAGATTAATGAGAATAATATCAGACCGCAAAGTAACCTTCCTTAAGTTCTTCCTCTGATCTGAACCTCCAAAGAACATCTTTTATGGAAAACAACTGTTTTTATATCTAATAGAATACCTCCTCTATTTACCTGGTGTACCGAAATTTTCAAAAATGTCTTGAATGTAAACATTTTTGGTTTTTTGCAAACTTTACAGTAAAGTGTTTAGTCACGCGCCTCTTGGACTTCCAGGAAAGTGGCTCGTCCAGGTCCAACGGTTGGTTGCCATGTCGGTTAAGAAGGTCCCTAGCTAAACAAAAAAGACAATCAAAAGATTTCGAGAAGACTCAGAAAGGTGCCTAACACCTTGAAAAAGTGTCGAGAAACCGTCTACATCTGCGTTAAACCCAACAGTGGTCACACTGCCCCGATGTAAGCTCTGTGTCGCGAAATTTCCCGTTTCGCCGCACTTTCCGCGTGTAAAAAATGCTGTCGAAGGTGGACAGAGGTGGGGGGCAGGTCGCCGGGATCGGTTTTCCGGGGAAAGTGCTAGAAATCAGCACTTATCCTGTCGCGCGTGTAGACCCTGTTGAAAATACAGTGCTGCCAGACAGTCAAACTAAACTTTCACAGTTTTTCCGTAATTTCTCTGTTTTTCGACCTCGCCCCCCGCTGTCAGACCCCTCATAAGTTGCATCCCGATCCCCCGCATACGCCCCGATCCTGGGCCCCGTGCATAAGTGCGTAGGAGGAGCTCCCAAGCCGCAAGACCGCTTTCATACCCTCACGACTGCCAGCATTGCCAACCTCAACAGATCAACATGTTATGCGTGTGAGTGTACTGTGGACTACAACCAATTTGGGAACACTGTAGCTAAGTCACCAACCACCGATAAGTGGTGTACAAAACTAAAAAATACCATCATAATGTTTAAAATGAATATTTTAGCGATGTTCGCAACCACGTATTTAATTGCATCACGGACTCAGCCCATTTAACGCCAAACGTCTTCAACGCAAAATTAAAAAAACATAAAACTAATGGTTATTAACGTTTTTTCCAAGAAATCGGTCTTGTCTCCAACTGCCACTAATTTATTCGAAATCAGGACTCCAAAATACATTGATCCAGAAAATTTTAAAGTAATCGGATGTCGGAGCTTTTGTAAGTATACAACCCCGTATTTAATTGTTATAGTTGAAACATATATATAATCTATTTGGATAGTGTTACGACGATCCTTTTGATTTTATTCGATTTGCATTAATAAAATGACTTAAATTAAAAAAAATCAAAAAAAGAAACAAGAATTCAATCATATTTCAGATTTTAAAAGAAAAACTGTATTTTAAAGAACATCCATGTCGCTGGCCCAAAAGATATCGATTCAACTTGAAAACTATTCGTCTTTCCAAATTAAAGGTAAAAATAATAATTTTAATTATATGTTACTTGAAAAACTTTAAAGAAATTAATTCATTTGAATATAGTTAAGTAAAAAGTTTAAAAGCACCTAGTTTCAAATCAAATTAGCTTTTTTTATGCCATATTGATAAGCTCAAACATTAATTTTCAAAACACACTATTCATTTGGCCATCAGTGTGGAATCAGACACATTAGACTCTTTGCAGTCAAATCGATTTTGATGGGGTGCTCTTAAAACGTGTTTTGTGATTATTATTATAAGATCCAGCTTGAACATACCTCAGATCAGTTCCCTTTGTGAGCTCGGTCGCACTCGTTCTAAGCTCGGCGGCACGTGCCCCTCCAATCGACACTATCACTTCGCACATATTTTAACCAACCCAATTCCTATGTGAGTGTTTTGTGTTCGCGAGTGCATTACTAGTGCATCAGAAAGATCCATTTAAACCCCGAGACTATGCATCTTAAATCGATCCTATCAAATCTACTGTTCTTTTGCGCCGTCTCTTTGAGGCTCAAACCAAGTGAGTAAAGTTCAAAATGATAATACAAACCGAACGGCAATAAACCTTTTCCGTACATATATGCGAGCGTGTGCTGTACAGTGTACACATACTGGCGTGTACAAATTGGTTTACAAAACAAAGTTCTCTCGGAGAGAAAGTCTCAAAACAAGATCTGAGCCGGTTCATCTTGAAATCACGCGTTGCATTCCCATCAGTCATCTTTGTTTATCTCAGATTTTTAATTTGTTTAGTATAGACCAGAGAGTACTTTGAATTTGAATCAAAAAAGAGTGTTTGCGGAAATATGTAATATCAAAAACCGGATATTTAAGCTAATGCCGGCAGTTTTAACGAGAAATTCGCGATTAAAATATCATATTCTTAAGATCAGTTCAAGTAATCACAGTTAGGTTGATTTATTTATATATTACAATTGACTACAAATTTATAGAAAATTATTCATTTCTAGGTACATAGGCTTATTAGTTACTTATATATTATTACAATCTATTTTAAAGGCACAGCCGTGAGATAATGTCGATGCATATTTATATAAATATTTAAATATTTGCACATACTGATGTTGGTTATAATGATTGATTTCAAACTCTTTAATATTCGTTAAAAATTGCTGATAATATTTGATTTAAGTTATTGTTAACATCATTTAAAATTTCAAAATTTGTCTTATGAAGCATAAAGGCAGGTCTCATAATATAAGGCAGACCTCATAATATAGTTAGGTACAAAATAATTGACGATCTTTATTGCAGTATTTGCGGAATGTGAGAGCTCCCAATTTGAGTGCGACAACGGCAGCTGCATATCGCAGTTTGATGTCTGCAACGGCGACAAGAACTGCCCGGATGGCTCCGATGAGACGGCCCCGACTTGCGTCTCCCATCGGAGGCACTGCTCCAAGCACTTCCAGTGCACCTACGGGGCATGTGTGATCGGGACGGCGGCCTGCAATAAAATAAATGAATGCGCCGATGGCTCGGACGAAACCAAGTTGCGATGTGGCAACGAGGACGATATACGGCAGCACGATCGCCTTCTTCAGGGAAATTGCCAGTATGTACTACAGCATAGAGAATAGCTAAAAAGAAATAGACATTCACATAGAAGGTTTGTCTTTTAGAGCGAGGATAAAATTAATTATAAACAAGAAAGGAAAGCTAACTTCGGGCGGAGCCGAAGTTGATATACCCTTGCAGAATACTCTGTAAATTATAGTCTCCAAAATTATTCATATGATGCATTCTTCATACTTATAAACGAGGACGGAAGCTAACTTCGGCAAGCCGAAGTTTTAATACCCTTGCAGACTTTGCCGAAATTGCTAAAAGTGAAAAAGTAGCGAAAGGAATAAGGTATACATAAGTAAACTAGATTTGCATCGTTTCAAGTCAATTGCTTTTATACTGCAAATATGTCATATACAAATAGAAACAAGAGAGAACGCTATAGTCGAGTGCCTCGACTATTAGATACCCGTTACTCAGCTAAACAACTTAATATAAATATGCCTTCTTGTATGTTTTTCGCCGCTCGAATTAGCACCTTGGCCAGCTGTTCCAAAGTCATCCGTTAGATGGCGCTATTGTATTGCGAAATGAAAGGCGGAAATGTCGGCGCTAGCCAGGCTTAAGCGTTTAATGGGTTTTTGGGCGTTAGAGTGGGCGTGTCAAAATTTTATTAGGCCAATCGATAGGTATTGACGAAACAAATACATATCAATTAAAATTTTCATAATAGCATAAAAACTGTGGCCACAGTTTGTGGCTTGTGGGCGTCAGAGGGGGCGTGGCACCATTTTGAAACAAACTTGCGCTGCGTTGGAACTCCTAAAATCTACATGCAAAATGCCAATCTTCTAGCTTTTATAGTTTCCGAGATCTCAGCGTTCATACGGACAGACAGACAGACGGACAGACAGACGGACAGACGGACATGGCTAGATCGACTCGGCTAGTGATCCTGAACAAGAATATATATACTTTATAGGGTCGGAAACGCTTCCTTCTACCTGTTACATACTTTTGCACGAATAAAATATACCCTTTTACTCTACGAGTAACGGGTATAAAAATGGATACTTTCGCAGCCTTTAACAATTTTTCCTATCTCCTTTAAGATATAGACTTCCGAGCGGCAAGCGCTTTTACCCTAACCAAGATATGCGTAAATAAATAAGAATTGGAACAAGAAAGGAAAGCTAACTTCGGACGGAGCCGAAGTTGATAAACCCTATCAGAATATTCTGTAAATTATATTCTCCAAAACTATTCATATGATGCATTCTTAATACTCAAACACCATAGTTATGGCATTTCCAATCGTTCAGTTATATGGCAGCTATTGGATATAGTCGGCCGATCCTTATGAAATTTGGTAGGTCGGATTGATTGGCAAAAAATAAAACCCATAGAAAATCCCAACTTCCTAACTTTGCAAACACCAAAGTTATGGCATTTCCGATCAATCAGTTATATGGCGGCTATAGGATATAGTCGTCCGATCCTTATGAAATTTGGTAGGTCGGATAAATTGGTCAAAAATAAAACTCATAGAAAATCCCAACTTCCTAACTTTAAAAACATCAACGTTATGGCTTTTCCGATCGTTCAGTTATATGGCAGCTATATGATATAGTCGCCCGATCCGGCTCGTTCCGACTTATATACTACCTGCAATAGAAAGACAACTTTTGGGAAAGTTTCAAGCAGATAGCTTTAAAACTGAGGGACTAGTTTGCGTAGAAACGGACGGACGGTCGGACAGACGGACAGACGGACATGGCTAGATCGACTCTCATGGTGATGCTGATCAAGAATATATATACTTTATAGGGTCGGAAATGTCTCCTTCACTGCGTTGCAAACTTTTGACTGAAATTATAATACCCTCTGCAAGGGTATAAAAATGTATGTTAGTAGCTTACACACTGCGCGAAATATTCTGGCAATCATCAAATATGGACCGATTTTACCTTATTGTTCCTATGGGAGTTATAGAATATAAACGTCCGATCGGCACCGATCACCTTGATCAATGTAAGCATAAAAAAATACGATTTGGAAAGATTCATGTCAATAGCTTGTATACTGCGCGAAATATCCTAAAAATCATTAAATTTTAACCGATTTTACCCTTTTGTTCCTATGGGAGCTATAGGATATAGACGTCCGATCGTCACGCGCTTTTACCCTGATCAAGGTAAGCATAAAAAAATAAGATTTGGAAAGATTTATGTTAATAGCTTTTACACTGCGCGAAATATCTTTCATTCTTGCAAGTTATATCCGATTGTTCCTATGGGAGCTATAGCATATAGACATCCGATCGGGGCGGTTTTCAAACTCGATCTGCGTACACTTGTTTTAGAACGACTGTGAAAGTTTCAGATCGCTAGCTTTTAAACTGAGCTCGCAAACGGTATTGAAACAGACGGACAGACGGACGGACGGACAGACGGACATGGCTATATCGACTCCCCTATTGATCCTGATCAAGAATATATATACTTTATAGGGTCGGAGATGTCTCCTTCACTGCGTTGCACACTTTTGTCCAAACTTATAATACCCTCTGGAAGGGTATAAAAAATCATTTGCCAAAATTCGAAACAAATCAGCTCGATTTTTCGGTTTTTAAATAAAAACCCTGGGAAATAGTGGTCCGATGTTGGAATGGCATACCTCTTTGAATTCGTTACAAAATTTTCAACAAAATGTGTGACGGCGATTCCGACGTTATTTTTTTTATATTTTCTTTATATTTTTTATATCTGCCTTTTAATAGAATTAAAAATGCAAAACAAAATGTTATTCGTTCCACAAAGGTGCAATGTAAATGCACAAAAATTGGATTAAACAAGTTGTATTGATAAGTATATAAAAGGCACCTATTATTAAAACTCATGCTCTTCGAATTCAAGTCCAATATTGCTTGGAAAATCTAAAAGATTCTTATCTTCATCGAAACTACTGTGAAAGTTGCAAAATTTGAGGTTTTGTACTTAAAAATTAAATTACGGTAATAGTGGCAATAAGTGGCGATTCTAACAATATACATTTTAACAAGAATTTAATTCTCTACAAATCTCAATTAATTTCAGAAGTGGACTCCGCTGGACTTACTTTGTTGCTCTACTTAAAAGTTAGTTTTCTAATTAAAAAACGAGTTTTAGGCAACTCAGAAAAGAGAGTCTCGAACTTGCCGAGAAGTTCACCACTGCGACTGCGTGGTGACAAAATGGTGAGATCGGAAGGGCCAAGAGCACGAGATCGAAAATGGAATGAACTCTGGAGATTGACACGCGAACATCGGAGCCGGATAGACGTACTTAAAAAAACGAGATAAGTCACAATTAGGCAGACCACGCGGTTTTATAGTTGGTAAGCAAAACGGTACAGTCGTGCAGAAATTTTACTGGTGTAGCGAGAAACGCGATTATAACAAAAAAAAACTGTAGGCGGAGATTTGAGATTATACGAGACGAGAAGGCGAGAGAAGCCAATGGTGAAAATTTAATGAATTATAATTTTGACAATGAGTGCGTATTCCTTTTCCCTGACCTTCGACCCGTCTCAATCAAGTCCGTCGAATAAATAAATTAATTATATCGAATGATAATAACCCTAACCCGAGAATCGATCAAACGTAACAGAACCGTAACCCCGACGAGTAATTACTTAAAATATCAGCCGTTAATAGAGTTGTATCGTAGTTATTAATAAAACCCTGGGTCCGCCCGAGTTTTATCGTAATTAGTAATAAAACCCTGGGTCCGCCTGAGTTATATTATAGTTGTTAATAAAACACAGGGCCCGCCCTTGTAGTCACAGATAAATCCCATAACCGACATAGATTTCTACGATAGCTGTTTACCAAGTCCAGGGTCTGCCCGAGCCATAGAGTAAGAAACTATATAGAGGTTTCATTTGCTCTGCCCGCGCTCTCGAGTGACTTTGCCAGTGATGTCACGTAGGGAAAAAACGGAAAAAAGGTAGTTTTTCATTTGTTCGAATCTTGCTTCATTCGAGACCCATGGTGAATTCTTATTGCTGCATTGGTCGCTCTTATTCCTAAGGATTGGTGCGAGAACTCCCCATACTATTGCTTGTGCCTCGCACATGTTGTGGTGAGAAACCGAAGTTGGCTTCGAACATGGCTCTCAGCAGAGCAAATGAAACCTCTATATAGTTTCTTACTCTATGCCCGAGCTCGGTAACCGGTCTTAGGTCTAGTCTCGTATCTTTTACTTCGATTTCCTCTCCTAATTATAAAGACCACGCCTCAAAACTCACTCAATTAACCCACATCGTCCACTGCAAATTTATAAATATTTTGTGGAGGCCCTAGCCAACCCCTAAGCATATTCTGGCTGGGAAAACATCCTTACAAGTGGCATTTAAAAAACAAGAAAGGGTCGGAGATGTCTCCTTCACTGCGTTGTACACTTTTGACCAAAATTATAATACCCTCTACAAGGGTATAAACACCAAAGTTATGGCATTCCCGATCGTTCAGTTATATGGCAGCTATAGAATGTAGTCGGCCGATCCTTATGAAATTTGGTATGTCGGATTGATTGGCCAAAAATAAAACCCATAGAAAATCCCAACTTCCTAATTTAACAAACACCAAAGTTATGGCATTTCCGATCAATCAGTTGTATGGCAGCTATAGGATATAGTCGGCCGATCTCGGCCGTTCCGACTTATATACTGGGTGCAAAGAAAAGAAAGATAATCTAAAATCTTATTCTAGGCTAGGAACTTACAGTTTTGTGTTCAGTTACAATTAATCTAGCGAACGGGAAAGTTTAATTTTTTATTATTTCTATTTTCGAAAAAAGGAAACAAACCCGGAACATGGCAGATGATGACAATGACCATTTCGGTGCCGTGGACTCGATACCATCGATTACCTTTCCGAGGCACTGCTCTGCATTGCGAAAGAATGATTTTGTCATGCTAAAGGGACGCCCCTGCAAGATCGTGGATATGTCTACCTCAAAGACTGGGAAACACGATCACGCCGAGATTCACCTAGTGGGCGTGGATATTTTCACCCAGAAGAAGTACGAGGACCTCTGCCCCTCGACCCACAACATCGATGTGCCGAATGTGAAGTGCGTGGACTTCCAGCTGATCTCCATCAGTGACGATGGATTCGTCACTTTGATGAAGGAAGGAGGGGATCTCCGCGAGGATCTCAAGCTCCCGGACGGGGATTTGGGTGGAGCTATACGCTCCGATTTCGACAATGGCAAGGACCTTCTCTTGACCGTTTTGGCGGCCCGCGGAGAGGAATGCATCATCGCGATCAAGAACAACACGGGTTTCGACGAAGGAGAAGCATAAAGGGTATTGGATGGGAAGCAGCTGGAATAAATGAATAAAACAATGGATGCGATCTTTTCTTGAATTTTTTGGGCTTAAAAATAGTTTTATATAATGAATTAAGGCTAAATAAGGTTAATTTATGATATTCAATTGTTCAATTGATATATTTAGCGAGCAATTCCAAATAGAGCACACAGATAGGGAAGCTATAACATCGTTGTCAAGTAATCTTTTGTTTTATTTACCCATTCTGCGAGTAATTGTGACTTACACAAGGATATACGATCAACACACATTTTCAAAGTTTTGCAGAGAGAAACATTTTGGTTCAAAGATAAACATGATAGTCTAAATTAATATTACAAATGTTACGAGGGAGCTCTTTTTGGAGCAGCAGGCCATGCTTGTCCGTTCACAGCACCTAGACATCCTAGCTTATAGCCGAAAATGCCACAATTCTGGAGAAATCTTTGGCGTGTACTGGACTCCCTTACAGATCCACCTAAAAGGTTGCAGGACCGAGTTGTTCTGGGCGTTTCCGCAAGCAAGCACAGTCACCTGACTCATCTGAGTCTGCAAAGTGAGAGGAGTATCCCCCTGCAACAACATACCCGATTTCTCATTCCATCTATAAGTCGCCATGTGGTCTTATCGCCCAGCACCTTGGAGCACCAGAAAACCCGAAAGGTGGCAATGCAGGCGAAAACATCAGCCTTTCAGAATTTTGTGCGCGAGATGTACGATGGATACTACGACCTTGTGCTCTCACAGGAGCGAAGAAAACACGGCTTGGATCCAGAACAACAGCTCTACATTCGAAGGCTGGGATACAAGGATCTTCTGCGACTTCAGGGATTGGCCAATGACTTGTGGAAAAGGATGGACAGGGTACGGAAGCAGAAGTACAAGGATCTGGCCCTGAAGGCGCTGCGTCGCCGTAGCCTGCGTCTGCCCCCCGATCCCTTTCGAATACCACCACATATCAAGAGATCATCCAAAAGTTTAATAAAAAAAAATCTGTTTTTATTCGGTTTTTAAAACCACAATAAACAGAGGAACTAACATGTTAATCTTCCTATTAATAATGCATTAAGTTATCACGAAACTATTGTGTACAATTAACAAAAACCAAATCTTGGATTTTTAAAGAATAAATTAATGTTTCTTAAATAATGCGAGAAACAGCGCATCTAATAAATTTGTAATGCTTACTTGGAAAGTGGGTGCTTATAGTTTTTATTTACCAACTTCCTAACTTAACAAACAACAAAGTTACGGCATTTCCGATTAATCAGTTATATGGCGGCTATAGGATATAGTCCTCCGATCCTTATGAAATTTGGTAGGTCGGATTGATTGGCCAATTATAAAACCCATAGCTTCCTAACTTTACAAACATCAAAGTTATGGCATTTCCGATCAATCAGTTATATGGCAGCTATAGGATATAGTCGGCCGATCCCGGCCGTTCCGACATATATACTGCGTGCAAAGGAAAGAAGGGTGTGTGCAAAGTTTCAACTCGATAGCTTTAAAACTGAGAGACTAGTTTGCGTAGAAACAGACAGACGGACAGACGGACATGGCTATATCAACTCAGGAGGTGATCCTGATCAAGAATATATATACTTTATAGGGTCGGAGATGTCTCCTTCACTGCGTTGCACACTTTTGACCAAAATTATAATACCCTCTGCAAGGGTATAAAAATATCAAATAAAACTAGTCTCAAGAAGAGCACACTGTATCAATGTAAGCCAAATAACAACTCATTCATGAAAGTGGATTGGATAATACCAAATATCTCTTCAGATATGTAGTATATGTGAAGAACTTCAAAACTAGTTAGGTTTAAGTTATGAATGTATTTTTTAAAAATTTTAGAAGAAAAACTATTATTTTGGGTATATTCCTTTATTAAATTGAATACGAATATGTTATAGGTTATAGGTATAGCGACGCCCACAAAATTCGGTTAAAGCTTATTAATGTCGAGCAAGCCGTTGTTATCTTCAAGTTTTAGTCTTGGCCGATTCCCGTATGTTAAACTTGGGAACTCGATCTTTTCTGGCCAGTATTTTATTGGAATTATCCTCGATATTAATGGCACTGATGATTAGATTGACGCGTCGCTCAATAACGCCAATAACTTTACGTTGTGCACCGTTAAAAAAGACTTCGTGCTAAGCACATTCAGGATGGGGGCATTGTCGCAGGCTAGTTGTCTGTAAAGCATTTAGCCATTAGTTTATAGGAAAGTAAAATCCTACAAGGTCTCACCTGAATATATCCTCGATGCCCTTGAGAAGCTGGTCTAGTCTGATGATCAGGGTGCGCTTCTTTTCCCTAGTCTCTTCAGCAAGTTGCTCGATCCGCTCCTTTTCGGCATTCAGATAGTCCAGCGCCTCAGTCTTGAGCTTCAACTCCTTTTCTGTCTGCTCCGATTTCTGACGTTCTGTGAATTAGAGTTTCTATAAATCGGTTCTATAATATCCAGGATATCCTTTCTGTAAGCCCACCTATTTCATCCTGCAGCTCTTGTGTGGAATCGTTCAACACCTCCACCTCGTGGCTCAGTTCGTTCACATAATTGAAGAGGGCAAAGTTTTCGTCCTCCTGGCGCTTGAACTGGGCCACCAGTCGCTCCGCATCCTCCTCTCCGTAGAGCAGCTTGATTTTCTCGATAATCTCCTTGTACTCCAGGAGTTGCCGCTCGTAGGTCTCCTTCTGGCTCTGCTTTTTGTCCAGCTCGCGCTGCTCCAGCTCTGGATTGAGTCGCTTCTGGCCTTTTATTTCAAAGAACTTCTGCAACTTGGCATCGTGCTCCAGGCGACGCTGCATCTCGCGCATCTCCTGGATGTGCATCACCTTGTCGTTCTCGTTGCGGTCCTTCAGTACGGACAGCTTGTTGCAGAGTTCCTCCCGCTGGCCAGCGTCGACTGGTCGATAAGATCCATGATGAATGATGCATTTTTGGTAAAAACCAGTTCTAAACCAATTTAAGATGCGTAACAAAGGAAACGAAAAACAAAAAGAAAACTATTAAACTTTAACTTAAATATAAATAGAATTTGTTAGCCAAGTAAACATATTGCGAAACGAAAAACAAACGTTTTTGGGAGGATCGAATAATTGAATGTGTATAGTTTGTGCTTATTAAATAAAATAATGCAATTTTAGTTAACTCTGTTTATTTGTAAACGAATTTGTTTAGTTCTCGCCCAAACGACTAGAGTGAAGCTGTTTCTTTAAGTAATGTGTAGTGTGTTTACCTTTTAAATTAAATTAAAGCCTAATTTTATTATTATTATGTTTAGTTTAATGACAAGCGTTTATGAGATTATCCGACAGAAGCGACGAGAAGAGGAGTACAACAAACCGTTTGCTCCGACAAACGCAAATAAATTATTGGTTTTGAAAAAATCTAAAAAAAAACAATGAGAAAACGAAGTCGATTGTTGTGTTATTATTTTAGTTCTGCCAGTGCGATTTTCTGTTCTCCCAGTGTAATTAGAGCCTGAGTTGTTTGAGAGTTCGCGGGATGCCCGCTTGCATGCGAAATTGCTTTTGATCTCGTTCCGTTAATTGATCGTAAGTTGTACGCTCTATAGAGATACCCATACCCATACCGATAACGATTACGATACCGATACCATATATAGTTTAGTGGATCCAACGAGCTGTGCTCGAATCAAGCCACGCGGTGTGTCCCGAAACTTCATCCTTCAGTTGAGTTTCCGAACTTATCCCAGTTATGGGCCATCCAAAACGATGCCCTGCACAAGATGTATACGTAACTAGAGCCTAAGATTCGATTATAGATATACATATATATAATTCTTGATATATATTGTAACGACCTGATTCTTTATTTCTGCTCGCTACGTAAACGTGCGGCTAGCTCAGAGAGGTTGTGAGTTCGTTCCACCAAATTTATATTGAATGACCGCCCGTGACCAAAGGATAACGCCAGAACTGATTAGGTTGGTGCTGGTTTATTGTTTCTCTAAAATATAGCCTTATTGCTATTAATCTGCTGCCCGTTGTCGCTGTCTTCTGCTGAGCTGCTCCTGGCTCGCTGCTGCGCTGCTCGTGGCGTGCTGCTGCGTCGCTCCTGGCTTACCGCTACGTCGCTCCTGGCCTGCTACTGCGTTGCTTCGGCTTGCTGCTCCGGGTGACTGATATCGGGACGACTCCACCAAAACCCTGGATGTTATGCGAACTTCCCTACCGGGGCCGGCAAGGTGTATCGCCTAGCAGGTGAACCGAAGTTACGCCTTATCGCCTAGCCAACTTTATCGCCTGGCTTCCGGAGTTCAGCCTGGACTTTGTCGGCAAGGTGTATCTCCTAGCAGGTAGAACAAAGTTCTCCCTTATCGCCTAGCCACCTTTATCGCCTGACACCGCGCAAGGACTCCCTAAGTTTGACTTTACCACGACCTAGCACCGTTGGATCTCAGCGTTGTAGCCTCAGCCTTGTAGACTTGTCGGCGGGTCCTCTTTAGGCGGGTCCGAAGTCCGCCAATTCACCGTATGACCTCGTTGCCCTTGCCATATGAGGGTCCAAGATCCGAATGTTTCCCGTTTGACCTGGATGCCCTTCATTTCTCCGGCTTTCTCGCCTCCTCCGCTGTTGCTAGGCCGATCTCCTGCATCGGGATTTGTGGGGAGTTTATGACTCCTCACAATATAATAAAGTTAAGTGGAATACATCGTTGTGTTATAGAAGAAATTAAAATATAACCAACGTATGACTTCGAGTAATTCAATAACACTACATATATTTTATTTACGGAGTTATTAAACGTAGATCCACAATTACAAACCTTCTAGAGCTCACTACATTTGTGATAAAAGGCTTTAATAGTAGTTTTCAAACAGACGTCATTTACACTGACTTTCTGTAAATCACTTACGTCTTATTCAAAAACTTGACCTTTTAGGTTTTCCAGTTCATCTGCTTAAATGGATTTCAAGTTATCTAAATGGCAGGTCACAACGGGTCCTTTTTATACCCTTGCAAAGGGTATTATAATTTTGGTCAAAAGTGTGCAACGCAGTGAAGGAGACATCTCCGACCCTATAAAGTATATATATTCTAGATCAGGATCACCTCCTGAGTTGATATAGCCATGTCCGTCTGTCCGTCTGTCTGTTTCTACGCAAACTAGTCTCTCAGTTTTAAAGCTATCGAATTGAAACTTTGCACACACCCTTCTTTCTTTTGTACGCAGTATATATGTCGGAACGGGATCGGCCGACTATATCCTATAGCTGCCATATAACTGATTGATCGGAAATGCCATAACTTTGGTGTTTGTTAAGTTAGGAAGTTGAGATTTTCTATGGGTTTTATATTTGGCCAATCAATCCGACCTGCCAATTATTTATGAGTATTAAGAATGCATCATATGAATAGTTTTGGAGAATATAATTTACAGAATATTCTGCAAGGGCTCCGCCCGAAGTTAGCTTTTCTTTCTTGTTAAAAATTCATTTTCTGAAATTCTCCGTGTTACCTCCGGTGTCCCACAAGGGAGCCATCTGGGTCCGTTACTTTTTACATTATTTATTAATTATTCCCTCAATTATAAGTCATTCTCGCGTACTTATGTACGCAGATGATGTTAAGTTGTGCCTGCAGTATAAGGACATTTCATGCCATTTAGACTTGCAATCCGATCTAGATAATTTTCAAAACTGGTGCCAAGATAATTTACTAAATTTAAACGGCTCCAAGTGCAAGCTGATGACTTTTTATCGGGCCAATCCGATATACGCGACTTACACGTTAAGTGGCAGCTCTTTGGATAGAATAACTCTTGTAAACGATCTTGGCGTTCTCTTGGACCCTAAACTAAAATTTTCTAATCACATTTCGTCCATGGTTAATAAAGCCAGAGGAGTGCTTGGATTTATTAAAAGGTGGTCAAAAGAATTATATGATCCTTATTTGACTAAAACTTTATTTATTTCGCTAGTCCGTCCGATTCTGGAGTATGGGTCTCCCGTCTGGAGTCCACAATACGGAATACATATTGGTCGTATTGAATCTGTACAAAAAAACTTCCTTCTTTTTGCTTTACGGCGCCTAAACTGGGATGCAAATCTTATCTTACCTTCTTATTCTAGTAGACTTCTTTTGATAAATTTACCATCCCTAGCCAACCGTAGAACGATGCTTAGTACGATCTTTATTTATAACCTTATACATGGTGATATTGACTGCCCCGACTTGTTAAGTCGGCTAAACTTTTCTGTGCCAAGTAGATTAACTAGAAATTATATTCCCCTAATTTTAAATCATTGTAGATCTAACTATGCCTTGCATGAGCCTTTCAGAGTATTATGTTCTGACTATAATAGACTTTTTCCTGTAATTTCAAATCTTGACTCTGTGCCGCTCCTAAAACGATTAATACTTGCTTCATTGGCACAAAATTGATCTATTGAACTATTGAACTATTACTTTTTTCCCCGGACCTTTACCTTTATTTTCCTATCTCGCGTCTATCTTATCGCGAAACGTGCCTTACGATACACGGCTGCGCCCCTCGGTCGGTTGGGCGGGTAAGTGGGCCGTGGGACTCCGCGCGAAAAAAAAAATATATATATATATTTATGTATTTATATATATGGAGGTCGGAATGGAGGCAGATGCAAATACGTAAATAAGAATAAGTTAAATGTTATAGATTTTAAATGCAACGGCAGATACTAGCACAGATGCGAACCGAAATACGTTACTGTATACATACACTGAGCGAAACGAGAACGTGAAAGTGGCGAAGGAGAGGCGTGGATCGATTGGGGTATTCCCCGCCACCGCAAACCAAGAATAGACGCTAAAATAAAATACTTAAAGATTTAAATGTGGATTATCGTAGCATCAGATATACGTAAATAGAGACCGATTCGGAGGAGTCTTGCATATAGTACTGCATCCTACCACTTACCTACTACTAACTTACGTAATACCAGTGCATTCGTAGTAATAATAATCGCTACATACGTGTACATTGCTAGTGGCTTTTACTTTAAGCTCTGCGACCCGCTCCAGATCGAGACTACTACTTTTCCTAACTACATACGTATTTCCATCAGATCAGTCAGACCTACAGATACTTTGCAGCTACATTTTCTACTCGTACTTCCCTCCCCGCGATCGCCGATTGGACCCGCAGGCTCCGTTTATACTTAATCTATGTAACTCTAATTTAAAGCCATTCTATGTTAGCTCCGTAAGTTGTAAATTATCAATATAAACTATACGTAAAAAGAACAAACACAAAACAAACAGCAACCAGTGAGAATGTGGAAAATGAAACAAATAAATTAAACAAAACGATTTAAACAAATTATGAAACGCCCTTGGGTTTTTATTGACAAGCAGTGGGATTAATTTTGGCAATGAATTTGGAAAATTACATAAAATCCCTTATAGGAAAAAATAATGGAACAAACTTTCGGTTGCTCAGGGATTGGATAGCCACCAACTCGATTTCTTGCTCATCCACTTTCTGGTTCTTCATCCATCAGCGTTAACTTGGTAGGGATAAAAAGGTTTATATCGTCCCGTTCTATCCAGGGATTCCTCGATGGTCAGAATGGGCTTAATGGCCAGACTGGTCAACTGGGCATCTAGCCCGGCCATTGACAACTTGATTGGAATCGCCTACATTGGCTCCTTGCAAGATTAAATTACATTTAATAAGAATACTACAAGACTTTAAAATAACCTACCTTAAGTTCTTCTTCTGATCTGGACCTCCAAAGAACTTCTTTTATGGAAAATAACGGTTTATCTCTTATAGCATTACCTCCTCTATTTACCTGGTGTCCCGAAATTTTCAAAAATGTCTTTAATTTAAACAATTTTGGTTTTTGCAAGCTTTACAGTAAAGTGTTTAGTCACGCCCCTCTTGGACTGCCAGGAAAGTGGCTCGTCCAGGTCCAGCGGTTGGTTGCCACGTCGGCACGCTGGTGCAGCAAGGCAAAATACTACAGCTTCACAAGGTCCCTAGTTAAACAAAAAAGACAATTAAAAGAAAAACTTTAAAAATGAGTAGTATTATCGATTTCGAGAAGACTTCTACATTTGCGTTCAGTCCAAAGGTGGTAGCACTGCCCCTATCTGAACCCTGTGTGTCGCAAAATTCCCGTTCCGCACATTTTCCGCGAAATCGTTTCGCGGTTTTTCCCAAATTTGTCAGTTTTTCGACCTCGCCCCCCGCTGACAGACCCCTCATAAGTTGCATCCCGATCCCCCGCTGACGCCACGATCCTGGGCCCCGTGCAAAAGTGCGTAGGAGGAGCTCCCAAGCCGCAAGACCGCTTTCATACCCTCACGACTGCCAGCATTGCCAACCTCAACAGATCAACATGTTATGCGTGTGAGTATAGTGTGGACTACAACCAATTTGGGAACACTGTAGCTAAGTCACCAACCACCGATAAGTGGTGTACAAAACTAAAAAATACCATCATAATGTTCAAAATTAATATTCTAGCCATGTTCGCAACCACGTACTTAAATGCATCACGGACTCAGCCCATTTAACGCCAAACGTCTCCAGCGCAAAATTAAAAAAAAAATTGCTCATCACGATATATTTTATTTGTTAAACATAAGTTATAATATTGCAAAAATACCTTAGACTAATGGTTATAAACGTTTTTTTCCAATAAATCGGTCTTGTCTCATACTGTCACTAATTTATTCGAAATCAGGACTCCAAAATCGGATGTCGGAGCTTTTTGTAAATATACAACTCCGCATTTAATTGTTATAGCTGAAACATATATTTAATCTATTTGGATAGACTTATGACGATCCTTTTGATTTTATTCGATTTGCATTAATAAAATGACTTAAATTATGGAAAAGAAGATAAACATGTGTACATGGAATAGCATGGTATAAACATGTGTATGGGTCAAAAAAAGAAGCCTATTTAATATATTCAATAATTTTTGAGATTTTAAAAGAACATCCATGTCGCTGGCCCACAAGATATCGATTCAACTTGAAAACTATTCGTCTTTCCAAATTAAATGTAAAAATAATAATTTTAATTATATGTTACTTGAAAAAATTTAAAGAAATTAATTCATTTGAATATAGTTAAGTAAAAAGTTTAAAAGCACCTAGTTTAAAATCAAATTAGCTTTTTTTATGCCATATTGACTGATAAGCTCAAACATTAATTTTCAAAAGACACTATTCATTTGGCCATCAGTGTGGAATCAGGCACATTAGACTCTTTGCAGTCAAATCGATTTTGATGGGGTGCTCTTAAAACGTGTTTTGTGATTATTATTATAAGATTCAGCTTGAACATACCTCAGATCAGTTCCCTTTGTGAGCTCGGTCGCACTCGTTCTAAGCTCGGCGGCACGTGCCCCTCCAATCGACACTATCAGTACGCACTTATTTTAACCAAACCCAATTCCTATGTGAGTGTTTTGTGCTCGCGAGTGCATTACTAGTGCATCAGAAAGATATATTTAAACCCCGAGACTATGCATCTTAAATCGATCCTATCAAATCTACTGTTCTTTTGCGCCGTCTCTTTGAGGCTCAAACCAAGTGAGTAAAGTTCAAAATGATAATACAAACCGAACGGCAATAAACCTTTTCCGTACATATATGCGAGCGTGTGCTGTACAGTGTACACATACTGGCGTGTACAAATTGGTTTACAAAACAAAGTTCTCTCGGAGAGAAAGTCTCAAAACAAGATTTCAGCCGGTTCATCTTGAAATCGCGCGTTGCATTCCCATCAGTCATCTTTGTTTATCTCATATTTTTAATTTGTTCAGTATAGACCAGAGAGTACTTTGAATTTGAATCAAAAGAGAGTTTTTGCGGAAATATGTAATACCAAAAACCGGATATTTAAGCTAATGCCGGCAGTTTTATAGTTTTAACGAGAAATTCGCGATTAAAATATCATATTCTTAAGAACAGTTCAAGTAATCACAGTTAGGTTGATTTATTTATATATAATATTACAATTGACTACAAATTTATAGAAAATTATTTATTTCTAGGTACATAGGCTTATTAGTTACTTATATAATTATTACAATCTATTTTTATACCCGTTACTCGTAGAGTAAAAGGGTATATTGTATTCGTGCAAAAGTATGTAACAGCTAGAAGGAAGCGTTTCCGACCCTATAAAGTATATATATTCTTGATCAGGGTCACTAGCCGAGTCGATATAGCCATGTCCGTCTGTCCGTCTGTCCGTCTGTCCGTCTGTCTGTCCGTCTGTCTGTCTGTCTGTCTGTCCGTATGAACGCTGAGATCTCGGAAACTATAAAAGCTAGAAGATTGGCATTTTGCATGTAGATTTTAGAAGTTCCTACGCAGCGCAAGTTTGTTTCAAAATGGTGCCACGCCCCCTTTAACGCCCACAATCGCTTATATACGATTTAAAAAATTTAAATATTTCGGAAAAGTAAAAATGCAGTTTTATTGTGTTTATCAATACCTATCGAAATGTAGAAGAAATTTTTCAAATCGGACCATTCGTTAAAAAGTTATGCGTGATCAAAGTTTCTATCTCCATCTCCCTCACACTTCCTTTACGTGAGTAACGGGTATCTGATAGTCGTGGCTCCCGACTATAGCGTTCTCTCTTGTTTTATTTAAATATTTGCACATACTGATGTTGATTATAATGATTGATTTCAAACTCTTTAATATTCGTTAAAAATTGCTGAAAATATTTGATTTAAGTTATTGTTAACACCATTTAAAATTTAAATTTGTGTTATTTAAAACCGAAGCATAAAGGCAGGTCTCATAATATAGTTAGGTACAAAATAATTGACGATCTTTATTGCAGTATTTGCGGAATGTGAGAACTCCCAGTTTGAGTGCGACAACGGCAGCTGCATATCGCAGTTTGATGTCTGCAATGGCGACAAGAACTGCCCGGATGGCTCTGATGAGACGGCCCTGACTTGCGTCTCCCAGAGGAGGCACTGCTCCAAGCCCTACTTCCAGTGCACCTACGGGGCATGTGTGATCGGGACGGCGGCCTGCAATAAAATAAATGAATGCGCCGATGGCTCGGACGAAACCAAGTTGCGTTGTGGAAACGAGGACGATATACGGCAGCACGATCGGCTTCTTCAGGGAAATTGCCAGTAAGTACTACAGCATAGAGAATAGCTAAAAAGAAATAGACATTCATTTAGAAGGTTTGTCTTTTAGAGCGAGGATAAAATTAATAATAAATTAATAATTAAGTATCTAACGACAGTATCCCAGCCGCACAAATTACTTACTAAATAAAATCCAAGAAGGAGTCTAATATGAGGTTATTTCAAGATGTACCACCAGAATGATATTGTCTTAAAATCAAAAGCTTTTGTATATAACTTTCTTAATAAGGTTAATTTGGATTACGACCTCCTAAATAAACCTAACATTACATTAATCGAATTTGTTCTGTCCGATGTTTATTTTTAAGAAGACTTTAAAAACTCCATAAAAATACCCATTGTTTCTTTCCTAAGCTTCTTGGAGATCAGAGATCTTTAGCTGTTTTCGATATTTCTCTCTTTTAAACAAATTAATTTTTCTAGGGATAATGAGTTCAAGTGTCCCTCCGGAATTTGCCTGGACAAGGGGAAATTCCTGTGCGATGGCAAGGACGACTGTGCGGATGGCTTCGACGAGTCGGTGAATCTGTGCGGTCACATGGAGTGTCCGGCGTACTCCTTCAAGTGCGGGACGGGTGGCTGCATCTCGGGAACCCTGTCCTGCAACGGGGCGAACGACTGCTTCGATGGTTCGGACGAGGCCCCGTTGCTCTGTAACACGACCAAGAAGGTGACCACTCCCGCCGTGGTTGAGACTCCGCTGGAGCTGGTGGGCTGCCCCCTGCCCTTGAGCGACGAACGGCCCATCGTGACGGGCGCTGGCAGCCGCATCCTGACCGGACCCATTACCCGCGGAACCGTGCGCTTCTCCTGCAAGCAGGGCTTTGTGCTGGAGGGCGAGGAGACCAGCTACTGCGCCAACACTAAATGGGGTACTTCTACGATCCCGAAATGCGTGAGTGAGTGGCTCAGTCATGGCTGTTTGCCCTGCATCATTTTTGATTCGCGCTCCTTGTTTTTTCGTAGAATACTGCAGCAGCTCCGGCGAGTTCGATGGGTACTCCACCAAGGCGCTGTGCACCCACAACGGGCAGCAGGTGGACTGCCGCAAGCCGTTCCATCCGCCCGGCACCGAGGTGAAGTTCGTCTGCGCCACCGGGTTTAAGACTCTGAGCAGCCTGCCGGAAATGAGGTGCATGAAGGGCGGCTACTGGAACCGCGGACGTCAGCGGTGCGAGCAGGACTGCGGCCAGATAGCCACGCCCACCAAGAGCTTCTCGGCCAACGGCTATACGATCAACAACACGGTGGTGCCCTGGCATGTGGGCCTGTAAGTGTGTCCCATCCGGACGGTATTAACCAGAGGTGCTAAAGATCCCTTTGTAGGTACGTGTGGCACAACGAGAAGGACTACCACTTCCAGTGCGGAGGATCGCTGCTCACCCCAGACCTCGTCATCACGGCCGCCCATTGCGTATACGACGAGGGCACCCGGCTGGCCTACAGCTACGACACATTCCGGGTGATTGCGGCCAAGTTCTACCGCAACTACGGGGAGACCACGCCGGATGACAAGCAGCGAGATGTGAGGCTCATCGAAATAGCGCCGTAAGTTGGGAAAAACAAAGCTATACATATTCCAAGCCATTTGTTTATCCTCCGCAGTGACTACAAGGGTCGAACGGAGAACTACTACCAGGATCTGGCCCTGCTGACACTCGACGAACCCTTCGAGCTGAGCCACGTGATCCGGCCCATTTGTGTGAGCTTCGAGAGCTTCGCGGAGAAGGAGAGCGTCACGGATGGGGTGGAGGGCCAGTTCGCGGGATGGAGCATCGAGAACAAGCACGAGCTGCAATTCGTGCCGGCTGTGTCCAAGTCGAACTCCGTGTGCCGGCCGAAACTGCGCGACATCCAGTCGGACAAGTTCTGCATCTTCACGCAGGGCAAATCGCTGGCCTGCCAGGGCGACAGTGGCGGAGGATTCACCGGCAAGCGCGAGACCGATGCCAACTCCGCCCGGAAAATCCAACGCCACTTCCTCTACGGGGTGATCAGCAACGCGCCCAACGCAGACCAGTGCGCCCACAGCCTGACCGTGATGACCAACATCCAGTACTTCGAGGACATGATCCTGAACGCGATGCACAGAAGCGTGGAGACCAGGTCCTAAATACGGAAACTTATTAAGCCCCTTTGTGATTAGAATAGATTTAAATGCAGAGATTCGGCGGCCATAGTCTTTTGTTCCCCAGACAATGCGAACTTAAACTAAGTAAAAAATAAATATCGAATAAAACTAGTCTCAAGTAGAGCAGACTGTATCAATGTAAGCCAAATAACAACTGAGAAAGTCTAACGATTAACTCATTCATGAAAGTGGATTGGTTAACTATTAAATAGCGTTACTCTTATTTCATAATACCAAATATATCTTCAGATATGTAGTATATTTGAAGAACTTCAAAACTAGTTAGGTTTAATTTATGAATGTATTTTTTTAAACATTTTAGAAGAAAAACTATTATTTTGGGTATATTCCTTTATTTATTTGAATACGAATAGGTAAAGCGACGCCCACAAAATTCGGTTAAAGCTTATTAATGTCGAGCAAGCCGTTGTTATCTTCAAGTTTTAGTCTTGGCCGATTCCCGTATGTTAAACTTGGGAACTCGATCTTTTCTGGCCAGTATTTTATTGGAATTATCCTCGATATTAATGGCACTGATGATTAGATTGACGCGTCGCTCAATAACGCCAATAAATAGCTTCACGTTGTGCACCGTTAAAAAAGTCTTCGTGCTAAGCACATTCAGGATTGGGGCATCGTCGCAGGCTAGTTGTCTGTAAAGCATTTAGCCATTAGTTTATACAAAAGTCAAATCCTACAAGGTCTCACCTGAATATATCCTCGATGCCCTTGAGAAGCTGGTCTAGTCTGATGATCAGGGTGCGCTTCTTTTCCCTAGTCTCTTCAGCAAGTTGCTCGATCCGCTCCTTTTCGGCATTCAAATAGTCCAGCGCCTCAGTCTTGAGCTTCAACTCCTTTTCTGTCTGCTCCGATTTCTGACGTTCTGTGGATTAGAGTTTCTATAAATCGGTTCTATGATATCCAGGATATCCCTTCTGTAAGCCCACCAATTTCATCCTGGAGCTCTTGTGTGGAATCGTTCAACACCTCCACCTCGTGGCTCAGTTCGTTCACATAATTGAAGAGGGCAAAGTTTTCGTCCTCCTGGCGCTTGAACTGGGCCACCAGTCGCTCCGCATCCTCCTCGCCGTAGAGCAGCTTGATCTTCTCGATAATCTCCTTGTATTCCAGGAGCTGCCGCTCGTAGGTCTCCTTCTGGCTCTGCTTTTTGTCCAGCTCTCGCTGTTCCAGCTCTGGATTGAGTCGCTTCTGGCCTTTTATGTCGAAGAACTTCTGCAACTTGGCATCGTGCTCCAGGCGACGCTGCATCTCGCGCATCTCCTGGATGTGCATCACCTTGTCGTTCTCGTTGCGGTCCTTCAGTACGGACAGCTTGTTGCAGAGTTCCTCCCGCTGGTCAAAGGCCAGCGTCGACTGGTCGATAAGGTCCATAATGAACTTCTTTCCCTCGTTGAACTGAGTGACCATCAGCTGCCACATGTCATTAAAGTTTGCCCTGGAGTTGTGCAATATAGGGTTAATTAAAATACTTTATAGCAGTTGATAAATATATTCATATTTAAGTAACAATTAAAATAACAGTAAACTAAGGGAAGTTACGCAAGAACATTAATGGTAAACCAGTTCAGATTGCGTTTGGTGACCCTATTTTCATACCTCGCAACACCTATAACTATAATATTTATGGAGTGTACCGAGAAACATATTAGGAAACAATCAAAACAAAGCACCCTAGTGGTAGACCAGACCAGTTTTCGTTTGGTGACCCCGTTTACATACCTACCAACAACTATAACATATTCGTTTATAGAGAATAACTTGAAATCCTTACAAATGAAAATTGTTAAGCCCGATTTCTTCGTATTCTGAATCTTTCTCACCGATCCTGCAGCATGTGGTTAATTGCGTCACGCATCTTGCTGTTTTCTGTCAGGACATCGCTGCACTTTTTGTTTACCACATCCAAGCGATTCTCCAATTTAACCACACTCTTCTGGACCTTGCAAATGGTGTCCTTGTAGCAGTTGTCTGGAACTTCATTGCGACGCAGGGCATCGATCTCCTTCTCCATTTTTCGGATGTGCCCCTCAAGCTCCCAAAGATTGGTGCGCTCATTTTGGAGCACTCTTTGAAGGTCCGCCTGTTGTCCCTGCAATGCTCCCAGGTGCTTCTCCCTCTGAAAATGTTTTAGACTATGGATTAAACTTGTCAAAATCCTAAATGGCCACCCACATTTGTGTTCTTGCGGGCGTGGGTGCCTCCCTCAAGGGTCTTTATCTCGTCCTTTAGCTTCTGGTGTTCCACTTGCAGAACGTTAATCATGTGGTTTTGCTTCTTTAGTCGCTTGGCCTTCTCCTCGAGGAGGCCTCGAAGGTCCAGTTGGAGACCCCGATGTTGGCGTTGGAGCCTCAGAAGCTCGGCAGTGGCCAATTGGTCAAGCTCGCTTTGGTCAGCCATTATGGTAGTTAAGTGATTTCAATCCAGGAATGAAGCTCTTTTATTAAGATATTTTATTGATTTCACGTATAAACAACGTTGCTGGTGACAGGTTGCTTGGTAACGGACTTTTGGAATTCGAATGAGTCTTTTTTGATCTTCATCTATAGCAGGGTAAAAATTAATTAAATTGATCATAATGTTACGAATTTTTATAAGCCATAGATTAACTAGTAATTTATTAGTATAGAAAGTAATGTCAAATGCATGCCTTTATTTTATATCTGCTTTTGCAATAAATATATTCCAATTTAACGTTTCAATTCTGTTTTGTATCGATATTTTAGCAAATGGAGCCCACAGCTATTTATATAGAATTACTATCACTAACCAACTGTTGAATCGTCGGTTCATTTTACTTGCCAGTGCAATCGAATTTAGTAAACATGTCCTGGGAAGAGGAGCCTTCCAACTTCAAGACCTTTTTTCCGGAGAAGTATAAGGACCGACTGAAGCGTTTTCCCTAGATAACCACACACAGAAAGCCCAAAGTGGAGGATATTGACTTGTCCAGCTGGAACGAACTAATATACGCCTCCGTTTAAGATATACTAGTCTAATGATAAATTTAGATCGGGTGGCCGAAAAACGGAAGTAGAAGTCAGTATATCTATACAAAATGGACACTCTTGGAGTGTTTCAGTAGTTTCTGTACCCGCATTTTTCGTCCTGCAAGAAGCCCAAAAATATAATCCACTGCGATGCAAATATGAGCTGCGATTATGGACAGTGGTTCGATTTGTAACCGAAAATTCAAGCGTGTAGCTGAACTACTATAAGCGTCGGGGACATTGAAGCTGCATGCGAAATTACTTACCCAAATGAAGGATTTCTTCAGTTTGAGCAACAACAAGTGAAAGTAAAAAATGTTTATAATTATTTAAACTGTAGTAGAAGGATTTATTATGGATGATTTGTTTCGCAGTGGAAAGTTAATTGTTCATATTATTATTAAAATTAAGATCTTACAAAATAAAAAAAATAGTGTTAGTCAATTTATTTCTGAATTTGATTTCATCTCTTTTAATTAAAAACAATGTATAGTAGTTGTACTACCTTTTTTAATTTGGCGTCTTAGACCACTATCGATAAATGCAGGGATGATTTTTTAGCTATGGAATATCTAATGTTTCAATTCTGGAATATGTTGAGATTGCAAAGCAAAACAGACGATAAGCAATCAGCGGTTTTCTTGAATCACAGGAAACTAATAAACGAGGCATATGGCGAATTCCAGCTCAAGTCTGAGCTCTTCCAGTTTCAAGCCAAGAAGACGCCTCAGGAGAATGGTGGAAAGCAGCCCAAGAAGCGGAAGAAGAATGCCGGCGATGGGGGGACATCCTCCTCGGAAGATTTGCATATGGTGAATGGATATCTCGAGCTTCTGACCAAGCCCAACGCATCGGCTGATACTCCTCCAATAGCCAGGCACTGGGAGGACGCCTACATCGTGCCCCAACTTTATGGAGCCAACGAAAGCGGTCGGATGCAGAAGTTCCAGAGTCAGGATGACGCGCCCAGCGTATACTTAATTCCCAATCGATGCAAGTTCTTCAACCACAACGTGGACAATTTGACAGCACTGCTCCACCAACTCCTGCCCGCCTACGATCTCATCGTGCTGGATCCTCCCTGGCGCAACAAGTACATCCGTAGGTTGAAGCGTGCCAAGCAGGAGCTGGGATACTCCATGCTCAGCAATGACCAACTGTCGCTCATCTCGCTCTCCAGGCTCACACACCCACGATCCATAGTGGCCATCTGGTGCACCAATTCAACGCAGCACCAGGTGGCGCTGGAGCAGCAGTTGCTGCCCAGCTGGCAACTCCGGTTGGTCCACAAACTGAGGTGGTACAAACTCAACACGGACCACCAACTGATTGCTCCTCCTCTGGGGGACCTTACCCAGAAGCAGCCCTACGAGATGCTCTACGTGGCCTGTCGCTCAGATGCTCGTGAGGATTACGGGAAGGACATCTTGAACACCGATCTGCTTCTCAGCGTGCCCAGCATTGTTCACTCCCACAAGCCACCACTGCTGTCGTGGCTCAGGGATTACTTGCAGCTGGAGAATGACCAGAAGGAACCGAAATGCCTGGAGCTGTTTGCCCGATATCTGCAGCCCAACTTCACTTCCATTGGCTTGGAGGTGCTCAAATTGATGGACGAAAGGTTATATGATGTGGGCCAAGAAGGCAACCACTCCAAATTGGAAAATACGTAACCCTGGTCGCCAAGTAATATTTGGAAAACTTTTGTTTTATTTAAGACCCTTTATACAATAAGTAGAAAACCCTGAGCCTATTTGTTATTTACTTCTGAGTAATTGTTATTGACATACTCATCAAATAGTCACTCGTATAATTGTCAAATGAATTTAAATATTGGGCTTTGATTTCGTAAATTACACTGAATTCGTTTCCAATACTATAGATAAATGCTTATTTAATTTATATTGAGTGTATTTAATATTAGAAAGACTGGCATGGAATACAAAAAAATTAAAAAAGCTTTATTAATTATGTAAAAGGAATATTATTGTTTTATTCTGTAAGTTAGCAACGTTGCAATAGGTAAAATTTGTGTTTATTTTAAAAACGTACTAAATCAACCTCCACAAATATCCAAACTGTAAACAAAACAACTATGAGTTTTAACAATTTTATTTGTGTTCTGTTAATGAGAGCAAATGCAGCAGAATTTGTGTGTAGACGGCCTGCGGATGCGTTTCCTCCATCCAGAGAAGACTGCATCGCCTGGCCCAAACTAAATGTTAAACATTTGGGGTGGCGTGTGTGTGGATTTTGTGTTTTTTTTTTCTTTTGAGTGTTAAATTAAGTATTAAAGGATAGTAAGCATTATTAATACACGTGGTTGATCGCAGGCTACTACTCCTGGCCCTGGGCCATGGCGGCCGGGTTGGTGGGCTCGTTGCCGCCGCGCTTCTTGGATCCAGACACGATGTCGTCGATGCGCAGCAGCAGGATGGCCGTCTCCACGGCGGTCTTGTAGGTCTGCAGCTTGACGGCCAGTGGCTCCCAGATGTTCTTCACGTTCATGTCCACGATCTCGCCGGACTCGCCGTCGATGCCCCAGGCGCAGACGCCCTCGCCGGTGTGGGAGGCGTGCTTGGCGCGCAGGGCAGTCAGGGCGCGGATTGTATTGGCTCCACAGTTCTGGGCCAGCGTGCGCGGTATGATCTCCAGGGCGTGGGCCACCGCTGTGTATGGTCCCTTGACCTGTTTGCGCGTTAGCAGTTGGGAGGCAGCCATCTCCACGGCTCCGCCACCGGCAACCACACGCGGCTCCAAAACCAAGTTGCGGGCCACATGCAGGGCGTCCTGCAAGTTACGCTCCGTCTCGTTCAAGATGTCCTTGCTGGCGCCACGCAGCAGGATGGTGCAGGCCTTGGGCTCCTTGCACTCTGTCACAAAGGTAAAGTACTCATCGCCAATCTTCTTGACCTCGAACAGGCCAGCTCCCGTGCCCACATCCTTCTCTGTCAGCTCCTCAGTGCGGTTCACAATGGTGGCACCGCAGGCGCGAGCAATGCGCAGATTGTCAGTCTTGCGCAGCCGGCGGATGGCAGTGATGCCAGCCTTCAGCAGATAGTGCTGCGCCAGATCGGAGACACCCTTTTCGGTGAAGACCAGGTCCGGCTTCACAGCAATGATATCAGCGCAGATGCGCTCAACAAACTCCTCCTCGATCTGCAACATGCGGGTGAAGTCCTGCTCCCCGATGATCTCCACGTTGGTCTGGCTCTCGCCCTTCTTGTATTCCAGCGAGCAGTCCAGCAGCACGATGCGGGGATTCTCGATGTGGCGGCGCATCTTGGCGTGCGTCACGTCCTTGTTGATCATAACGCCCTTCAGCACGCACGACTCCTCAATGGCACCGCCGGGAATCTTCTCCACTTTGGCATAGCTATGGAAATATAAAAAGAATTGCATTTAAATACCAATCTAGTTTGAAATCTTATTAAAATAGTAGTGATATAATATAAATCCCTACTCTAAGCTGCAATAAGTTAAAAATATATATATAAAAGAAGTTACGGTTTTACAGTCTAATAAAAATGTTTCACTTGTTTTCAAAAATTATATATTTTTAACTATAATATAGATAAGCTGCAAATGTTGAACCTACATTATTTTTGTATAATTAAAAAACTTTAATAACTAAACAGTGTTTAAAGCAACAACAATTATTCTATCAACAGATTGAATCATCTTAAATTAGAATAAAATAAATTAAATTAAAGGAAAACAGTCTACACAATGATTGTAAAAAGTTATAAAACCCTCGGAGGCCATTCAATTAATTCCTACCTAAATCATCATTTGATTTGGCAAAGATAATAAAACTACGTGAAATCGGACTAAAAAGGTCCACAAATCTTACCGCTTGATGTCCACCTCCAGACGGCCATTCTCGCTCAGCGTCACCGTCTCGACGGCGTCCAGGGCGATCTTGACGGCCAGGTCCGACCACTTGCCGATGAATTTGGTGCCCACGCAGGCTTTGACCACCTCGGCCATCTTGACCTTGTCCTTGACGTCCAGTTGGACACTCAGCTGCGACTGCAGGTGGCCGACAATGTCCTCGAGTGCCTCGCGGTAGGCGCGGATGATCACAGTGGGGTGGATCTGTTGCTGGAGGAAGGGCTCGGCGGCGGCCAGCATCTCTCCGGCCAGGACGATGACCGACGTGGTTCCGTCGCCAACCTCCTCGTCCTGTGTGCGGGCGATTTCAATCATGCTTTTGGCCGCCGGGTGCTGCACAGTGATCTCGCGCAGGATGGCGTTACCGTCGTTGGTCATCACGATGCCGCCCATCGGGTCCATCAGCATCTTCAGCATGGCCTGAGGCCCCAGGCAGGTGCGGATTACATCGGCGATGGCCTGAAAAAGGAGTTTCAATCAGCAGATGGCCGGGAAAACGCGAAAAACCGAGACCCAAGTCCCAGACATGTGAGTCATACCTTTCCGGCTTGGATATTCTCCAACTGCACTTTGCGGCCCGATTCTCTCTTTGTGTTTTGACCTGCCGGCGGGTAAATTGATTGCTATGGGGCTCTACGAGGCGCAAATTTCATACTCACTCAACACGAGTATTGGCTGCTGTCCACCGAACATGTTTCTGGATTTTTAATTTATTTCTGCGTGAAAACAATTGAACTCGTGCTGGCGCTGCCGCTGTTTGAAAGAGAATGATTGAGGTTAGACCCGCCGATGACACACTATTCCAGAAGGTTCGAAAAAAAACTGAGCGGACCAGCTTGATAATTACTTCTGGCAATCCCTGTAGCTAATTTATACTAACTTTTCACTTACTTTGAGTTAATTTTCTTTAAATTTGAATAGTTTAATTCAAATTTTGTACAATTCGAAGCAGCAGCACTTTTAAATATCGATAGCTTTAAACATTATGTTTACACCGGACGGCATTTCTTATCAATGGGAAGCTTTCAGTAGAATACAGTGACAGTGATCACCGAATTTGTATTGTACAATTTTCAACGCTCTATTCAGCTGGAACTTTTCTACTTGTCTTGCATCTATATGTTATTATTTTTTTGTCTTAATGGAAAAACCTTAAAAATTAAATAATCCTTCGGCATTTACATTTAATTATTCGTTTTAAAACAAAACATAAAACTTTTAACTTATAATAAACAATTGTATGGTTTTAATATTATAAAACATTTTGTTATTTTTAACAATCCTTTAAAACAAAAAAAATATATATAATTGTATCAAAATTTATCAAAATCACTGTTGCATCCAAACAATACATACTTTTTATTAGTGTGGCGATACCAATAACAAATCAAAATACACCCCTTTTCGAAACAGCTGTTGCGTTTTGTTTACAAACGATTCCAGGCGGCATTCTTCATATTTCATCATAAATTAGGTTTTAATTTATTAATTAGTTAGAAAGAACCCTGGTAAGAGCCATGGATGCCAAGAAGATATCTTTTGGCTTCAGTAAGGTGGCCAAAAAACCGAATATTCTGCCCAGCAAGCAGGCAAAAGAGGAAACCAAAGTAGAGCTGATCAAATGTTTGGAGGGAAAGGAAATCATGCTGGTGGCGTAAGTTTAAATATCAATATTTTGTTAAATTCGTACATTATTAGGGTTATTTCGTGTCTACAGAGAAAAAGTGGAAGATGCCCCTCTGGTCATCGAAATGCAGGGCAGCCAGAAGACTTCCTCCGCTCTGGCCAGCCTGATGAAGCGGCGGGCAGTTCTGCTAGGCGAGGAGGAGCCAGATCCGGAGGAGGTGACTCCAGCAGCACAGTCCATTGCAGAGGTCACTGCATGTGGTCCAAAGGAAAGTCTGGAACAGCGTGCTGCTCGGGAATTGCTGGCTGCAAGTGAAAATAATGGTACCGAAGGGCTAGATGGTCAAAAACTCGTCCTGCCTGCTGTCAAAGCAGACGAGCTGCCTCTCGATGGAGCCAAGGAGGCTACCCTTGATGACTACGACAACATACCAATCCAGCAATTTGGCCTGGCTATGCTGCGCGGCATGGGTTGGAAGGATCCGCCACCCAAAAAGAAGGGTTCGGGGCCCATTGACGATGCTCCCTTTCTACGACCCAAGGGCATGGGTCTGGGAGCTGATAAGGCACTCAAACCTAAGGCACTGCTGGTGCAGCCAGAAAAGAACGAGGTGCTGGAGATTAAGAAGCAGGCGTACGTTCGTATCCTGGGTGGCAAGCAGAAGGATCAGTACGGGCAAATCGAGGGATTTGACGATCATGCTGGGCGAGTTATTGTCAAAATGGCCATTGGGGGTTCCAAGGAGGCGTTCAACGAGTTTCTCTGTCAGCCTGTATCCCGAAAGGAGTACGCTCAGTACGGAAAGTGCATAAGTAAGTCGGGAATCGGAAAAGTTATTGTCTGCTATACTAAATTATGAACTAATTTCCTATTTTCAGACTCCGCGAAGTATGAAGAGTTTAAAAAACAGGAAAACGAGCACGGTCAAATTATTGTAAAGCAGGATAAGTCAACCGACAGAAGAGACAGAGACCGCAGGGACGATGATCGAGAACGCAAGAGTTATATAGCGGAGGAACCGAGATCGGGCAAAGACGAAAATCGAAGGCGGCACAAAGATGAAGATAAAAAGCAATACAAAGTTGAAGATAAAAAATCGTACAAGGATGAAGATAAAAGATCTTACAAGGATGAAGACAATAGATCTTATAAGAATGAACATAAAAGATCTTACAAGGATGAAGACAATAGATCTTATAAGCATGAAGACAAAAAATCCTACAGAGATGAAAATCACATATCATACATAGACGAGAACCGAAAAGCACATAAAACAGAGCACCGCAGCGAAAGGACTTTCAAAGAAGAGTCGCATTCCCTCAAGGAAGAGGACCGTGATAGAAGAAGGTATGTACAGGATTCTCGCAGTAATAGCTCCTCCACATCTAAACGCGAGGAGCGTGATCGGAGGCGTTCGCCAAGTCCGAGGAGCAACAGCTCTTCCTTATCCAAGCGCGAGGAGCGTGACCGGCGCCGATCGCCGAGTCCCAGGAGCAGCAGGAGGGCAAAGAGCAGTTCAGACGAGGCGGACGATACGGGAGAGTCCACCGAGAGTGACTCGGACTCAGCATATGAGCGCAGAAAGCACAAGAAAAAATCATCCAGCCGAAAGTCCAGAAAACACTCGAAAAGGTCCAAAGGTAAATCGAAGCGGGCGGACAACGACTCTAGCATGGAGAGCGATGACAGCCTGGATGAGCAGCATCGACGGCACCCCAGCAAGCACAAAAAGAAGACCAAGAAGAGCAAGCACGCCAGATCCCGCACGCGATCCAGATCAAGGGGAAGGGGCAGATAGATAGGGTCGCAATTATTTGATCTATTCAGTTGAAATCTTTATTTAAATATAGTTTATTAGACGCTTAAGTTCTTTTGTATCTTACTCGGGATTATCATAAATTTCAATTTAACTCACAAAATAATCACAAAAATGTCTTGTCTTGTCTTTTGTTGCGCGTTCTTTTTCTCTCTCCGTACGCCTTGCTTCGAGATTCCTTCGCTCTTACATGTTACAAACTTATAGTGATGTGATGGGGCGAAGACCACGACGGGATTTGCTAGTTATCCGATGACAATACTTTCATTATGCTGCTGCACTTATCTATTAAGATATTTATAGTTCAAATTCAATGCTCGATGGTGTAGTTAGTGACAGTTGCGATGTGTGCATGATGGCAAGTAGATGACTTAGGCTTGTTTAATATTTTTGGTCAAATGGTGATGAGTGTATCTGCTTGTTTGAGATGAGATTTTCTTTACTGCAGCTTCCTCTTTCCGCACTGGATCTTATCGTTGAAAATCTTCGAGGCCTTCTGGGTGATGCCTTTGAAGACGTCCTTGTCTTGTAGCCCAGGCCACATGGCAATGAGCAGGGTGGCTAGGTACATTAGAAGAAGATTGTTGATTATGGCCCCAATCCAAGCAAGAGCCAGGAGTCCCAGACTGATGATGATTACGAACTGGAAGAAGAAAAATTGTGAGCAAAATTGTCAAATTAAATTTTGTTTTGCTATCGCATTTAAAACATAACACGTAAGTTGTAATATGTTTGTGAAAATAAAAATTAGTTTAAAAAGAGGTAGTTGTAATTACAATTCATTTAATTAGAATAATTACCAAAACAGAAATAAATAAGAATGCATTTTATGACGTGACCAACTTCATATGTACAGTTGCGAACCAAACCACTATCCTTTAAAGTTACCGTGCAAGTTTTCAGTAGTGTTTTTAAGAATGGTTTTCATTTTAAAAACTTTTTCTGAATTTTGCGTAAACTAAATAACTATGAATACTTATGTTTCCAGATTAAAATCTTGATGTTTTAGAATCTTGCTAGTGGTACTCACCACTGTGGACTTTCGCTCCTTAAATAAGTACTCGTACCAGAGCACCAGGTTGCCCTTGACGGCGCACACCTGGCCGCAGACGTCCTCGAACTTGGCCTCCTGGTCGCCGTCCCAGTTGGCGCCCCCGAAAAGGAGGCGCGAGACCGTGGGGAATACGTAGTCCAGTACTAGGCTAAGCAGACCCAGCAGTGACAACAGAGTGATCAGCGAGAGGTCCAGATACCAGAGCACCAGGAACAGGACGCTGATGGCGCCGAACACCACTCCGGCGTAGTATTGCTTCTCCCAGGTGAGGACGCCGTAGGCTCCCACGATGGCCGTCCGGAAGGGCTCCAAGTCGTGCTTCAGCTTGTTAAGGGCACGTTTCTGCGGGGAGAAAAGGCAAATCTCACAGTCCTCGAGTTTTCCTTACAATGGCGACGCCGTTTTCCGGCCGGAAAGCTTTCGCGAATTCCGCCCTCTGCTCACCTGGTCAACCTGCGATGCTGTCATCTTGGCTTTTCTTTGTCTCTATTTATCCGCCAGACGAAGTTAGTTTCCGAGAAATGTAATTGTAGACCAAGGTGTTGCTTTCCGTTTGAGCGAAAAATCAATTTTCCTAGGTGTTGGGTTTTTTAAGCCAACGCCAAAGTTTAAGTGTGACCGTGGTTCACTGTTAAAAAAGGGAAAAATTAGAGGTGGATGTTTTTTGTATTTTAAAACATCGGTTGTTGCGATTGTCGATATTTAGCTGACACTGTCTTGAAATAATGGAGCTTACAAAAGCGTTTCAAACATTTTCTTGAAATCCGCCTACTTTAGAAACTTTAATATTAATTCAAATTAAGTAAATATTACATAATATTAGCAGAGCACATTTTTTTAAAATCTAGTCAAGTCAAATCATTGTGCTTTTTTATACGTTATTTTTTAGGCAAAGAACCCGAATTTTTAGAAAAGTTAGTTATGTTTTCTTTATTCCAGAAAGGAATCAATAAATCTGCATAATTTTAAGTTTTTTTTTTTGGTCTAGATGACATTTAGATTTAATATTTTTGAATGTAGAAAGAAGCGTAGACTGCAAACTATCTTGAGAAAGATAATGTGTGATTGGCGAATTATTTTTCGTTTGGGGGATAGCAGTATGAAAATTTATTGTGATTTCGACTAAACTTGAACAAACAACAAATGGATGTCGTTCATATAATTGAGTAATCTTCGAGGTAGGAGGAGAGGAAGACAAATGATTACTCCTGCGAACCAAATGAATTTTTGTTTGAACAATTGATTACATGTTGACGTAATATATGGACAGCCCCTTGGGTCTAAAGACACAAGCAGACATGCTGGTTTTATTTTTATGTTCTTGGTCTTTTCCCTTTTCAGCTTTGAATGAATAATACCAATAAATAAATAAAACCATTTCAAAGCAATTAAAGCTAATGAGAGATGCTGTAATTTTACAACTAATGCTGCTTCAACAAATATCTATCGAAAATTGAAAAAAGGCAATAAAATCATTGAGTATCAGAGCCGTTTTTATTAAAATTAATTCAGTAGGCATAGGTATAGATAAAATTACACTGAAATGTGGGAGGTAAAATAATCAAAGCCAAATAAACTTTGCCTACCCCCTATTCTTGTTAATACCCCTTATTTTAATTCTGCACCGAATAGACATTTATAATTTCAGTCATATCTTCATATATTTAATTTGAATGATAGACAAAAAGTAATCATGTTACTGGAGATAGTTACTACATATATCTAAAATTATCGTTATGATTAAATTGATGTAGGTAATGGTTAAAAGATGATTGGAAATTTTGTTTTTCTTTGCAATACTGCACAATATGTTAGCATGCCATTTTGCGTTTGGATTGTTTATTTCTTAAGGTTTTTGTCCGTTCCTTATTTTTACTTCATGGTGGATTTCTTGTTGAGACCGATAGGCGAATACATATTTTAAAATATTAATTCAAATGATATTATAAATGTGGATGGATCGCTCACACGATCCCTTTGTATTATTTCATGTTGTTTACTCGAAACCGAGCAAAAAGTCAAATGTGGAGCGTAACCAATAAGATTACGTTATGATTTATCATTACGTATAGTGTCTTTAGGGTCTAAAAGCGTCGGCGTCCCCATGGGGCATTATTTCCGCCGGCATTATTGCCGCGTTGATTTCCGCCTGCTCCGAATTCGAAGGCGTCCAGCTTATCCTGTCCTCCAGGTCCAGAATTGTTTCCAACCATTGTGGAATTGTTGCTGTTATTGTTTCTAAAAACTTCAAATGGTGAGTCTGGCCCGAAATTGTCAAAGCCGGAGTTGCTGCCGCCTCCGAATCCCTCTTGCTGATCGATCAGCGAGTTGAGCTGCGAGTTGAGGTGCTGTGCCTGCCTAAGCATCTCCTCCTCCTGGCGAATCATGTGGTTCTGGATCTCGCCCTGGTGCCGTCGCATAGTCTCCTCGTCGCGCTTGCGCATCTCCTCGGCCTGCTTCTCGCGCATCTCCCACTCCATTTTCTTGCGCTCGTTGTCCACCTCACGCTTCCTCAACTCCTGACGCAACAGTTCGGTTTCCTGTTCATAGCGAGCATACTCCATCTGGGCCTCCAGCTTGTCCTCCTCCATTTTCAGCTCACGCTTGAGGGCGTCCTGTTTGCTCTTGAACAGGCCGTGCAACTGCTTCCAGCGCGATCCATACTCGTGCTCGAAAGAATTAATGTCGGCGAATCGCGGCCCGATGCTGCGCTCCTGGCAGAAGTCCGGCATTTTCTTGTTTAACGCCTTCTCCGGCAGGCCGTCATTGTCGTCGTTCACCTCCATCGGCTCCACCAGGCACGGACGCAACGAAGAAGTCAGGAAAAAGCATTTTTCATTGCAAAGGCGCAAGCAGGCGCTGGCAGAGGACTTCTTGGCGAACTCCACTACGCCCTCGCCGGTATGCTTGCCGCGGTCGTCCACGACAATGCTGGCCCGCTCGATGGGTCCGAAGATCTCGAAGGACTGGTACAGCAGCTCGTTGGACACGAACTGGTTGAGATTGCTCACGCGCAGAATGGTGGCATTCGGAGCAAAGCGGACGCGCAACTGGCGTCCCTTGCGCATCGAGCCATCTAAGGCGCGCTTGGCCTTTTCGGCATTAGGATGGTAGTCGACCTTCAGGAATGTAAAGTTCTTCTCCAGGTTCGAGAAGATCTCCCCGATCTCGCCGTACGGCTTGAACATTTCGCGCAGCTCATCGTCGGTGATGTCCCCAGTCAGGTTGCCCACGTACAGACGGTTGCGGCCAGAAAACTTGGTCTCGGTGGGCACCTCAACGGGCTGCAGTTCATGGGTGGGCCCACCAATGCTGCGGAGGCGTTGGGCAATGAAGAAGTCTTCGCCGCCGCGTTGCCCTCCACCGCCGCCGCCCATCATGGTATTGTTCATGCCTCCTTGTCCTCCAGGGCGGTTGCCGCGGTTGCCACGTTGCTGCTGACCACCACCACCTCCTCCTCCTCCACCGCCGCCGCCAGTTTGGTTGTGGCCTCCGCCTGCACCACCGCCGCGTCCTCTAAAGCCTTGCCCTCCTTGGTTTCCTTGATTGCCTAGGCCTCCTTGGTTGCCCAGTCCTCCTTGGTCTCTTTGATTTCCTTGGCCTTGTCCTTGTCCCTGGTTAGCATTTTGGTTCTGGGCACCGCCGCGTCCTCTGAAGCCCTGTCCTCCCTGATTGCCTGGTCCTCCTTGATCGCCTTGATTTACCTGGCTAGCATTCTGGTTCGGCTGGTTCTGGCCGCCACCACGTCCTCTGAAGCCTTGCCCACCTTGATTTCCGGGACCTCCTTGGTTACCTTGGCCTCCCTGATTGCCGGGACCCGGACCTCCTTGATCGCCCTGGCCTCCTTGATTTCCCTGGCCAGTATTCTGGTTCGGCTGGTTCTGACCGCGACCTCTGAAGCCCTGTCCGCCTTGGTTGCCCTGTCCTCCTTGGTTTCCCTGGCCTCCTTGATTTCCCGAACCTTGGCTGGCATTTTGAATCGGCTGACTTGGATTGGCGGCTGCAGGTTCATTGTTCTTTGCGGGTACATTGCCCGCAGCCGGCTTCGGCGATTCATTAGTCTGCTTCTGATTAGCATTATTTGCACCCTGGAAACTCTGCCGGTTCTGGTTGCCTCCACGGTTGCGATTCCCTGTGAATCCGCCGCGGCCACCACCGCCACCGCCACCACCACCACCAACTCCTCCGCCATTCTGGGTGTTCGGCGGACCAAATCGTGGTTTTTTTTCAACAGGATTACCATCGGCGGCGGCGTTTTGCTTCGGGGCAGTATGCTTGCCGAGATTCTTATTAGCTAGATTGCCCCTCTGCTGGCGTTGAGGCAATGGCGAGGCGTTATTAGAATTATTGAGTTTAACTGCACCTTCCATTGCAAAAAAAATGTTCTTTTTCAGATAAAATGCTCTATAGCGAAAACACCGATGGAAGTGTTGCCAGGTAGAAAAAAGTAAGGGGAGGTAGAGACGAAACAAATCACGATAACTTTGAGATATCGATGTTTTCAGAACATTGGAAACATCGATGTTTTCCGGGCAACTATTATTTTTTTAAAAGAGAAAACCCAAAAACCAGTGTTGAGAAAGGTACTATTTCTTGGACCTAGGTAGGGTACAAGGTATTTACGGAAATAAATACATAGCTAGGTATCAAAAGAAAATTAAATAATAATATTGCTCATTTATAACAACAAGCCTAAGTAAGGTAAAATGTATGCACATACTTGCTTACATATGCATTGTAGAAGGTAGCACATTTTGTTACCTAGGAAAAATTATCTCGGTACTCCCCTACACTGCTGGCAACGGGTCCATTCCGAAAATAACTGCATCAAAACAGAGTAGATGGGTCAAAAGTAAAAATTGGAGCTTTAAATAAAGGAACTGAAACCTCATTTATTTAGGTGTTTTTAACATATGAATACACTGAGGTATTCCTATTTGTGGAGAGGGGGTACGATATACATATTTCCCATTGGTCCAAAAACTGAATTTAATGCTCCCAACCGCCCATTTCTATCCGATATTTAGCCGAGTGTTTTCCCCGCAACACTAAATTCTTAACGGAAAACAATTTAAACTTACAAGTCAGCTTTTCTGATTTCTGTTAAGCAGAGGAGTTGGGGTTTAGGAGGCTATCACTCCTCCATGCTGGAGTCATGACCACAAATTATTACTTACCATCCCGAATTTTTAGGCAACCCTTTAAAAAACACCCAGAATTTAAATAATGTAATTTAGAACATAGAATACCTTTAAACAAACGTCTTCATTTATTTATAGTTAGTTTTAAAGTTTTATTATTCGTTCAAGCTTGCTGAAGATTCTCTGTTGACATTCGGTTTTCTAATACATGTATTAATTAGTTTACCTAATGCTAAATATAATCTTGCTGTTCATTTACGATTAATTGAAATGGATTCGGTTTATTTGTAAAAAGCGCTTGTCGTAAAATAAAATGGAATAATATTCTTTTGCACTGCAGTTTTCCATAGTTTGCTTGGTTTCGCATATTGTTGTATATATATTTATTCATATATTCCCGTGTCTAACGCTTGCTTCGAAAATCAATGGCTAAATATACATCAATATTTGTGATTTAATTTCCTTTTTTTAAGATTTTTGAGTTTTACAGTAAATAAACTACATATACGTTATATTATTCTGACAATTAAATATATGAAAAATATGCATTTCTCGATTTGTTTGGTGTATTTTGGTGTAAATAGCGTGTGGCGCAATATCATTTGTAGTTATACTTGTATTGTTGGGTGTACCTCCTTATATATCTGGATATCTTTCGAAGCGGAACGTATGTTTGGGGTACAAGTATGTTTCGAGTAAATTTGTATAAAGGTTAAGGTAATGCGTTTTTTATCTTTAGTAAGGCACTAGTTACACGTTAAGACGCCGCTTAACGTGTAACTACTGACTACGGACACATATTGCGATTGCAATGCGGTTCTTCCTCCTATATCCTCCGATCCGCGCTCCTCCAGCGATTCTTTAAAGCTTACGTGTACATTTCATTAGCGTATTCATTTCTACATTATCGATTTTATATTCATTTTCGATCTCATATTCATTTTCACTTAGCTGCTACGGCACTGCACTGCACCAAACGAAACTATACCACCTACTAAAGATAAGACTGCCGGAAAGTTCCGATCGTATCGGGAAATAGCAACTACGTGAAGCGACTGCCACAACTGGGTTTTCGCTCTCGACTGAGTTCCTAAGTGGGTGGTGGTGAAAGTTGAGACAGTGTGTACTGCTGATAGGAATGCAAGTTCGCTTGGTTTTCTTTTGGGGATAGTACATTTCTGTGTGTGTTCGACTTAACGCTCGGGTTTTGGTTGGTTACGCTAGTTACAATGTCTAACCTATAAGTACATAGCATTAGGGGGAGAGACAGAGAGAAATAGAAAGAGAGTTGGTATATAGTTAGCGATTGGGTTGTTCTAAGTCCGATTAAAAACTAGTTTTAAACTACATACAAAGTTTAAAATGCAACTGCTCGGGCGAGGGAGAATTTAGTTCGGTTTCTCATTTTGTTGTTCTGGTTTTGGTTTTGTTTGTATGCAAGATAAAATCGGTATCAAAATCCATTCAGTGATGACATGTAGTAGTGTCCTGTGAGTGATTTAGATTACAGGGATTGTATGTATGCTGTATAGTTTGTAGTTGGCGGCAGTTTCGAAACTTGTTTTACATTGGACTAACCTAGTTGCAGTGGCTACTCTCGCTCCAAGTGGCTGGTGTGTGTGGGCGAATGGGTTAATCTGGGGGGTTCACATGCATAGCGGGCTAATAACTAAGTGCAGGGCAGGATGGTATTTTATATAATTGAATTTGTTGGTTGCTTGCTTGCACATTTCTTGTCCGATTTTGATATAGTTCTGAGCTTACAGAGGTCACTCGATGTGATTCGTGACAAGAATGCTGGCGTTCTTAATAGTTAAGTTCAAATAAAACTTTCAGTTTATTATCAAATTTCACACATTTCAAATCTTACAATGACTTTGTTTCGTTACATGTTCGTATGTATTTATGGATAGGGGAATGTGTGGGTGTTCGAGTATGAGAGTGTGATGCGCTTATTGCTTCTGCTTCGACATGTACAATGAGATTCGCATTCTTCTTAAGATAACTCATTTCATAAATCATAAATTAGACCTTTAACTAAAACAAGCAATTCACAAAAAAATGTACACTTAAAATCATAAACACAATCGGATGTTCTATGGTACGATACCAATGTCAATGCGTGGGCAGACAGATCGACGTGGGTCTAAACTTAAATCTTAGCGAGCTGATGAACGTAAGCTATAGGTCGAACATAAAATTAAAATGTTTTACAGAGTTTCATATTTCATATAATACATAAGGCCGTTGAAGGGGAATCGAGTTGAATTCTTAAAAGTAAGGGCTTCGTCGCCATCCTAATTTTGTTGCCAGCTATTTGTGGAAAAAGCTGTCTTCGCTAAAGCAAATTCAGCAGGCAGTTTTCTGCATGCGTGTCTTTCTGTGTGGGGCTGTGTGTATGTGGGTGGCATGGGCGTGGCATGTTGGAATGATGATCGTTCCTTGTGACGCATATATATTACAGATACAGTTTGGGTTGCTTGTGGATTTCAATCGGTATCAACAAACTAGTGCTGATTATTTACATCCGTGGTGGATGTCACAATAGTCTGATACTGAGTGTTGTTGTTTCTTGTTCTGTAGACGACTGTTGTTGTAGTGTTTGATTTGCATTTGCATTTGCTTTGGATTGGTTTATACATATCGGATGCGTTTAGTTCAAGAACTTTGCTACTGTTATCATTATGAGGTTGGCCAAGATAATGCAAATGCTTGATTCTGGCAAATAGCTACCTCCGGCCACAACCACGTCCTTCTCCTCTAGAAGCGGATAGTCGATGACGTGGATGATTCCGTTGGTGCACTCCACATCGGGCCGGTAAACATTAATCTTCTTGTAGTTCCAGATGATCACATAGCCTGCAAGAGGAAGTAATCGTTTTTAGAAATTTGTTCGGATAAGAAGCCAATTGTATGCACTCGATGGGTGGCTAATGCTAGTGGATTGCCCGATGAGAGAGCTATGGGTGGGCATGGTTATGGCCAGGTCGGGTTTTTTTGTGGGCGGTGCGGTGTGGGTTTGACAAACGACAGCACTCACCAGTCCATTCGTGACTAGCATACTCATCATGGAGATCTTTCGATTGGACAACGATTAGATTTAGTTAAGCAGAAAGCGAAAAATTTAGTTCGAGAGTTGTAGAAAAATAGGTTCGGTTAGTAATGCAGCACGGTAGGGGAGGACCAATATAATCAAATCAAATATGAATCGAATCGACTTGAATTGAAAGGAGAAGCAGTTGAGCCCTTGGCTTTCAATGTGGTGTACTTACGTCCAGCCTCCTCCTCCACACGGATACTCAGTGAATCACGGAATGTGGGTAGAACAACGCTGCCTGATTCGTGCGAGAGCTTGACCAGATCCTTCATGGTGTACTCTTTATCCGAGATAGCCAAATGGCGTTCCAGAATGGACTTGGACTGCGATTACATTTGAATATGAGTATTACAAGTTACAAAATGGCTGGCAAGCAACTTACATGATAGGCAAAGTCTTGCATGAACAGTTTCTTGTGAGCTGATGGGTAATCCAGCTCGGTCTTCTGCCAGCCCTTGTCCCTGGGCACGAAGTAGGTGAATCGGCGTTGAGTGTTGTTCAGCTGGTCGTTGAAGTGGGAGAACTTGCCCATCTTGTAGGTGTCACTTGAAGAATATGTTTGATATTTAAACTATGTTTATTAATGCTCCACAATCAATCTTACCTCATCATGGGATCGGACTCCAATTTGCCAAGCACTGTTGTGTACGGCACGCCCAGGACATGGTCGATAATGTGAACAAATCCATTGGTCTGGGCTACGTCAGCCTGGATAACGGTAGCATTAACGCCGCCACCTTCAACTGTGATTAAGGTATCCGATCCCTCACCGCGGACATTGAAGTAGAGAAAGGTATTGTTGTTGACAGTGGGCACCTGGGCAATCTGTTGATACAGATGGTTCAGTTAGAAAATATCAGACCTAATTAAATACTTAAGTAGATCCTCACCAAGTTGGCATTCTTCTGTCTGATCTTATCCACATTCAAGCGGTCCTTGATTATGTGCATGTTTAAGATCTGTCTCATCTTATTGCGGTCTCTGTAAAGTTAATATTTTCAATTATTAAATGGGTTATAATGTTGCCAATATGAGTGATCTTACCGCAGAACATTGTTGATATTGGAAGAGTTCCATGCTTCATTGCTGGGGGCCAAAATGGTCACTTCCGACAGATTGTTAATGTCGTCCAAAACTGCTCCTCCATTGTCCATGATAACTTCGTAGAACTTCCGCAGGGGCCCGTTATCAGCATTCTCCTTTAAAATATATAACGAAATTATTAATGTGGATCGTATAAAGAAAATTCAGTTCCAAGCTAAAAATATAACTATAATATTTGTTGCATGAAGGGAGGGATGTGAAACGTATTAGCTTTCAGGGTTTGTTTTTGTGTTCTTTTGGAGACGTACAAACAATTACAAAAATAATACAACATTAAGGGAATTATGTGATTATAAGATTAGCCAATTATACACATATTGAGTAAGGGTTTGGATAGCTGGTCAATTGAGTCGTGAATCAATGGAGATAACGAAAAATGATTCACTTCCAACATCTAAATGAATGAGTTTCATGGAAACCAAATCTACCATGTAATTAAGTTATTCGTTTGAATGGTGGAACGATTGTGCGATGGTAGGGTTGGATTGCAATTTAATAGCAAGGCGTTGCACTGATGACTGTTGTGGTTTTTGTTCTGCTGGTGTTATTTACTTACGTTCATGAACTAAGTCAGTTTTTTAAACGGAGTATCAGAAGAAGAAATATTCATTTTTTCATTCGGGGTGATTAAGTTAAGATAAAGTTCGAATAAAATTGAATTGAAACATTTAAATTTATATTAATTTATTTTGGTTTTGGGTTCCACGCAGATTGCCCGAGTTGTTCCGCCACAGAAGAACGTTTGAAATGAAGCACAAGGGAAATATATTTAATTTTCGTTGTTCTTAGGCATTTTACAGTAAGCAGGCAAACGGTATGGTTCCTTTATGTACATTATTATTGAACGGCGTGCACTTGTCAAACGCTTACAGCGAACTAAGCATTATAAACAAAACATTGTATATTGCTTTCAACATTATTTAAGTTTCTTATTGGGATTTAGGCTAAAAACGTAAAAACAAAATTCAAACGAAAATCAAAAAATATTAAATTTGAATAACTGTTAAAATATAAATTTTTAAAGCTAATAAACCCTTCTATTTAAATACACCTTGTTCTCTTATTTTCCCTTGTAAAATTAGTTCTTCTTAGAATATATAAAAGCTTTATGTGCATTTGCTAAACTAAACTAGAATTGTACATTAACTATGTGCCGTATAAACAATAGATTCACATTTATATTCTGGATCTGATGTTGTTTTTTTAAACATTAATAAACCTACACAAGTTTTAGAGCCAATTAATTGTTTTTAAAAAAGGGTAAATCATGCAAACCGTAATATAGCAGGGGATGCAACACAAAATGCAACTTATAAAAAAATTATTAAACAAAATTTAAGGATCGGATCTTGGTTTTGTTTACCTTGAACGACTGATTGCGTTAACGCATTTGGTTTTGATTCAATTATTCGGTGCATCGATTCAATTTTAGAGCGATATGTGGTTGGATTGGGTTTGTTTGTAGTTTTAGATACAAATATTCGGCATGTTGCGAGAAACAAAGGATAGAGGTATGGATCAGTAAATAGCCAAAGGATCGTATCACAAGTAATTACAACAGAACTAGATTTAAAATTTCGAAAACGATAGCACGATATGGGGCGCTGACGATTTGAGCGTTCGAATGACTTTTCCATTCTACAGTCCGTTTCACAACTATAGGTTTAACTAAAGGATAACTATGTTACTATATTAAAAGCTTCGATCTTATGTGATTGGTACATTTCCTTGAATTCTTTATCATAGTTTTGAAACGCACTGTATAAAATGTATATGCCTATGAGAAAGCTATTTATCGGACGGGGTAATGGTTTCGGATTAGTCTTAGAGGAAACATATACAGCTACAGTTACGATTATGATCAAAGCATGCCGGCTGATAGCGAGCGATCGATGATTGACCATTGATATGCACGGCGATTGAGGGATCGAAGGGCGGAAGCCAATAAATGATATAGATAAATTTATACATTATTTTATTATATGACGCCATTAAATTACCAATACATTCAATGTAGAACAATGGGGTTTTTGGTGATGAAGCTTTTGTCGATTTCGGTCAGATCGAGCAAAGCGCCTTTTCAGCCATATTTCTTAGTGTTCGCCAATTTGTGAATAAATCACGTATCAAATTTCGAGGCCAATTTAAAGCGCCTTGCCTAACTGAGGCAGTTTTTAGCAGTTTGAATGCAATAACTGCCAGTGAAATGCATTTTGGTACGGAAATCTGATTCATAGAAAAATTTACATGGAATACATTGCGTTTAGATATTTTTTTTTTGGTTTTTCAGTTTTTGGCAATACTTACATTACACCCAAAATTTTTTTAAAATAAAATTTATATTTTAAAAATTATTTTAAAATAAAATTTTGCTTTTGATTTTACATAGAGCCGAATTAGAATACTGACTTTTGAGCAAAATTCTTTATTGGAGGATTTTGCATCAATTTTGGGCAAAAATTCAGCTCTAGATAAAATCAGTCTTTTGGGTTTTCATTTGTATCTAAGGGATTCTCAGAACTAGTGTTTGCATTTATCTATTCTAAATTGTATGTGTTTAAGCTGTGGTTTCTGGGGGCAAATTTTTTTGGATTTGTCTTTGCCCTGTGTTGAGCTCTTAGGAAACTTTAACCATGGGAATTTTCTCCCCTTGGCGACTTTTATATTAAGGAGCAGCTCAATTAAGGTCAAAGAAAAGCCGAGTGCTTGACGTGTGTGTTTAAATGTGTTTAGCTCATGTATTGTAGCATTTGCTGGGGCAACTGGCAAGCGATTTAATTGGTTTCCCAGTCTCTTCGGAGCTGCCGCCAGCGCTATCTTTCAGTGCGTGCCGAGCCAATCAAAATGCCAAGCCTTATCACAAGCCGCAGGCACAATCATTGTTTCTGGGTGTCTGTGTCTTGCACTGTCTGTGTGGCTACAATTGCACTATATGCGTTTCTCCAACACCTCACATACCTGCAGGAATTGGGTGACCGTCGTGTCGATGATCATCAGCGGTCGGTGGATCAAATGGATGACCCCGTTGCTCACTGGAATATTAGCCTTGACGATTTCGGCGAGAACCACTCCGTTGCGGTGCTTGGCATCACCCACAATAGTGTTAGACTTTACGTACACTGCAAACAAATTATAAACAGTATTAAAACATATAAAGCGGATAAATTATCAATTTAAAATGTTCATATTCATATATCATATTATTTTGAAAATGCACTATGCACTTATCTGAACAAATCAGTATAATGATCTCATAGGGGTAATCTAATTTCCTAAAAATTGCACGTTTTCGAATTTATTTTCTTATAAAGATTTTCTTCTTAAAAACAGAAAATTAACTGAAATACAAATTTTTGGTTCAAATTGATTGCATTCTTGGTTTTCTTACTTTTGCCGTTCTTCTGTTTGAAGAAACTGACGGTGACCTTGAGCAAATCCTCATAGGCGGCGGAAGTCTTGGGATCATCGTGCTGGGCAGCGGCAGTAAAGATGACAGTGTTGGGTATCACGTGGCCATCGATGACCTTGGCGTCCACCAGGCTACTGCGAGCCGAAAGCTGCAATCATGGGGAGCTGGTAAAATTAAGAAAACCTAAAACGCTAACTACCCAACCTTAAAGCCCTCATCAACGGGAACCAAGAAGGTGTGCTGTCCGGCGGCCTCAAACATTGACTCCTTTTTTTCCAACGACACCTGGTTGCGGTAAGTACGCACGCCGATGTTGTCTACGTTGAACTCCTCGGCATTCTTCAGGAAATTGTAAGCACTCGGATTTTTCGGAGTATCCGAATGGCCAGCCTTCACCGTGAGCGGCTCCAGCACCTCGTCGATAATGTGCATGATCTGTAAGGGGAGTTCAATAGGTTGCTTTGTGGCTCTATAGAATGTAACATGTGCGGGGGCCACTGACCTGTCGCTTGCCATTGCTGTTCCTCTCCTCACTGAGCGAGGGTATGATCCGAGCATTGTTCACAAATATGTCGCCATTCGTGTTCCTTGTGATGTACAGCGGCGGATTGCCGGCCATGTCCGATGACACGGTATTCGGCAGTGATTTCTGGTTGTACGCCTCAGTGGCTGCAAAGAGGGGTTTCAGAGGTTACAGTCATGTTATTTTGATTATATTTAATCAGCCTGATTGAAACTGAACTCACTTATGTGATAGAGCACATGGGCGGTTTTGCTCTTGTAGCGCTGGAAGGCTTCATTGGTGGGCACAAAGATCGTGCAGCTGCGCAGCGAAAGCGTCGAGTTGGCAATGGGATCGCTCTCCAGCAGGCTGTAGAACTGCAAAGATAAACTGGTTCGTTACACTCATTCGCGTCGCTCTATTGCCAATATCTTATCGAACCGAGTGGGGAGTAGTGGGTGGTGGTTCTGGGGTGGAGTGGGTGTTTTTCAGGGTGGTTCATAGTCGGTTGCTGGGCGGTTTTGGCAAAACGGCAAGCGCCCAGCACCATGGCAACGCCAAACAAACTAATAAAATGAAGAACAACATTATGCATGTCCTGGTTGGGATGGCAGGGCGGCGTACCAGAAAAAAGGTTTATTGAACCAATTACGTAAGCCTCGGGGTGGCTTACGCCGCCCAAGTGGATTGTGTGTCATTCGATTGAGAGCGGGATGTGAAAATGCATTTTCCAGCCACCCCAAAAAGGCAGCCACTGACCCTAAATAAGGCCCAGAGTCAGTTGCCCAAGCGGACCACCTGCCCCTGCCACATGAGGCCACATGCAACCGCACACTCTGCGGCTTCCCGGCGGAGAACCACTGGCCGCCACGCCCCGCTGCACATTCCCAATCGGGTTTATGAGGTCCTGTGAACATATATGTGTCTGAGTGTATCTGTGTGGGTGCGTGTCCTGCCGGGGACAACACCTTTTTCCGTGCCCTCCTTTAAAACGGTCGTGTGACTCTCGTGTTTTCGTTACTGCCCAGCATGAGTCATGGCAATTTGGCTTAAAAATTCCCTCCTTTCCCTTTTACATTTCCATTTTCCCTGCCTGCTGCACATATCTATGCTCTGGCATCGCCAACACACACGCATATACACAGAGGAAAATGGGATAAGTTAAGGAATAGGTTCTCGAATTACAACTATCCATATTCATTATTAACCGTATATATTTCTAAATAAACAAAGCCTAATATTACATTAGATTCCTTATTCCATTTCTTCAAATTGGCAACTTTACACTTTGTTATTTTAATAAATGTAATTTGAAGGAATAACCAGATCACAATTTCATCAAAATTAAGATGAAAGCGTATTCCAGAAACCTTGTGTAGTATATTGGGGAAATAGATTATACGCTATTATTGTGCAATCCAAAATAAAACAGACTTGACTTAAGCCATTTTATGTATATTCTGAATTTGTTAATGAATAAAATAAGATTGTAATTCGAGAACTTTTAAAACCTAAAAATTGTAATGTACTTCGATGAGTTCAATAACTTTTCCAAACAAACACTTTACGATTTTAGTTCTGCTACAATGACTTTTTGTTCTTTTTTCCCGAGTGTAAATACTTTGCAGTCTTGCTCTCCATTCATTTTATTTTTTGGTAATTTGAGACCGTCAGTTGTCGGGGCCGTTAGCGTTGTTGTTGTCCTGGTCGTGGACATTCGAGTCGCCGCTGGCTTTGTTCTTAGCCCGTCTCCTGTTTTGGCCAGAACTGCTTAGACGGTTTCTATTTCGCTCTCGAAATGTTTTCGCTTATCTGCCAAGAGAGTGACCTGCTGTTAAGTGGGGTATTATTGACTGGCTGTGGCATATGTCACAGGTTGATATAGGATACGCTCAGGTACAATAGCCAATAGATTCGAGAGAAGTTTTATTGAATAGATATTGTTTGCCCGAAAACTGTGACACTTTCACTTGGCGGCCATTTTCCACTGCCCATCTGTCAGCATCTTTTCCAATTTCAACCCCCTTGGGTTCTGACTAGAAGCCTTTGACAATTAGATGCAATTACTTTCATAAATTTCCGTTATCGAATGTTTTGCATTTGATGAAAGAACAGGGCGGAAGGGAACGCATCTTAATGAGTTTCCGGCTCTTTTGGCACATCATCGCGATAAGGCCGCCGGCCTTTCCCCGGGGAGTCTTTTTCAGAAGCCCGAAAATTTGCAGCAATTGTAAGAGTATTATCCTGTCATCGATAAACAGTTTCCCTTTCGGGCTGGGGCGTCTCATTTACTATGCAAACATCTCTCGTCTCGCAACCGCCAAAAGTGCTCCCAAAGGGGAGGGTTTTAAATAGCGCATTTTGATTTTCCCGAGTGCCAAGCCAATGACCCTGGGGCCACAGACGCACCCCAAAATCAAGGGTAAGAGTCAGACGGCGGGGCAAACAATAATTTGGCCAATGGCTCGATGACTACTGGTTAACTAAATTAAGTCGAAAACATGTGTGTTGTAAATGATTTCTTTTGTTTTATCAAATTTTACAATAGCTTTAATTGTGTTCGTGTTGTTTCTGTTTTTTTTGGAATTGCAGCTTACCCTAACTTGCATAAGGCGGCTCAAGGATTTGGCAGTGCTCTGAAAGAGATAGAGAGAGAGAAAGAAAGAAAGAGAGAGAGAGAACCGCTGGCAGTTCAAACTTGTTTTGTTTTCTTTCGATTTGTAGCAAAAATTGTACTAATTCCTATACCAAAACAACTACAATCGTTAAAGGAAAAGCGCTGTGTTTTTCGGGGGGCGAGGCACTTGAGGAAATTCAATTTTCATTATTTAATGGAATCATTAAAACTAATTAGCCAAGAGCGCGAGTCAAGCTTCGTATTTTGGAATAGGGACAGAAATCGGAACAGGAGCAGGGGGCTGACGGATGTTTTCCTTCTGTGCGAGTGCATGTTGTATAAATAAATTTAATTGGTACAAATTATGTATGCATATGTCGGTTGTACAGTATTTTCTTTTTGATAATTGCAGCGGCAGCAGAAACAGAAAACAGAAGCGAAAGCAGTCTCAACCCCCGACTTGGAACTTGAGATTGAGGCACAACATTTCTCTTTTAATTGGCAGGGCAGTGGAAAGGGGCTTGAAAGGGGGCCTACTGGGGCATCACTCCGAGGCCGTTTCGCCTCCACGCCACGGATCTCAAATGTAGCTCTGACGGACGGAGATCCGTCTATGAGCATGTGGATCCATTAAGGTCAGTCGTGGCTCATTCATCGCCCCGCCTGTAATGGAGCTCGTCGCATATCAAATAACGCGCCTTGGCATCGCATTGAATTCTTAAATTAAATTTAATTGAATTCGATGATGCTGCAAGTGAGAGTGTGGACTGTTCGGTACAGTGAGTGTTCCTAGACAGAGTTCAGCCAGCAGTTGACAACCCAAGCTGCCCACACCCTCACTTGGCCGACTGCAATTGCATCAGTCAAAGGTTAAAAATTAAAATTAATAAAAGGCAGAAGACGTTGACGCACGACAGGAAGTGGGGGTTAGTCGCAGGAGGTCATCTCGTTCCTCGGACCCGCACATCAGTAATTTTTTATCACATCTACGCAAGCATGAACTTAAGCAATGTATGTAAATTAATTTCGGCTGAAATTATACTCTTAAAGATTAAAAAATGCTCGGCTCAGATATGCTGAGTTTCCGCCAGTGCGCTAAATAAAGTCTAAGTAATTTACTGGGACTAGCAGGGAATGCGGTATCAGCTCATTCAAAAACTCTCGCCAGGTGATTTGCCAAGCAAAACCACAAGGCGTAAGCTGCAAACGAAGAAATACCCAACCTATATTTATCTAACCCATAATAAGAAGTGCAGGCACAATAAGAAAATGAATAAAACTTCGACTTCTGAACACTGGAATACTCTTGCAGACCAATTTTGTATAGTATAGCCCAAAAAACTTTTAATTTGTCTTTCAAAATTACATTTTTAAGTTGTATTTCTGTATTATTACCTATAGGAAAAGTAGAAAAAATATCATATATAAAAAAAAGAGAAATTAACATAATGCCTAGTATTTCTTTCCAGTTGATCTTTATACCCGTTACTCGTAGAGTAAAAGGGTATATTGTATTCGTGCAAAAGTATGTAACAGCTAGAAGGAAGCGTTTCCGACCCTATAAAGTATATATATTCTTGATCAGGATCACTAGCCGAGTCGATCTAGCCATGTCCGTCTGTCCGTCTGTCTGTCCGTCTGTCCGTCTCTCCGTCTGTCCGTCTGTCTGTCCGTATGAACGCTGAGATCTCGGAAACTATAAAAGCTAGAAGATTGGCATTTTGCATGTAGATTTTAGGAGTTCCTACGCAGCGCAAGTTTGTTTCAAAAAGGTACCACGCCCCCTTTAACGCCCACAATCGCTTATATACGATTTTAAAAATTTAAATATTTCGGAAAAGTAAAAATGCAGTTTTATTGTGTTTATCAATACCTATCGAAATGTAGAAGAAATTTTTTAAATCGGACCATTCGTTAAAAAGTTATGCGTGATCAAAGTTTCTATCTCCATCTCCCTGGCACTCCCTTTACCTGAGTAACGGGTATCTGATAGTCGGGGCACCCGACTATAGCGTTCTCTCTTGTTTTTAACTTAATAAGAAAACAACTTGGAAAAACGATTGTTAGAGTTGACTTTAATCCTTCAGTTTTACAGCATGAAATTTACATAAGTGACCAAAGATTACTTTCCGCCCCTACGTTTTTATGACCAACCCTCATGTAAACAGAACACTATATGAGGCCGGAAATTTTCTCCTCTAAAAGAGGCAAACTGCTAGGCGAAGTAACAATACCCTAAACCAAGGGTGCAAATGAGCAAGCCGAAACCCCCTTCTCGATTTTTTTTTATTTTTCGCTGTACGCTCTGTTTCGTCTATAGCGACTCAAAAAGGTTGTGTTGGCTGGTGGATGCAACTACTTCCCTGAGACCCTGAGTTCAGAGACACTTGCTGCAACAATTACACCAGTATTTTTCTTGCCTTCTGTCGCACGCTTTCTTTTTACTTGGAATAGTATTTATTTTTCGCTCACTCAACGCGTATTTTGGGCGTTAAATGTTAAGCAGACTGGAAAAGTAAGCAGGGGCTAAGATGGGGTTTTTCCGAAAGGGTACCTTAGTAAAGCAAAATATCCTAAATTTAATACTGCTGAGCTACAAAAATTTGAAATTTTATCTGGCACAATAATTAGGTTTAATAGCAGTATCATGGTAGTCTTTAGATACTTTTTTCCTAGTGTATAATTGTTAACTCTTGTGCTGGAATAACCACCGTGTGTGTGTTGGCCTGTGAAGGTGTAAAAAGGCAAAACTAAATATAAAACTGTTATGCTCAGTGGACGTCAACGGCCGGCATTTGTCTGATGGGCTCTCAGTCGGCGGACTTCTGCTTAATTTATGTATGTGGCTTTTCATTTTTACTTAACATAATCCGCCATGCATACGAAATGTGGCCAAGTGGAGTTTAGTGGTCGGCTGGACTTTCCGCCAGGGATTTCAGGCAGCATCATCGATTTTCCACAGCCCCAACAACAAGTGAGATGGCGTTGGCTAAAGGTCAAGGACGATGCTGCCGGAATAAAGCTACCTGTGCCCAAATGCGAGCGCCTAAGCCATCTGTCCGTCCCTCTTGCGCAGGCTCCTTTTTCCGCCTCGCCCCGTCCCCTTCGCACACACTATCAAGGCTTTTCCTTTCAAGGCCAGCGAAATGTGGCGTCTTTGGTGGGAGGCGGCACAATTACAGCCAAACTTTGAAAATTTGAACTATTAGTTGGTAAAGACTATGAATTGGGTTAACATCGGCAAAGTCTATGCTGGATACAACAAAAATTTATTGGTCAATACATTTATTTAATCAGATAGTTTTCCGATTTTGATAAATCATTAAAAAACATTCAGACATAAATATATATGGCTACATTTAGATACCTATGCTATTAGTATTCCCTTTTTAAACAAGGTAGCATAGATTCACAATTCGATTCCCCCGATATTCTTATAAGGAGTATTTATAACTTTCTTCTGTTCAATATTATTATAAACATGCGACAGGAATAAAAATGTTGGCATAACCCTAACCCAATTTTTCTTTTCTTAACTTTTTGACTTTTTTCATATTGGAAAATTTACCATAATTTAAACTCTTTTATGATCGTTTTCTAATCCACATGGAAAGCTAAAATTTGTTGGTTTAAAGCTACCAAATTCCACAAATGTATTAATTTAGCTTACAATAAGACCGAATAAACGAACCCTAGTCTGACTGTTGTCTAAAAAGACTAATTTTGTTGTTCTGAAACATTGGGGTTATTAAACAGCAAAGCTTTCCATTTTTGTTCTGTTTTATTTAACACTATTAAGGGTTAAAAGTAATTTAATTGAGGAAATGGATTTTTTACGGCTATACAAAATTCATCGTAGTTAGTGCCGACTGTACCAAGGGATAAGCCAAGGTGAGCGAAGGGGGTGCTTGGGAGCTTAGTCAAATCATCTACCACCTCTTTCTCCTCCTCCTCCTTCTCTTGTTCTTCTTCTTCTGACTCACCTGAGAGAGTTCCGAGTCATTGCGTAATTTGTCCGCCAAATCGGGTTCGGCTGCATTCGCGGCGCAGAGCAGCGCCAACAAAAGCGCTGCAGCGTTCAGCATTTTAGCGGTCGAGCAACAACAAGAACGGTGATGCGGCAACAACACTTGTTTGGGATCTCTGTTGGCAGTGTGTTGGTGTGTGTGTGTGTTATTTTGCGGGGGGCGTGTGCGAGTGTGAGTGCTGCTCTACGATTAAGATCTGCAATTCAAAGGCAAACAACAGTTAGCCGACATCCTCGCAAAGAAAATATTAATTCACAGATATGTATGTAGCTGAAAAAATGCGGGGCTTAGCTGTTTTTTGTTATTGCAAGGTTATCTGAGCTTCCTGTTCTACTAAGCCTTTGCCGCCCTCTCGCTCTCGCTATCCAAATACCGTTATGTCACATAGAACAACAAGCAAAAAACGGACCACCGAGGAATCGGCAAGCACAACACAGATAAAACAAAGCTGCGCTTATTGTGTATTATTTTTTCTCCGGTCTGCTGTGTTTAATTATTATGCGCACATTCCCATTCCACTGCAGCGGCACTTTTTTTATAGTTTCTTCCCGCAGCTTTTTTTTCGGTCTCTGCGAAATTCTTGGAAAGTCGGTCCGCAGGAATTAATGACAGCCACAGAACTTATGCAATGTGCAGGGCAACTCGGCGGTTGAGAAAAATATATATCTTTAATTGGCACACAAACGAACTCAGCGCGGTGGTAAATCAATAACGAGAATGCTTGCACCTATTTCAGAGTTAGATCTAACGCACAGTATAGATTTTCCACAGGGTTCGACGGGGAGTACACACCAGTCGGAGGAATCGCAACGTGCGCCACGCTCAAACGTTTTTTTTCGAATAAAACGAATAACGAAGAACAGGTTTAAGCCGAGCGTTTCAGTTGGGGGTGGCACTTTGAGGGAGAAATAATTATGTCATCGATGTAATATCGATGTTTGCATATGATATCGATGTTTTCCCATCTCTAACTAGTGCAGAAAATCCCACTTCAGTTCTTGCACACTGTTAACTCCAGTTCCTACGCACTCTGTTAGTTGCAGTCCATTTGTGGCTCTGTTAGCCCCACACACAATCCACTTTAATCATAGCACTGTAAGAAATGTCTGCTTACTCAAATGTCTACATATACAGCTGTGCTCAAAGAAATAGCAGTGCGACAGAAGAACAATTATAAAACGGTTTTTTGGAATATTCCTTTTTGTTAGTTGATCTATTGCACATTGATTTTGTAAAATGGAACATAGAGATAAGAAATAAGCAAAAGTTTCGTTAGATTCGCTTTACGTACCAATAGTTTTGGCTATTCACTGAAATAGCAGTTTTTGATTTTGTTTCGCGAAAAGTGCAGAAATTGTTTGTCATGTTGTGAAAAGGGAGTTTAATTGAGTTCATTATTATAGTTAATACGACAATATACTTTTACATTGCAAAAAATTTCACTTTAGTGGGTTAAGGACCTCAATGCTCCAAGCGAGAAAGGGAAGAGATCATTCGGCTTAGAAAGGAGGGCAGAACATATAAAATTATTCTAAGCCTATTGAAATGTTCTGCCAAGATGTTGTCCGATGCCATAAAATATGAACCGAAACCAAAAAAACGAGGTGGGATTCGCAAAATCACAATTGGAGAGGACCGACGCATAGTACGCTTCAGCAAAGCTAATCCTTTTGCTTCCTCTAGGGATATAAATATTGGCTTGGGGATCAGTGATGTGACCATTTGCCGGCGACTTTTTGAGAAAAATTTGAATGAGCGAAGTTCACGGAAGGTGCCATTACTTAAAATCATGGTATGGGCATGCTTTTCATACAACGGTGTAGGTCCCATACATATGATCGATGGGATCATGGAGTAATATACATATGCACAAATACTTAATGCTGAGAAAGATTTGCCTTTAATTTGGACATTTCAGCAAGACAATGATCCTAAACATACCAGTAAAGTGGCCAGGGAGTGGTTTATTAAAGAAAAAGATTATGAAATGCTATGGCCAGCACAGTCCCCGGATTTAAATCCTATTGAAAACTTGTTGGGAGACATCGAGCGCTACGTATCGAAGAAGTCCCCGACTTCTAAGCCGCAGCTTTGGCAATTTGTGCAGGAGGCATGGAGCCAGATTCCCCTCAAGCGTTGTCAAGGATTGGTGGACTCCGTGCCACGTAGGTGTGAGGCTGTGATAGCTAGTAAAGGCTATTTAACAAAATATTAGATCATAGACGAATTGTATTTCAGTAGGATTAGGTTATTTATAAGATATTTTGAAGTTTATTACATTTTTTGTTAATTGTTTACTTTGACTGCTATTTCAATGAACAGCATAATATATACTTTTTTGTTGTTATTAGTTATATCTTCTAAAGTGTTTAAGTTACCCAAATGAAATAATTGTTTTATTATTAATAATTAAATACAATAAGACTTTATGAAAAATCTTGTTAACAAAGTAGTGTTTGTAATAGTATTTTTATACCCTTGCAGAGTGTATTATAATTTCAGTCAAAAGTTTGCAACGCAGTGAAGGAGACATTTCCGACCCTATAAAGTATATATATTCTTGATCAACATCACCAGGAGAGTCGATCTAGCCATGTCCGTCTGTCCGTCTGTCCGTCTGTCCGTCTGTCCGTCCGTCTGTCCGTCCGTCCGTCCGTTTCTACGCAAACTAGTCCCTCAGTTTTAAAGCTATCTGCTTGAAACTTTCCCAAAAGTTTTCTTTCTATTGCAGGTAGTATATAAGTCGGAACGAGCCAGATCGGGCGACTATATCATATAGCTGCCATATAACTGAACGATCGGAAAAGCCATAACTTTGGTGTTTTTAAAGTTACGAAGTTGGGATTTTCTAGGGGTTTTAATTTTGGCCAATCAATCCGACCTACCAAATTTCATAAGGATCGGCCGACTATATCTTATAGCTGCCATATAACTGAACGATTGGAAATGTCATAACTTTGGTGTTTTTTAAGTTAGGAAGTTGGGACTTTTATGAGTATTAAGAATGCATCATATGAATCATTTTGGAGAATATAATTTATAGAATATTCTGCAAGGGTATATCAACTTCGGCTTCGCCCGAAGTTAGCTTTCCTTTCTTGTTTAATCTTAAACGTGCAGGTCGTAAGCACTGCTATTTCGGTGAACACAGCTGTATAAAGTAAAAACAGAGGAAATTTTAAAAAATACAACTATTTATAAATTGCATATAAATTAGATATTACAATGACTATATGCCGTACATCTCTTTTTAAACTTCGAAAACATAAATGTTTACTTTTTCTATCTCTTAGAATAAAAAAAATAAATACATTTGAAAATATTAAATTTTTAGAGTGTTCAAAAATTCCATTTTTTGAAACTAATTGAAAAAAAATAACTCGTTGGGAAATAATGGGCACGCGATTAAGCTTTTAATATTACAAACATTCGATTTTAATCGACCCAACTTTTTTGAGCTATATATGTAGGGTTCATAGGGTTAAAAATGTCACCTCCACTGCGTAGCAAACTTTTGACAGAAATTATAATACCGTCGGCAAGGGGATTCCAATTTTATTTTATTGCCTTAAACTAAGAATGACCTTCGATACGGTAGACACCCCCGATGTTTTGAATCAAATTATTAATTTGACCAGTGACCACAAAATGATTCCAGCAATGCCACACAGTATGGCCATTAGGCCAAAGTGTAGGATCTTCAATCTGTCGAGGTAAGCGAAGATTTAACATGGAGAAAGTTGGCGTATTTTCGATTAGAACTTACATCTTTAGCAGTCGCCGGGCTTGGTCGACGGATTCCTGGGTTGGGGGCTCTTTGCAAAGGTAAAGTCGCATGCCGAAAAGGGACTTTTGGAAGTACTTCTTCCAGTCCAGGGCCTCCATGTCGAAGTTGTACATGTTCCGATCCTCCGGAGACATTAAAGCCTTTAGCCGATCTGTGCTCTTCGTCTCAAAGAACCAACTGTTGTGCAAAAAGTACTGGAGAAGTGCATAGTTGACATGTATACTTCGGTAGAGCTTCACCAGGCGAGGTTTTCTTCCCGTAAGTCTTAGTGCCAGATCACAGAAAAAGCCGGGTATTGTGTGATAGAAGATCGTGGCCAGCCGATACAGCCACAGAGTGGAGATGCACTGCAAAAACGGGTACCAGATCATCTTGTTCAGCGGAAACTCATCTCGACAGCTCAAAGAAAGTTTTACAAAGTCCATTGTCTTCAGAGGATTCCTTTCACTGGGTGCTAGAGTGTAAATGGAGGGCTGTTCTTTCGGATCCCGTGGGCCTTTTTGCTTGGATGTCTGCCAGAGGCTGGCCAGGGCCACATTTGCACAGTAGTCAACAGGCACCATGCTGATATAGCCCTTTTTGTCGAAAGAGGTCACACGCAGAACTCCATGGCCCACGCCGTAAATCAGAGCATTGGGTCCATATAGATTGTCAATCCAGCCGGATACAGGCTCCTTATGCGTGGCCAATACTGTCATTCCAAGGAAATACAAATATCTATCAGGAGTTCTGCTGGCTCTCAAAATGTACTTACTAATGGACGGTCGAAAGACGCACAAGGGCAGGTCCCCCGCCTCTCGTAGGATGACATCCTCCGCCAGGGCCTTGGTGTAGGTATACGAATTGGGGTAGGATCCCACCAGAGTGGGTGTCAGAGTGTCCATCATCTGGTCACTCAAAAGCTCACTCATTGCCAGGACCTTTTCCGAATCGCAGGTCAAGTGCTCGGGATAGAACTTCTCCTCGACCCGAAAGATCACGCAGTTGGAGAAGGCCGTGGAGATGTGCAAATAGGCCTCCAGTTGTTTCATCTCCTTGGCCAGTTGGAGCATCAGTTTTGTGGCCCGCGTGTTGATGGCCAGAGCCACGTGAAGCGGCTCATTGAAGCGCACGGTGGCTGCTCCATGGATGACGATCTGCACCTCGGAGGCCAGGAGATTGCGATCCGCATCACTGATGCCAAGGTCGGGCTCCAGGCAATCGCCTGCGATCGGGACGACCCGCTTAAGTGCCTCGGGCCTCGACTGCAGCAGGACTTCAAAGAGCTTGGGGGTAAAGCTATAGCCTAACATTAATCCTAGTGTTAAATTAACTTTTTACTCACCAAATCCTTTTGCCATATCTCAATGCGCTCCTGAATATCCTGACCCCGTTTGGGTCTAATCAATGAGTAGATCCGTTTGACATCTGTAGTTCGCAAAAGCTTCTCAATTATTACTGAAAATATATCAGAACAACGGGAGACGAATCTCCATTACTTTTATTTTCTGGACCCTTTCACTTGGCGTATACCTTTTCCCAAAAATCCTGTTGCGCCTGTGAGGAATACCACCTTGTCTTTATAGAATCCTTGGATACCCTCCATTTCGGAACTTGAGATTGGTACCTATCCAGAGAAATTCCCCCGAAGCTTGCAAGTTGAAAATACAGTTCGATAGAAAATCGATTGGGTATGGTCGCGCTATTTATATACATGCTGCATCGACAGACGTGGTGTCATATGTACAGTGACCCCGCCAATTGTATGCAAAGCAAATACACATGGACTGACACCTAATGAATAGTCACAGCTACGGTTTCATTGCATTTTACGCTTCCGAATAAGCGTTGAAAGATTCGCTACTTGCTCCATAATATATTTCTGTATTAAAAACATGTTACTTCTATATTTTGCATTTTGTATAATGTCATATCGGTAGCCCTTATTGTATTATAAGCGCTGGCGACTTATAATTGTTTAGCGTAGATGTTAAAGAATTTTAATATATTAATCGAGGATGGCGAATTGAGAAAATTCGGCCAAGATAAGAAGAGTTATATAAAGGGTGCTGCAAGTAATTTACTCGACCCCTACTGCTTTCTGCACTCCAGGGTAAGCTTAAGGACTCTGGAGTAAGTGCCTCCTTCCCATTTTGAATTGTATTTCCGGAAAATCCTTTCGGAAATACTCCTCTCAGTTGTGAAGTTCCTTTTCGAAGTAGTCGACATGGTCTTCCGTAAGGAGTCTGTGTTGCTCATGTCTTAGTAAAGATAGTTGTTTATGAAGAAAAGCCCCTTATGGTATTTTTTTATTTCTCGGTACAGCTAAACGAAGTGTGATTCCCGAATGCTTAGTCGCAAGCTAAACCAATGATAAAGCTGTACACAAAGAGATAGAAAAGGAGAGCTACTTTATATAGTCGGACATTTATTAAAGGAACTGACATACTATTTGGACCTTCAACCTTGTAGCTCGGGTGCTAATGACCAATAAGACCCCCATTATGAAGCCTTCGACCTTTCTCACTGATTCCCAAATCAGATGAAATATACCCATTCTAAAGCCTTCGGGTTGGCCTTCTAGTGACTAAATACCTTAGGAATTTTAAATAATACTTTTAAGGAGCGTTATCATTACATTCTTAATCGGCGTGATGAGCGTCACGTCTGTTGACCTCAACAGTTTTCCTAGTATTTCTTAAAAATAAACTTAAATGAAAATATAAATAACTAAGTCTTTTAGCAACAGCCTTTTCCCAAAAATCATGTACACATCTCAAGGTGGTTCGTCTTTCGAATGAAGTACTATTGGAAAAAGATTTAACCATTTTAGTGTTCAAATCACTACAGCGCATTAACATTCTTTTAACAGCCCCAATACGGAGAAAAAACATACAACAGGCAAAATAAGTTGCTCACACTGAAGAGAGTGAGCAAACCCATGTACTTTTTCACTCATATTGATAGTTGTTTACTTGATTAATTTAATTTTAACCTCATTTTTATACCCTGGCAGAGGGTGTTATAATTTTGGTCAAAAGTGTGCAACGCAGTCAAGAAGACATCTCCGACCCTATAAAGTATATATATTCTTGATCAGGATCGCGTCCTGAGTTGATATAAGCATGTCCGTCTGTCCGTCTGTCTGTTTCTACGCGAACTAGTCCCTCACTTTTAAAAATATCGAATTGAATCTTTGCACACAAACTTCGTTCCTTTGCACGCACTATATAAGTCGAAACGGGGATCGGCTAACTATATCCTATAGCCGCCATATAACTGAACGATCGGGAATGCCATAACTTTGGTGTTTTTAAAGTTAGAAAGTTGGGCCTTTTTATGAGTATTAAGAATGCATCATATAAATTATTTTGGAGAATATAATTTACAGAATATTCTGCAAGGCTATATCAACTTCGGCTCCGCCCGAAGTTAGCTTTCCTTTCTTGTTTATTTTCGTTCTTTAGACGGAGTGTCAGTCTAACTCTTTAAGTTTAGAACTTATGATTAAGTATGCACAACAGAACAAAAGAAAACTTAACCAAGCTTTTCATCCACGGTTCTTTAACGGTTTCCGAATTTTACCCCGATTGCTCCTATAGGAGCTATAGGATATATACGTCCGATTATTAACTTGATCTGGGTACACAAATAAAAGTACGATTGTGAAGCATTGAAGTCTGTAGCTTTTAAACTGAGCCCGCAAACGGTGTAATAACAGACGGACATGGCTATAACAACTCGCTTAGTTATGGTGATCAAGAATATTCTACATTAAGGTATCGGTAATGTCTCCCTTAAACTCTTTGCAATGAACAATAGTTGTGAGCTTCCTATTTAGACATTCGGGTAAAATCCATGTTCTGATTATTTATTAAACTATCTCTTATGCGACACAATTTTTTCTAAAATCATCATTATAATTTCATAGTTGATTTTAAGTCGCTTGAAATCCTGATGCTGGGAATATGATTTCACATAAAATCCGACGTAGAGATTAAATATTGGGAAATTATGTTATGTTTCATATCGGCAATCAAATTGATTATTTATGGACTATCAGGTTCTAAGAGGGTATTGCTTAGCCCTTGACATTTTTGATTGGGCGTTATGACACACATTTTTGTAATCGTTATGACACGATCCTTATTTATCTATTGAAAAACGGTTCGTTTGTGTAGTGGCAGTGTAATTTTCATTTCTCTTGTAGGACTAAAACGGAATTGTTATATAACGAAACAAAGCGAAAATATTTAAATTAACTTGCAAGATCCAATAGATTTGTTTGGGAAACTAAGTTACCAGCTTGGCCAGCGACCACAGAGCGAAACCAGCTGCAGAGATCAACGAGGACTTGATTGCATAGTGAAGGATCTTTAGGCTGTAAGAATATGCTAAGAATCAGAACGAATGGCAGATCTCCTGCTGAAACTCACCGTATCGCCAGCTTTGTGCCCTTGGCAATAGACTCTGGGGTGGGCGGCTCCTTTGCAATGTATTGCCGCATTCCATACATGATGGACTTAAAATAGTCGTCCCAATCCAGTCGAGCCATGTCAAAGTCATACAAGTTGAGGTCCTGCTTCGACATCGAGTTCCGCAGTCCCTTCGTGTTGACCGTGTCGAAGTGCCAAGTGGAGGTGGAGAATGGCCCGAGGACAGCAATGTTCTTGTGAATCTTCCGGTAGAGATCCGCGAGGATGGGCTTGCGGCCCATGAGGCGCAGCAACAGGTCGATGAAGTAGCCCGGTATGGTGTGAAGGAAAAAGGCAGCCAGCGGAAATAGGAATGGGCTGGAGATGCACAGGACAAACGGGTACCACAGCATCTTGGTCAGCGGAATGCGGTCGCGATACGAAATCGATCTCTTGATAAAGGAGCCGTAGCTCAGCAAGTTATTCTCGCTTGGCGCAAACGTGTAAATGGGGGGCTTCTTGGCCTTCTCCCTTTGGCCGGATGTCTCCGCCGTTTTCCAGGCAGAGGCCAAGGCAACGTTCACGCAGAAGTCGACTGGGACCATACTAATCGTGGAGTCGGTGTCCACAGTGATGACCCTCACTATGCCCCGAGCTATGCCGAAGCAGAGGGCCAGCGGTCCGAACATGTTGTCCACCCACCCGTCGAAAGGCTCCTTGTAGGTGGACATTACTGTGAATATTTAAGTTGCAGCGTTTAAGGTCCACCCCAATCTGGTGCACTTACTGATTGCCGGTCGGAAGATGCACAAGGGCAGGTCGCCCGCCTCCCTCAGGATCACGTCCTCGGCCAGGGCCTTGGTGTAGGTGTAGGTATTGGGAAAGGACCCCAGCAGGGCAGGCGTCATTTTGTCCAGCACCTCCCCGCCCACCAGCTCGCCCAGGGCCAGGATCTTATCCGAACTGCAGGTCAGGAGTTCCGGATAGAACCGCTCTGCGATGTCTGCCACCACGCAGTTGGAGTAGGCAGTGGACACGTGGACATAGGACTCCAGGCGGGTCATCTGCTTGGCCAGCTGAAGCATCAGCCGGGTGGAGCGCGCGTTGATGGCCAGGGCCAGGTGCAAGGCCTCGTCGAATCGCACCGTGGCAGCTCCATGGATGACCACCTGCACCTCGGCGGCCAGAAGCCTGCGATCCGACTCACCTATGCCCAGATCCGCATCCAGGCAGTCGCCCGCGATGGGCCACACCCGCTGCAGGGCGTCTGGCTTGGCCTTCAGAAGCACCTCGAACACCTTTGGATTTCGAGGGGACTGGTCAGATATGCTTTCCTGAACGTACACAACCACTCACCGAGTCCTTTTCCCAGGTGGAGATGCGTTCTTGGATGGGCACACCACGCTTGGGTCTGATCAGCGAGTATATGCGATTCACCTCCGTCGTCCTCAGAAGCTTCTCAATGATAACTGAAAATCATTATCCATGAGTTTGTGACTACATTTGTTATATTTCTGGGGTACCTTTTCCCAAAAACCCAGTGCCACCCGTTAGGAAAACGGTCTTGTTCTTAAAGAATTCCTGTATCCCTTTATCCATTTTGATCCGGTTGACGCTTCGCGAGCCACTGAACTGAAAAGTGATTCCAAACTAGCACTTCTATTTATTTGGGTTTATTTAAGTTACACCCTACGAAAGGTCGAGTTCAGCATATTCAAGGCAGTCGTCGGACTACCGGTATAGAGAGGAGCGCGGGCTTTTATTGCAGCGTACGGGTAGAAACATATCTGCATGTATATACATATATAGGAAAAATAAAATCTAAGCATTTACATTTTTCAACAATTTCTTTTATTTTTTCGATTTAATTATTGCTGCGTGCGGTGCAGGAATTACATGCATGTATATAGAAAAATATAAAGTCGTCATTAAAGTCTAATTTATTAAAATGTTTCTTTGTTTTTCTTCGGCTTTATTATTTTATAAGTTTTGTTTATCATTTTGATAATTTTGGTTTCAATACATTCTATATTTACGTTATTTTTTCAAGCTCGTGCCGATTCAAGAATTCTCTAGCGCTTAACTCAAATGAGTTTATGAATAGCATAAAAAGTGTGCGAATTTACATTCTTATATCACAGAATTAAGTGAGGTAAGGTATGCGGATATATGTTTTAACTTTTGTAGGCACTGCAGACCTGCACGTTTAAAGAACTTAGTAACCTAGTGCCGGGTAATTGTGACATTGACACCCTGTAATTATTAGAGCGGGTTTATTTACATCTACCATTATGATTTTGCACTTTAAAAACATTTGATTGTTTTATTTTGATGCTCTGTTTATATACCCATGACTAGTAATTTAGCTTAGTGGACGAATTGCCAAACGAACAGTATTGAATTGAAATAATAAGTATTCCGACTATGATATAGCCTCCTTAAATGGTAAATTTCTGTTTATATGTACATATTTATAGGACCGGTTCTACCAATTACCATCATTTCAACGATTAAAGTGTACCCTTTTTAATACGTCGTGAAACGGGGATAAAAACTTTCCAATTACCATCCACGCAAACAAAAGCAAAGGCACGTTTTCCACAAAGAACATATATATTTGATCAGTGACGCACTTACAGGCTTGTTAAGTTTCAATTAAAATTTAAGTCGGTGAGTGACTTATATCGGAATTACAATGCAAGTTTAACCAGCGACCAAACAGCGAATCCGGCCACTAAACAGAGGAAGGACTGTAGGAGGTGATGGAGCAGCTTGAGGCTAAAATGGGTTAAATAAATATATTATTAAGTAACGAAGATGTTAATGGGTAATTACCGCTGGATCAGCTTCATGCCCTGAGCTATGGACTCCGGAGTAGGGGCCTCATTGCCCAGAAATTGTCTGATGCCGCGAAGGGCGTGTAGGAAGTACTCCTTCCAGTTGAGCCTGGCCATGTCGAAGTAGTACATCCTTTGATCCTCCTCCGACATTAGCTGCCTCAGGCGATCCGTGTTGCGCATGTCGAAGCGCCAGCTCTGGCAGGCGAAAGGACCCAGCATGCCCAGGGTCCTGTGAATCTTCTGGTATACCTTCACCAGTCGCGGTTTCCGGCCACTCAGCCAAAGAGCCAGGTCGAAGAAGTAGGCCGGCAGGGTGTGGTAGAAAAAGGCTGCCAGAGGAAAGAGCCACGGCAATGTGACGCAGTGGATGAAGGGGTACCAGATCATCTTCGTTAGCGGGCAATTGACGCGTCCATCGAGAGCATGCCGAATGAACTGTCCGTGGGTGATTCTGTTTTCCTCGTTCGGGGCCAATTGGTAGATGACAGGACTCTCCGGCGACTCGCTCCTGCCTCGATCCTCGATGGTTCTCCAGGCGCAGGCCAGAGCCAAATTGGCGCAGTAGTCCACGGGCACCAGGCTCGCCTCGGCCTTGTCATCGATGGTCGCGATGCGCAGGACACCGCGAGCCACCCCGAAGAGAATGGCCATTGGTCCGTACATGTTGTCGATCCAGCCGGAGATGGGCTCCTTGTGGGCCGCAATGACTGGTTTGTGGAAAGACCAATGTTGAGAGAGACGGAGTTAGCCAATTAGAGATCACTTACTGACTGCCGGCCGAAAGATGCAAAGGGGCAAGCCAGCCGCCTCCTTCAGGATCACATCCTCGGCCAGGGCCTTGGTGTAGGTGTAGGTGTTGGGGAACGAGCCAAGCAGAGCAGACTCCATGTTGTCCAGCACTCCGTCACTCAGCAGCTCACTCATGCCCAGAACCTTGTCCGAAGCGCAGTTCAGATGCTCGGGGTAGAAACGCTCCTTGACGTCATAGATAACGCAGTTGGAGAAGGCAGTGGAGATGTGAACAAAGGCCTCCAGTTGGCCCATTTCCCTGCCCAACTGGAGCATGAGCCTCGTTGCTCGGGTGTTGATGGCCAAGGCCACGTGAAGCGGTTCATTGAATCTCACGGTGGCCGCTCCGTGGATGACAATCTGAACCTCAGAGGCCAGAACCCTTCGATCTTTCTCGCTGATTCCCAGATCGGACTCGAGGCAATCGCCTGCGATGGGCCAAACCCTTTGAAGGGCCTCAGGCTTCGACTTGTACAGCAACTCAAATACCTTTTCGCAATTTTATGGAGTGAGTTCTTATGTTAGGGGGCTCTGTTCCTCTCCACTTACCGCGTCCTTTGACCATGAGATAATCCGCTCCTGAATCTCAACCCCACGCTTTGGCCTGACCAAGATATAAATGCGTTTCACATCTGTGGTTCGCAAAAGCTTTTCAATCACGACTGAAACGCAGATCGAGGAAAATAAAATTTAACTTTAACTGCTTAGATTTTCTTTTGTTTCCACGTTTTAATCCGTGTGAATACCTTTTCCCAGGAAGCCTGTTGCTCCAGTTAGGAAAACAGTTTTGCTCCTGAAACATCTCTGAATATCGGTCTCCATTTCAGCAAGTAAAATCCAAAATGTTTGCACTTCCAAGTGTCGGCGAAGAGTCCATGCGATTGATACAAACGTTTACTCCGTGTTTATCAAAGAACAGTCTTAATGTAAATCACTTTAAATTTGGTTCGGATATTTATACAAAATTTGCGTTCGTTCGGTGAACTCAAGACCCAGGGCTGGTAATTACGAATAATATTATAGACCTTCAGAATTTCATTTTCAAATTTACTTTTCTTTAGATTACTGCTTGGACAAAGGACTGAAGTTGGCCTAACTCCAAACTTAATGTCTAACTTTTAATTTAATTACTGCATCCCTGTTATATTTCCATTTTCCTATAAATCGAGTACAACTGATTTGCTAACCAAATGTGCTCTGAAAAAGGTCTAAGTACGGCTTATAAATAAATATATAAAATTCAAACAAGTAATTTGTATGTAATATTTTATAGCTCCCTGGGTAATTATTAGTGTAATAGGCACTCAGCATGGAGCTTGAAAATAATTTCCATGACCCAAGTTTATTACATGATATTACGACATGATATAACGATTAACATGATATTACGACACGATTTAACGATATCGCAACTTTCGAAACAACTTATTTGTATTCTTGCAAAGCCAATCTTAACAACACAATTCGCCACTATAGATTTTCCAGCTTTTGCTCGGATTCGGTCCAAATTTATTTCTATAATTTGTTGTATGTTTTCGACTGTTTAATGCACATTTCACCGGAGTGCGTCAGTTTTTTGTACTTTATGCAATTTCTTTTTTAAGGCCATAAAAGTTAAGCCTCAAGAGTTAAATAAAAATAAATTAACCACTATAATTACATCCCATAAAAAAATCTGTATGGTTTCATGGCAGTTACTCAGGTAAGCAAGCATGATTTTAAATTCCAAACTAAAATACTAAAAGTTGACTTTTAATAAAACAAGAAAGTTGTAGATATTTGTTAATATCTGTGTTGGCTAATATGATGTTTTACACACAAACCGGTGTTTTTAAATGACGAATAGTGTTGCTAAGGTTATTGTTAGACTAATAGTTTATTCGCCAATATTGGTTAGATTTTCTTAAAAGATTTCAAATAAGTTGTTTCGAGAGTTGTGATATTGTTATATCATGTCGTAATATCATGTAATAAACTTAGGTCAATACAATTATTTTCAAACTCCATGTTAAGTGCCAATTCCACTAATAATTACACAGGCATCTATAAAATATATCTCATACTAATTATTTGAATCTTATATATGTATTTATTTTTAAGCCGCATTTTGACATTCTTTAGAGCAACTCAGTCGTCTAGGTGGTACCTCGAAAGTCAACTATATATTTTAAGAAGCTTCGCTTCTTAGAGCAAACACAAATTAGGGCTTTCATTTAATACTTCTTTTTTTTGAATAGGAAACTAAAAATGAACATCCTCCAACTGGCCGCCAAGCTAATATAAATAATATTCGGGAGTCCCCCTACTAAAATTCAACCTGACAGCGTTGCCACATCAAAGAAAATGGTTGCTTTCTTCATTTCAAGTGACAACTGCTCCAAAAACAGCTGTCGAGTTGTATAATTTTTGATGTGCGGAAATGGCATGCGCCCGAAATTTGCTTTTTCGCGTTTTCCTGAATAACTCCGTGTCGCTCAGCCGCACCATCACCATGTCAGCCACGCGCCGCGCCGAGGAGGCCATCGAAAAGCTGAAGGAGGGCAATCCCTACTACTCCAAGTACGCGAGCAAGATCGCCCAGCTGCAGCAGACGTCGGCGGAGGAGTTCCTGGATCGCGTGGAGCGTGTGGTGAATCCCATCAAGGATGGCCAGAGCCAGGCCAGGTGAGTCCAGAGCTCGGAGTCCGCAGATGGAGCACCCCAGGCTAACCCCTGCCCGATTTCAGGACCTACTCCGAGCTGCTGAACCCCAAGCAAAAGTTGCAGAGCCAGGAGGATGCTGAACTGCCGCACAAGAAGCTCACCGACATCATGAAGCTGGAGCTGATTGCCGACAAGAGCGCCGAGGAGGTCTCGCAGATCTGGCTGGAGTACCACAAGACCAAGGAGGTCCTGGCCGCCACTCTCTCCACTTCTCAGTACGAAACCCTCATGACTCGGGCCAAGGAGCACCCCGTCTTCCTGCTGCCTCTGCCCCGCAGCGAGGGATTCGAGTTCGTGATGCTGCAGTTCGCCGCCAATACGGTGCACTTCACCCCGTTGCTCGCTTACCAGGTGCACCAGGAGAACGCCCCCGAGTGCCTCACTCTGGTGCACTACACCGAGGTCGAGGACAAGGGAGTGGTCCTGATGCGCGGCGAATACGACACCAAGGTCCTCACCGCCCAGGAGGCTCAGTGCCTGGCCAACGAACTACAGATGTTCTACCTAAAGCCCGACGAGGGCAAGCTGAGCCTGCTGGAGACCTTCACCCGCAAACCGGACGAGTTCAAGCACATGGATCTGATCAAGGAGGTGGAGAACATCCAGTTGGTCTAGGCCCTGCGATTATAGTCAAAATAAACTAAACAAAACTCGACACCGACACCCACAACACTTAAAACCAAAATTGCCAACTTGAAGTATTAATGAACACAAGAGATGGAGCACTTTGATTTGGTCATGGAGGAGATTGGTAAATGCCCATGGCCTCAGCCCCGATTTCCATGCACATCCGTAGCCACCGCCTACAGGTTTTGGGAAGGTACACGTGTTTGCCACCCTGACGCTCGGTCTCCTCCAGATGCTCACCATCCACGAAACAATGGGCATGGGCATCCTCGGTCCGGCCTCCGTCTGCGATCTGCACATGAATCAGGCGCAGTTGGCCGCGCTGACGGGGGCTGGGTTTATGGGCATTATCTGCTCCTCGTATTTCTGGGGCTACATCACCGACAAGAAGGGCCGACGCTGGACCCTGCTGCGCACCATAACGATAAGCAATTTCTGTTCACTCGTGTCCATGTTCATGATCAACTTCACCGGCTTCTTTGTGATGCGCTTTATCACATGTATTTTGTGAGTATCACGTGGAGCTTTACATCTTAGGACCAATAAGTGAAGGGAAACATAATTGATCAATAGGAGGATTTTGTACACAACTGTGAGCTTTTAGTTCCTAGTATCACAGATATTTCTTTACTTCAGAAATTCAGTGGCTATAACTTAAATTTTAGCTAAAGAATGGGTTCTATTGAGTATTTTTTTTACCATTCTAATAAATCTAGTTGAGTTAAAGTACTCTTGCGATATTGACTTGAAAACCTTAGTTAGAATACTGATCATTTGAGGAACTCAAATAAGCGTTTCTAAAAATCATTAGGGACTTGATAAAAATACATACAAGGCATTTTTTACCTATTTGAGCGTCCCTAACAAAGGATTCAACATTGATCTCATCTCCCCTTTCGATTAGCGTGGCAGGTCCTAGCTTCGTAGCCGCAACCTACCTGAGTGAGTTCTGCTCGCATCGAATCTTGATCCGCACCATCACCCACATGTACATGTTCACCGGGTTCGCCATGATCTACTGCCCAGGCTGGGCCACGCTTTTTCTGAGCTCGGGCTTGATTGAGTTTGAGGTGGATCTGGTGGGCAGCCTGACGCTGAGACCCTGGCGCTTGTTGGGCTTCTTGAACATACTCCCTGGCGTGGTCGCCTTCTTCCTGCTGCTGCACTTGCCGGAGAGCCCCAAGTTTCTGCTAATGATCGGCGACACTCAGCGGGGCTTGGCTACGATGGAGTGGATATGCCGGAACAACACCGGGCTCCCGCTGAGCGCCGAGCAGGTGGAACACCTGCGCGTCTATCAGGACCACGTCGCGGTGAAGCGGCGGAAGGGCAAGCAGAACTTCCTGCGCTCGATGCTCAACGATGCGATGCCCCTGTTCCGGCCACCCTTTGTCGGCTACTTCGTGTGCGCCTGCCTGGTTATGTTCGTCCTAGGCCTGTTGTGAGTGTGCTGGCTGCCTTGGGGATTCCCCTTTATCTACTCCTCCAATCCGCAGGGCGAACGGCCTGGGTATTTGGTACACTGCCATGCGGAATCGGTGCAACATGCGGCAGGGCAACAAGGAGGGCATGACCTTCTGCCGGGTACTTTTCGTTCCCGAAATAGGACCGATTGTGGAAACTGAAAGTGACCTGGAGGCGGTAAGCTAAAGTTAGTTTGAGAGTCTGTTACGTATCCTTTTCCCGGTCAGGCTTGCAACGACTCGTTTCTGGGCTTCAACGACTCCTTTATCCTGGGATCCGTCTATATCGTGCTGTATAATCTTTGCTGGCTGTCGCTCTTTTGCGTGCATAAGAAGGTGATGTTCGTCTTCTCCCTGGTGGCCTCCTCGACATTTGGTTTTCTCCTGATCTTTGTCACCAATTACACTTTCCAACTCTTTTCGCTGGTGTTCCTGATCGCCTTTCCCGGCATTATCGTTGGCCTGCTCGGGGGTTCACTTCTGGGGTTCGTGCCCACCTACATGCGGGCCAAGGCTCTGTGCATCAGCTTGATGTGGTGCCGCTGTGGCGCGGCCATTGGCGCCATTGTGGTGGGCTCCAGTATCCAGGACAATTGCGAACTGTTCCTACTGGCCATCGCCATCCTTCCTCTGAGTAAGACCCAATTTAAGTCATTCCAGGAACTACTTTTTTTTAATTCCTATTTATTTTTTCCGCAGTTGCCGCTTGTATGGAGGGATACTTGCCATTGTAATTTCTGTGATTTTATTTGTATACCATAAATCACCATGTATATTCGTCACAAATGGTTTCGTATTATTTCCGGTTAAAAAATGTCAAGAGCGCATCTTTAATTATATGACATTTTAGAAAAATAGGGTCATCAAATCAGAACCACCTTATTATAATTATTTTCATTTTTTTGTTGCATGGACCTATAAAACAAGTCTAGGGGTACTACTAAATGTAAATGGAACAATTGTTTTATGCAAGTCTCATTTCTCAGGGGAAAGCATTATTTGAAGGCCTTTTTTAACGAGTTTTCATTTGTTTTTTGTTCATTATAATAATAATTATTTGGAATTTTCCCTCAAAAATAATAACATTTCTTGATTGGGATTAAAAAAATTAAAAATAGAATCCTATTTGATTTTAAAAATGAAACTTAATCACATTTGGGCGATGAGTTTTAATACTTAATCCCAAAATACCAAAGCCCAAAACTATGCAGCAAAAACAATTCTTTAGTGTCTAGAAAAATACCTTTCCGTAGTATACTTAAAGTAGAACATTTAATATTTGGACTTGAGACGCGTAGTCTCGGGTAAAAAGTTAACGGGATCCCCAAATTGAACTAATGTGATCTCTACTTTTGGATAAGAGTCAAACGTCTGACACACCTATATAAAATTGTACAAAAATGTTTTGTGAAATAAAGTTTCTATAATTAAATTTTTAATTATTCAGCTTTTAGTCTAGAGGAATAATGATGGAATAAAAACCACAATTTGATCATTGCACTGTTTATTTAAATTTGAACATCACGAAGACGATTATTTTGGTAAGTCATTTATTTAATCGACATCAAGACTAGAGTAAATACTTAATACCGTAGCTGCAACTACTATTCCTCTCCCAACACGTTAAACTATTGCCCCGAAAAACAATCTAAACAAAAATGCGTATGCTAATAACTTTAATCATGAGTTAGTGACGTTGCCATGGTTGCCTCGAGTGGGTTTAGTACACCTCCTCCTCATCCAAAGCGCGGACCTGCAGGACAATACTATATTATTCCGTCTCAAGTGGAATCATCCCTGGTTACCAATTCTCCTCCGTTGTTAGCATTTTTTCCCAGATTTAGGTTGTCCAGTTCGCGGTTCCTCAGGATTTCCATCAGCGCCCCGCGCTTTCCGAACCGAACTCGAGCTCTGTCCCCGTAGAAGGTGTCCAGATCCTGCAGGAACTTGTAGGCATCAGCCATAGTGTTGACATCGTTCTTTCGCGGCGGTCTGGAGTTCGAAGCCTCCACACGGCAGCCGGCGGCAAGTAGAGCGAGGGCCACGCAGACAATCAGGATGCAACGCATTGTTTGGCACATAGTTCTGAGGAGGAATCAGGTGGGATTAGGTTGCAACAAGAATGGGAGCAAACTTCGGCAAGCCGAAGTTTATATACCCTTGCATCTGTTAAATTAAGGAAAGCCGTAATTCTGAAATAGTTAAAACTGACTATGTCTCGGAGTATATGTAAAGCAAAAAGAAGTAAATATTTTATTTCCTTTTTCCTGATTGTTCCCATGGCAGCCATAAAATAAAGTCATCCGATTTTTAGAACACTAAAACCGTATTTCTGAAATTGCTAAAAAACACTCTTGACTTATATGCTACCTTTCATCCAAACACCTTTAAAAATGTAGGACTAGTTTGCGTATAATTGGACAGACGGACATAGGTGATGCTGATCTAGAATATATATACTTTATAGCGTCGGAAATGTGCTCTTTACTGCTCTGCAAACTTCTGAAATACACTCTGCATGGGTATTGAAATTATCATCACTTTTCAGAAGAGTAGTATAGTCTTCAAATTGAACGTTTCTAGTTCCTTTTATTATAATAAAAAAATTAACGTTTTCTAAATAATATTAAGGATCAAGACGAATTTATTAGACAAAAATGTTTACCATTAAAAAAAAACTAAAAAAGTATCTCACTACTCGCCAATGCACTATGGGGTTTTTGACCTGTTTTTGTGGCATTAATTAATAACTCGGTCAGTTTTGGAGATATCGACATGAAACTTTACCAATCGTCATTATTTGTCCCTAGGCACATATAGTGTGAAAATCGTTTGGATCAGGAAACAATACCCTATAGCTCCCATAGGAACGATCGGTTAAAACTAAAAAAAAATTAATGAAATTTAAAGAGCTGAAATTTGTTGGTCCATGCCTTTAAAAGATGATGATAATAAGTGCAACAAAAGCAAAAAGAAAAAATTTCGTCAAACTCAAAACTCATCGGCAGCCACGGATACATATCGACTAACAATTCGCCAGTTTGTAGGCAAAATGATTCGAATTTGTCCAAATTGACGGGCAACTGACAGGACAAACATTTAAAAATGATCCTCATATTATAAATAATTTGTTCATCAAACATTGTATAGCCTTTTCTTGCTCAAGCCGGCCCTTCCTGCTATTCCAAACAGCAACCAGGTCGGCGTTGGAGAAAGTGAGGTTATCTAAGAAAAATTCAAATTGCACCAATAGTGCGGAAAAGTGCACAATAAGACTAACATATTTTTGCTCAGAATTGACAAGGCTACAACATACACTTGGACGCATTGAAAACTAATGCAAACTTCTATTTCAAAACTCTTCCCAAAGTTGAAATTTGTTCCTCAAAATTCAGCTTAAGGTGCATTTATAAAGTGACAAAATATTACTATAAACACGCATAATTTAAACAATTAATACATTTAACATATAGTACAAGCCTGTGAGATCAGTTTACATTTATTTTTTTCTTTTCAAATGGTGTTTTACACGAATAAATTAATTTCAAAGAACGCCTTGAAAAAATTGCAAACTTAGCGCTGGTACTTTCGCATGCAACAGCTGACTTTACAGCTGTTATGTGCACATATGCTGTTAAGTATTAACATTTTGAGTATGAGGCATAACAGTTTGATGTTCTGTTAATGCATTCCCATTTTTTTTTTTTAATTAGAGCACTTTTAAAAAATGACTAAATGCCACATAAAGTGGTCAAAAACCCCATAGTGCAATGTTAGGGAAGGTAGTAAAATAGAAGCATCGCTTAAATTGTAATTTTTTATGATATTTGCGTGTCTTTTTAGCTTAACAGCTTTTAGTATGCGTTTTTTTTCCATAATAGTTTGTTAAAGAATTTATTAAAAAACCATTTAGTAAAGTAACATGAAGTTTAAATATAATTGATGGTGTTTTTCCATAAAGAATAATCGTTTTCAGAGTAAAAATACTTTGACCTAACTACCCATGATAAGTAATTTAGATCTCGTATAGCTCGGGGACCTATTTAGGGGTCTTAGGAGGGCCTTAGTAATAGCTGGCAATCAAGTATGCTAATTGGAAAACTTGGCTAAATGATCAATAAGCTAGCTGAATGCTGTCGTTTATGATCAATACTCAATGATTTTGGGCGGGACTGACGCAAGTTGTTAATACTTGAGCCCAGCTAAGTGCAAATAAAGCCGATAATTACGAGTATTATAAAGCAGTTAGCTTCTAGCTAGGGCCCCCTTGAACCGAACGAAAGGATGCAGATATGAATCATTGTTTTACGACCCATCATCCGGGCTAAAGAGCACACATAATAGTTCTGAGAAAGCGCATTTACGTGATGTACTTGCTTTAAATGAGTAAAAATGGTTCAACTGAACTAACTTAAGTGGTTTAGTGGAAGTGGAATTGGGAAGATGGTTCCGTTTTGAAGCACTTACCTGGTCCGAAGTGGGAATATGAGTATTTGAGAACGCAAACGATATCACAATGCGATTGTTTGGCGGACTGTGTAATCAGCGGACGCGACCGTGAATAAATGTTGGCCAAAAGCCATTGGCAACAGGTATTTATAGGAGTCGCCGGCTGGAGGATGTGCCCGTCTTATCACGACCCATCCCACCCTCGTCCAGATCCCGAGCAGAAGCGAACGGAAGTTGGCAAAACGATTCGAAACGAACACCGGGCGAAACCTCTAAAATGTTTTCATATGCAGGCTAATTATGTGGCCGCTACTGCTGTGTTTGAACTTTTGCAGCAGCTGGAACGGAAGAGCCACCGGGAGTGGGAATACGAGTCGCGATTCGGAGCGGTGGGTGGGCGGTATGGAAATGCGAACGGAGATTGGCGGGCGCTAACAAATAGTGACAGTTGGCTAACGAGATATCTGGAAACGGGGCTATCGGGAGCAGAATTACGCATAACTGAATAAATGACAAATTTTCGATAAGAAGGATTAGTGCCTGCTGCCGCCCCACCTGAAATCAGTTCTCTGATTTATGTGCTCATAGCCTCACGTAGCTGCACTCCTCCTTCCGCCTTCGCTGGCGTCAGAGCTGCGGCTCTGGGTCATTAATTATAGTATTTTGATTATTGTTTAATAACTGTTGGCTTAGACGGCGACGCTGATTGCGATACGCGACCCGTTGAGGTATTAAGTGCGCTGCCCGACTTCCCATTGCTGTTTAATTTGGGGTCAGGCGGTTAACTAATTTCAATAGCGATTGCGGCTGCAGTGCTGTAATCCGCTTCTCAGAGGCTGCAGTGCGTATACGTAATATGCTTTCCCTTGTGGGCTACCATAACAACATGACATCAGAGAGCGGGTTCTTGTGAACGGTTATTAAATTAATATTTGTTATAAGCGTTCTGTCTAATTAACGCTAGAGCCATTACTTATTTTCCAGTTTTTCCTTTTTTTTTGTCATCGTCTCCGTTCTCTGGCCCAGTGTTGTTGCGATTATCGCTCCAATTAACTCGTTAGATATTCATTTGCGACGGGCGGTAGCGTTTCATATTTAAATCTAATTGCCATCCAACATTGTTGGTTCCTCATTGTTCGGCTTAGAGTTTAGCTCCAGTTCCAGTTCCATTAACAGCCGTCGATATAGAGCACTTGCCTTTGCTAATAATTGGAGCTAAGATAGACGATTACATGCTGTGGCTACTGGCAGCAGCACTCCCATATGTTTACCTTGCGATCGACATTCATTACAGCATCCGCGAATCGGACAATGTCTGGCCGAAGTCCCCTGAACTTTCATGCGCCTTATATATTATTGTGTATTTCACAAATATGATCAACTTACATAATCAAACATGAGAATTACCCTCCCAAGACAATTAGAATGATTTATGCAACAAAAGGGAAATCAGAGTAAATAAACCAATTTCAAGAATATCTTATCAAAGGATAATTGTATATTATTTTCATTTGGTTCTTAAAATGCGTTGGTTTTGAAAATGCTCTTAACATACACGTCATTTGTACTTGTTTTCATGACCTCGCGCCAGCAATAAACCTCATATTTGATCAAAATCTAAAAGGTCGCCATCCACAGCAACAACCAATTAATTTTTATTTCGTTCTGTAAATAACAAATTCGGCTATGATTTCAGTTTTTGTGACTCAGCCTACTATTGAGCTATTTTTAAAACGCTTTCGAGATGGTTAAAAATAGTTTGCGGTTTTAAGGAAATGAAAAGAGGTTTGTAAATTTACAAAATTATTTCCTTATATAAACAAATAACTGTTTTAACGAAAAAGTACTTAGCCAACGGGTCGAATGAGTTATTTTTTTGGGAAGAGTTTTAAAAATTATACCTTTTGCTAAACCAGCAACTTTAAATGATATTATTTTTAGCCTTTATAGTTTACTACGTTTCAGTTAAATAGTTAAACGGGGAACTCCCTGAACTGGTTCAAGGACATCTGCGGTGGAGTGTTCCGCCATGAAAGCTGCTGGAGCTGGTCAAGTCGGGCTACATTTCGGTTTTTCCCAGCACCTCGTATATGCACTTCATTGTTCTGCTGGCTGCGACTTTGCAGGGCTTTTGTCACCTTTCATGTGCTAAATCGCCAACGTCATCGTGCTAGACGAATGCCTCAGACAATACTTTGGGTTGATGCGGCGCTGCAATTACGACAAAGTGCCTTGTTTTATACAGTTAACATTTATAAGCTACGACCTGCGTTTTCCGGAACTCATGACGGGGGTTACCCTCTTTCCCAGGCCCATATCGTGTCAGTCTTGCGATGGGCATAATATTTATATTTTTGCATGCCAGCCCCCAATTTTTGGAGAACAGCTTTGAGAACCCTGACGCGCTGTTTGCGTAGATGTTAATAATTTCGATTCGGTGACCCGCTGCCCCTTTCAGCTTGTTAAAAACTACTTGGGATTATTGAGCGTTTAATGTATGCGAAATAGTTTCAGCAAATATACCCCTTGCTCGCCGACCAGATCTGTTGGGGCTCCGAATTCGCTCCTCGGACTTTTGGGGCTTTCCTCGCCTTGAGGATGGACGCCAATTGGGCGATTGCCATTTAGACGGTCGCCAAACAACAGACTCATTGGCAGCCAACTGATAATTGTACCTAAAAATTTCGCAGCTTAATAACAAAGTTTGCATCTATTTGTCTGTGTTTTTGTTTGGTTTTCTAAATCTGGCAAATATTGATCTACATCCAAAGGGTTAGTCAGATCCGTGGTATTCCACGTGAATTCGCCACTTGGGAAGAGACGTGTGTGAGGGGTCAGTTGCAGTACGTCAGAGATTATTCTTGGAAAATAAAATAGACCTGGTTTTTACCATTTCTAATTTGTTTTGATCAGGCTAGGGGATTTCAAAGCTAGAAACTACAAAAAATTGATTACCCTAATCAAACATTTCAGTTAACTTCCCAAAACGTCTTTTGTACCTTAATATATACAAACGCCAGAGACTTTGCTTTTGGTTCTAAGAATACAAGTTGATAATGAAATTATTTCATTTTATTCATAAAACCTATTTACATTTATGATATACAAAGCATAATAATTTAAATTTCGATGGTAGTTAAATGTTTTAAATTTTTCTATAACTTTCATAAATAAAATAAAATAGAAAACTTCCCTAAACGTCTTTTATATATACTTTAACATATACAAATTAATGTATTATAGTTAATTAAGCAAAAGACTTTTGTTTTGATTCTAAGCTTACAGGTTGATAATGAAATGATTTTAAGAATTGTTCATGCTAAACATTATTTAAATTTCCGTGGAAGATGTATGTTTTAAATTCAAGTTAAACTTTTATTTATAAAACAAAATAGGTCTTTTTTATGTTCTTTTAATTTATTAACTGTTTCTTATGAAAATGTATATGTTAAAAGTTTATAGTGCCTAAGACGGTAATTCTATTGAACATTAATGGATTAAAAAAATTTACTTCGCACCTAATTTGAGGATAAATGTATTTAACAGGTTGGCTTAAAAACTGGTTTCTTTTTATTACATATTAATGGGCCATTCCATTTTAAACTTATGAGAGATGCTAATGGAGTAAATCCCAAAATAGAAAATATGCCAATAGCTTTTATATGTGCTTTTATTGAATGTCGGTGAATCCTTCTCTCAAGGATTTGTTGGTCTAACCAACTTCTCAGTGGAAAGCTTTTACTATGTTCACAACCTTAGAACCCTTGCAAACTTTCGGAGAAAGCATAAAAGCGACTATCAAAAAGTGGGACTTTGGGATGCCATAATTACGTCCCATAAACACAAACAACAATTAGCCCGGTAACAACAGCCGCCCGATGGCAAATTGCGGCTCACATGCCATATGGTAGTTAGGAGGGGGCTCATTGTCTATTCGGGATCAGATCACCCGTGCGGTTGGGTTGGCGTTGTGGCAATAGTCCACGAACAATGCGGGCAATAAAAAGCACACAAAATGTCATTTCTCAGACAAATGTCTGGCGGGCAGAACAACAAGTGAAGATGATATTTACTGGACAGCCCGAGTCAGGGACTACGATAGAGCGAAATAGGTCACTGACTAAAGGCTTTATACTATAGCCCACTATTCTTAGTCAGCGTGATCAGATCAATCGCATGGGCACGCCACAGATCTGTCATAAATATCGAGCTAAATAGCCGAGGGGCAATTATCAGAACAGCCAGTTAATAGCTAATCGTTATTGGCTGCTAAGAATCAGAACTGGATGTAATTTAGTCAAGAAGTGGCTTTTAATTGCGGCAAAACTTCATGCATATTTATGGCCGGGCCGCAGAAAGGGCAGCGGCACGTGTGCGTGTCTGCTGTGGCGAAGATAGAAGTCGGTGGATTAAATAGAGTCATTTGAGCCATTAAATCTATGGGAAGGCAATTGCGGCTAAGCGATCCGCGAGACAATGGCTAACCCATCCCACTTCACCCTGCGTTCTATGCTAACCCAGACCCAGGGGTTTGTTGGGTTGGATTGGGCTGGGTGCTCGGCCGGGGGGTCCATAGCCCCGGACCAGAAAGTGACTTAATGCTGCTCGGGGTTTTTGTTTTGGCCAACGACTGCGAGTGCGAGTGTGAGTGCCAGCGCCAGTGCGAACGTGCGCGGTTTTAGCCGAGTGAAGCCCGAGCAGAGGCTTGAATGTGGACCGGTTGTAGAAAGGTTGAGATGCTAGTGCTAGCTGCTAGCCGCTAGCTAGCTGCTAGCCGATCCGATCTCCGCCTGAGACTCGGAACTCGGAACTCGGCACTCGGTCGTCCGAGAGATCGGGGAATCGGCCCAAGAGTCCATATAAAGGTCCCCGCTGCAGTCGAGATCGGCGCATTAAGTTGTCAAAATTTGTGAGAATAGGAAGTGCGTGACAGTTCAGTTCGATTCGAGACAAAGCAGCGAGATTCTAGCCCAGCCACCAGAATCAGGCAACAGTATCAGCTAAAACCCTGATCGGATCTCGTCGGAGCGGGACTCTCGGGTGGACAATCGCCAGGAACCAACCACTCAGTCGACCTATTCAGACCCACGCCAAGTCAAAACAAATTAAACCATGCAAATTCCCCGATCGTAATCGGAATTTCAATCACAATCACAATCCGTAACGCGGCCGACCTGTTAATAGTTTAATTAGCGGTCATAAATAATAACACAAGAATTAATTGATTTTCGTTATAAATCAATAAATAACTAACCAACCAGACTGCCAGCCAAGCTGTTCAATCAAGTGCAGCCCGTTAAAAAGGAGGGGAAAAATCAGATCGCGCCGGAGCTAAATATTTTTAGGTGCTGAAATGAAACTATTTACCAACAAAAACCAGCGCAATGCAAGTGAGTATACTCGGCCCAAAAAAGCCAAAGCGGCCAGCGCTTAATTAAGCCATGCGGACCATTGTCCGCATTGGTCAAAGCCAAAGGCCCATAAAAGTTAATTCGAGCCGCGGTTTCCAGCCAAGGGAGCTGCCCCCACGCGATCGTAAAATGTCAACAAAGATCTCTTGCACAAACTGCTAAAATCGCCTAAACTGCTAAGATCGCTGAAATGTAGTAGGAATGGTGCAATGGATTTTTAAACGCTCGTGCATGCTAATCAAGCCGATATAAAACGGTTTCCAAATTTCGAAATATCACATTCCCGGCGAAAATTAGAATGCTAATTACCGAAATACCGACAGCTGGCAGCAGGTATAAATATCTGCTATTTTATTTATTGCAAATACCTGGATAGCGGACCAGTTGTCGGAGCCCGGTTCTAAAGTCCACTTATTTTGGCAGCACGACAGCTATAAGCTAATAATAGCAGCACAAACTTGAGACGAACAAAAATGTATTTGAAATTGTATTAATTAGTGCTTTCTAGGGTTATCTCTTTTATTTCGGCTCTCGGCCAAAGCTGTTAACATATGCTCAAAGCCAAATAAAAGGGGCAAGACATCGGGCTATTTGCATAACAACAAATGAGCTGCCAAGGGCGTAGGGTTCTATACTTTGTAGGCCAGCTGTGTAGGGTCACTTCAGATTAATTGTAAGCGGCTTGTATCTGAACAAACATGTGTACACATGTAGATCTCCGGATCGTTTTGGCGAAGTCATTCGCTATCAACTCATTCCGACACTAAGTCTTCGGAAGCGTACGTGTGTGTGTATTAACGGATCTGGACGGTAGTGCAATTAAGTTTGCATAAATTAAGATTTGAAATGAAATCGGTTGTGACTGAAAATGTCACGTATTACCTTACCATGAAGTTCGATGATTTCAATCAGCATAAATGCGCTGGGAAAACTGAAGGTGAGCGCGATGATTGCCCAGCCCGGGTCGGCCCCATGATATGATATGATATGCTCAGCTAAAGCCCGACAAGATGATGACAGATCCCAGATCTAGTATCCCATACCCTATATTCCATATCCCATATCCCATCCCCCGAAACGCAGGCGTGACTTGCAGAGAACTGAGAGTGCCGAGAACGATCCAACTAATTTGCCGCAGTGCGCCATAAATCAATACGATCTACAGCTCAATGCCCGCTAAACAATGCAAATAACAGCTATTGTCCGGGCATTAGCAATAACAATATCATCGCAAGTGTAAAGTATCCGTTTCAAAGGCGAACAAATCGGATCAGCATCAGCATCAGTATCAGCATCAGGCTGCGAATCGGGGAAGTTGTAAACTTGGCGCGCTACATACATATTTACTTTTCCTTATTGGCGGGCGTCTAATTGCCGCGAGACTTTGACTGCGACTATTTAAGGGTTTTGGGTTTTTCGGTTTTGGCGATGATTAAAAGCAAATAGCAACGGATCTGGGATTAATCACTAGCCAAACAGAGCCAAACAGGCAGGCGGCAAACAAATATCGTCATAACAGAGACGACTATTAGGCGATCGAATCGCATCGGCACTTGCTAACAGAGTATCTGTATCTTGCGGATACCCGAGCGCGAATCTCGGCGTTGCACTATAGAGCTATGGAGCTGTAGCTACGGCTATTTGCCTAATTTATTGTCGTTTGACGGAAGTCGCACACACACCTGCCAGCCCGCGAAGGTGTTCCATCAGAAAAAAAACTTATTCATTCTTGACTTCAGTGGGTCAGCACTGGTGACGCTTTGACTGGTCAAAATCATATTATTTCCAGCACTTGGAGTCGGTTTAATTTTCAGGTTTTTTTTGTGTTTAACACGACTCTAGCCGGCGAACTGCACCGAACTTGAACTTCAGACCGCTGCAGAGGCAGCCGTCGGTAATGCCTAGTAACTGATATACCGATCCCGCCCGATATTGAGCTGCCTGCCGACTGCCGACTGGCTGCTGTTTTGCTGTTTTGCTGTCGCAAACAAGTTCACAGCTCACTGAATCAGCTGCTGCGATCGAGACAAGCGTCTTTCATTCATGATGCGATGCCGTGTCTTGTGTGTTTTGGCCCGCCAATCTTCCTATCGTCATCGCCGATTTTGCTTCGGACTTTGCTTGGCCGGTGCAACTGTTGCGCAATGCACAACAGCTCCACTTTTTGCCAGCCCGTGGAGATTTTCGTGTGGTTTTGCCACTTTGCGTGTCGATTTTGGCATTGGTCATTCCATTGCAGCAGAATAATTTGGGCCGCTTTGTGTGCGGCCTAATTTATGGGTGGGCCCCATAGTTCGGGAATTTCGGCTGTCACACTCAAGGCAAGGATATACATGAGCATCTAAGTCTACACGGAGAAAAAAATGTTTATTGTCTTGGCAAACCTTTCGAATTTTTAAAGATGTTTAAAAAATATGATCAAAAATTACAAATGTTAAATTTAACCTCTAAGTCGAATTTTTTCGACTTTAACGCCCATTTAAGGAATATTTATTTATTTATTTTTAATAACAAATATGTACATAAATTGGTTTAAAAAATTACTCAAAATTAGATGCTTTCCAAGAACTCGTAAAACAAAAGTAAAGAAAGGTTAAGTCTTGGCAAACCTTTCATATTTTCACTTTGTTAAAAAGTTTAAAAAAGTGATCAACACTTCTTCATCATATGTACATGCATTTGTTTAACAAAAATTCCTTACAAGTAAATCCTTTCCAAGAACTCATAAAACAAAAGTAAAGAAAGGTTGTATCCTAAAGATAATCTTCATATGTTTGCGTAGCTAAAAGCTTTTGCTGTGAATATACACAAAAGTAATTAGTATTTTATGCATTTTTTATTGCCCACATAATTATGAATATAATATCTTTTGGACTTTGGTCTCAAAACTTTATTTTGGACTGTAGTCTCTAAGCGCTTCAGAAAATTTAAAACCTGAAAGATTTTAATAATATTTATCAGTGTAATTATTTTAGGAAATTAAAAAAATCCAACCAAATTCTAATGAAAGCTATTAAATTTCTTAGATAAATCAATTGTATGGATCATTTTTCGCTGTGCATACTCATAACTCCTATCAATATAATATGTTTGGATTTCTGGTTTCATCGGCGCCATGCATAATTTGTCATGTATCATCGCCGTTTGTTTTGATTGTGAAGTCTTGAACCTATTTATGACACCAAAGTTGACACCGAAGCGAAATTGTTAATGAGTTTATGCTGTTTGCTTTTCGATCTCAGCCGCAGTTGCTGTGGGATCGTGCCATTTTGGAGCGAGTTAGGGGCGTGCTAGGCTCTAGTCAGTTCATTGATCTTGGCAGGTGTATCGGTCGCCGCTTTCGGTTTCTAGTTCCATGGAAACATCTATTATTTGGGCAAACAATTGGGGTTTTTCTGCTTTTGTTTTTATTGCGAGCACTCGCAAACCGATTTCTACCGATAAATGGGCCAAGATTGTGCGTTTGATTTACGAGCGGCCCACCGAAAGTGATCTTCATGGAACGGCCATGATCGCTGTAAATCGGTCACAGGATGGGGTGAACTGGGTGCGCCCACGCTCTGGATTAGCAGACTTCTGGCCAATTTCCGGCCAGACTTCGAGTGCGGAAGTGGAACACAGCTTGGGCAAAGACAATAATCTTCGCGGAAGGTGAGAACAAACGAGTTTCGGTCGTAAAGTGAGTGATTTCACTTCAAGTAAATGTGAGGCGAAGTGCAGCCTAGATTGATATGCTTCGATTGCCTTGCCCATCTTCCGTGCTTTTAATTAATATTCCAAACAAGGTCAGTGGAACTGGATTTTTACGACTTTTCTAGGAGCGGCAGTCTTATCCAATTGGTGTAAGCAAACACACAACATCAGTCGCAATTCACTTTTCAGCCCAGTAAATGCTCTTCATTTAAAAAGAAAACAAACAGTGCCAGTGGGGAAATAAACTATTTAAGGTGTAATCATAAATTAAACAAATACGTTTTGTTTACCTTTATGCTAAAAAGGTGGCGATATGCTAAAACCAGTTGGCAGCTGTACGAATATTTTAATGCCGCCTAAAAACGAATAATATGGCTTTTAAATTTTAGACAATATATTTAAATTGCCGGAAAAAATGTCTGAGAGCAAGGGCAGTAAACTAGAATTATGGGAATTTTATTTTTTGGATTGCACGCATCACCTTCCCCCGCTTTTGTGATTAAAAAATCGAAGAACGTTCATTGAACCTCCACCGTTTTTGGGCATCGTCATCGTCTGCCGTCTGCCGTCTGCCACTCGTCATCGTTTTGTTTATATTTTGGCCTGGAGCTGCCGTTCCTGCTCCTGCCATTGAGGTAGGTCGCAGATCTCGGCCGACCCGATCCGATGCGATCCGATCCGCCGCCAAGGTCAATGGCATGATGGGCATGATGGGGGGCGCACGCTATCGCCAAACTGGAACCGCGGAAAACCAGTTCAACTTCAGCTGACGGCGCTCGCATGACCATAACTCACCCGCTGATCTATTTTATTGCAGAGCTGCTGCGCTGCGCTGCCCTCGGGATGACCCTGCTGTTCTTCGGCTCGCTGGTGCTCATCGCGGACCCTTTGCAGAGCATCCTGGATGCGGTAAGAATATATATCTTCTTAACACAGTAAAATATTGCTGGGACTGTGGTCAGGAAATATGAGTAATATATGGCATGGCATCGTCATGTCAATTAGCAACTTTAATCACTAAATTATAAGCGATGTGACGATAAGATAAAATGTGTATTTGTCAACCAATCTGGAAACTTATAACAAATGCAAGGCAAAAGCATCTTAGATTCATTTAAACCAAGTGACGTTTATAGATAGCTGTTTCGAGTCAAGATTTAATAAACATCTTGGATTTTAATAACTTAATTCCCGTTCACCGATTTAAAAACTTGTGACTAGTATAAGTCCAAAGCATCAAAGACTTATATAAGCCAATTTAAGTCAATAGATACCTGTAACTAACCAAGTTTAAATTGTTATGAAAATGTGTTGGGGTTATTATTTGTAATATCTTCTATTATTATAATTTAGTTCCTCATTCCGATGATATTCTAAATTTTCCCAATATATTAATTCTTTTGAAATGTAAACTACTTGAAATGATCATGATAAATACATAGCTCAGTTTAACAATAGAAAATGGTGTTCATGGACATTTTAAACAAATTTATTAACCCAATTCGAACTAAACAATTTAAACAAAGGTTTTTCTGAGAGCCAATGTTTGGCATTCAACGGAAATTAAGTTAGACTATGGTTCTGTGAATTTGTTGAAATGTCACAGATATAAAAACTAATCTTTGTAATATGTTTTCTCTACAGCAACTGAGCTTGAAGCCCGGTGCCTTGCTCCATCGACTGTGGCTTCTGCCGCCGATCGACGTGTACATCAACGTGTACATGTTCAACTACACTAATGTGGACGATTTCACAGCTGGCAGGGCATCCAAGTTGCAGGTCCAGGAGGTGGGCCCTTATGTTTACAAGGAGATTCTGAGCAACCACAACATCACCTACAACGAGTCAAACAACACCATAACCTATACGCCGAGACGCGAATATGTCTTTGCACCGGAGCGATCTGTGGGCGATCCCAAGGTCGACCGCATCCGGGCTCCCAATATCCCACTCATGGGTGTGACCACTCTGGCCTCCAGTCTATCGATGTTCGCCGCCCTGGGACTGAGTGCCCTTACCAGGCGACTCAACTCACAGCCAATGCTGGAGATGAGTGTCCACGACTACATGTGGGGCTACGAAGATGACCTGGTGGAACTGGCCTCTCGATTCGTGCCCAACTGGATTGACTTCACCAGCTTTGGCATCATGGAGAAGGTAGGGTTCTTTACGGATTTCTTTTCTTAAGTTATGTAGCATTATTTTAAAACCCATGATTATAAAGGTCTTTTTTGCGGCTCAAAGTCTTAAACTCAACAATTAAAACGGCTATCAATTAATGTTGGCAATGGGTCTAATAAATATAGCAATTATATTTATAAGTCGCTCACGTTTTAAGATCCCCTTTGTTAAATATATATGTCTCACTTCAGCTTTTTATACCCGTTACTCGTAGAAGGAAGCGTTTCCGACCCTATAAAGTATATATATTCTTGTTCAGGATCACTAGCCGAGTCGATCTAGCCATGTCCGTCTGTCCGTCTGTCTGTCCGTCTGTTTGTCCGTCTGTCTGTCCGTCTGTCTGTCTGTCCGTATGAACGCTGAGATCTCGGAAACTATAAAAGCTAGAAGTTTGGCATTTTGCATGCAGATTCTAGGAGTTCCTACGCAGCGCAAGTTTGTTTCAAAAAGGTGCCACGCCCCCTTTAACGCCCACAATCGCTTATATACGATTTTAAAAATTTTAATATTTCGGAAAAGTAAAAATGCAGTTTTATTGTGTTTATAAATACCTATCGAAATGTAGAAAAAATTTTTCAAATCGGACCATTCGTTAAAAAGTTATGCGTGATCAAAGTTTCTATCTCCATCTCCCTCGCACTCCCTTTACCTGAGTAACGGGTATCTGATAGTCGGGGCACCCGACTATAGCGTTCTCTCTTGTTAATAATTAAATATTATAATTAATCCTATTGCAGCTTTTTCGGGAGGGAAATGAGAGCAATGTGTTCAACATGAACCTGCGGGAAGGCAAGGACAAATACGGAGTGAGGCTGCCCGATGCTCCTCGTGGTTACACCGTGAACAGCATCAATGGAGAGCGCGGATTCAAGCGTTGGCAGTACGACGAGGAGACCAAGTAAGAGCCTTCTTTTAGCCCCTCCCTCAAGTGGAAGACTAACAATGGCATTCTTCTGTTAGTGGCACCATGTGCAATAGGATCTGGGGCAGCCATGATGCCACCCTCTTCCCACAGGACATGGATGAGAACGACGAGTTCTACCTGTACAGGCGCACCTTCTGCCGGCGCCTGCCCGTGAAGTTCAACCGCACCACCAGCTACAATGGTCTGGATGCCTTCGAGTTCGTGATGGAGCCGGACTCCTTCGACAGCGAGCTGGGCGACGCCAACTCCTCGTGCTACTGCAAGAACAACCGCTGCCTCAAGAAGGGTGTTGGCAGCGTCTCACCCTGCTACTACAGTGAGTACTCCTGACCTAGAACCCGTACCATAGACCTACTTACTTACTCGGCTTTCTTTGCAGACATTCCTCTAGCCATTACGTATCCGCACTTCATGCACGCCGATCCCAGTCTTCTGGAGCCTTTTGAGGGCCTCCAACCCAACGAGTCGCGCTTCACCTCCACCTTCGTGGTGCAACCGGTGAGTTCACTTGAGACCAACCCAAATCCGCTTTACTAACAATGCTTTTTGGGTTCCAGCAACTGGGATCTCCGATGCAGGGCACCCACCTGCGGCTGCAGGCCAACCAGGTGGTCGGAAAGGTCAACTTCAACCGGATGATGGAGCCCTTCGAGAACATGATATTGCCGCTTCTGTGGGTGGACCTGAACATCGATGTCCTGTGCCTGAGCCTGCGGGTGCTCATCCACGGCATCAAGTGGGGCTTCCCGCTGCTGCAGTGGAGCGCCGCCGCGGGAATGCTGCTGGCCGGCGTTTACCAGCTGTGCAGCGCCCTGATGCTCTGCCTTTGGCCCGCCGCCAAGCAGTTCCAGAAGGTGGACCAGGCGGAGCGGGGCACGGCGGTGCAGATGATCGGGGCTGGCCTCAGCTTGGCCAGCGGGCTGCGGAAGCCGTCGGTTCAGCTGGAACCGGAGGAGCAGCACCACCTGCTCCTCGGCGGAGGTGGCTTTTTGCCCAAGTTGGCCAAGGCGTAACCCAGCGGCGGACCGGAATGCCTACCTCAACTCAAGAAGAGGAACACTGTGATATTTAGGCTTAAGATTCGGTGTAAATTATTGTGCTCATCGGAAACAACTTAGGGAACGTCCGTGCCTACGTACTAGTTAACGATAACGATAAGTTTGGGCTACACTTAAAGTAGAGTGGTAACAGTAAGCAATGTACAGCTGAGCTTGCACTCGATAAATACAGGTCGATAGCAATGTAATCCTTGATTCAGTGGGCGGCGATCGTGTCCTCGATCCACTTCATGTAGTACGAGGTGCGGGTGTAGACGTCCGGGAAGCCCTCCAGGGCACACCCCGAGCCGAAGGAGGTGACCCCCACCAGGATCCAGGGTCCGTCGCGGCTCAGGCGGCACTGCAGCGGTCCGCCGGAGTCGCCCACGCAGGTGCCGCCCTCGCCGTTCAGCTTGCCGGCGCACAGGTGTCCTCCGTGGATGTTCACGAAGCTGCCGTAGGCATCCTTGCACCTGCCGAGAGGTAAGATTCAGTTTAGACAGCAATTGTCAATATTATACAGCAACATGGCCAAGTCCAACTATTTTACTTTAGATTTTACATTAAGTTTCGGTGTGGGAAATTCGAGTTGGAACACGGAAGTTCAGTAAATGGATCTCAAATTAAAAAAAAGAGATTTTCATTATCATTGAACATTAATAACATTAGAACTATAGCTTGCTGTCAATATTATTTATCATCATGGCCAAGTTTAACTACTTTACTTTTTCCAAACAATTAAGTGATTTTTACCCAAAGGACATACATTTCTTTAGACAATATTTGTTATAATTCAGGTTCATAAATCAATAATTTTTTAATTTTAAAAATTGTGGAGGCGTAAAAAGTTAATGGCCAAATTAAGCATCTATACACCGAAATCTATTACAAAATTATTTATTGATTAATGTAAAAAAGTAAAGGCAAAGCGTATACTAACTATTTATGTACATTTTAAAACAAGTTTATAAAATGAAAGCTTAAACATATTTTGGTGTAGTATTCCATAGGTCACTCACCTGCCGTTCTGGTGCAGTGGCACCTGAGTTTTCAGCAGTTGATTGGACAGATCCCCACTGATGTTGGCCTTGCCCCAGCCCGTGGCCACGCAGTCCACAAAGGCCATCTCCTTTGGCTCCTCATTGACTTTAAGGTGCTTCTGCTCTGCGGAGTCCTCCGAATCCCTCCGAGGACCCAGCTTCATCAACTTGTCGTTGCGTCTTCGCGAGCGTTTCACGCTGCGCGGGGAGCGTTGCGCCAGCGCCTGACGCATCCTGCTGAGAATCTTCATGTTCATCAGCTCCTTCATGCTGGGAGCCGTGACATTCCTGTAGCGCCGGCGGCTCTGGACACTGCGCAGGAAGTTGTCTATCTTCTCGGGCACATCCTCCAGCTCCAACTGCTGGAGGAGCACGTCCACGTCAGCTGGTGCGACAGTTGGGGACGCTGCCTCCGAAAGTGCCGCATCCTGCGACTCGGCCAGCAGGAAGGGCAGGCAGATCCTCCGGATGTTGGAGGCCCTGGCGAGATCCGCCGGCTTTGAGAGCTTCATCAGCACCACGTCGTGCCGGAAGTTGTGGTAGCGGTGGTGCATCACGATCTTCTCGACGGGAATGCGCTGCTCGTTGCCCGATTCCACGCCGCGGTCGTGTTCGCCCAGTACCACAGTCCACAGCGGAGGGATGGGCAGGTTAAAGAGATCGCTGGAATGGGAATTTAACTTATCATAATCCCGGCTTTGCAGTCTCAGCTGATGGACCTACTTGTGAACACAGTGGGCGGCGGAGAGTATCCAATACTGGTGGATCAGCACCGCCCCGCACCAATGGCCCAGGAATCCGAGCGATGGGTGCAGTAGCTCCAGGGAGGCTTGCCAGGGGAACTGGCCCTCGTTTGTGGCAGCTCCTGCAATTATCCGCGGTCCTCTACGCGCTGGCCGACAGCCACAGTCTGAAATAAAAATTACGATTATAAACTTGGTAGGTAGCACTTTTTAGTTTACAATGGGATTGCTTTTTCTTAACATTGTTATAATATTAATTTCATTATGTCCCGTATCAACTAATTTACATATTAGCTGATTAATAGTTTCGTCACCTCCCGTAGTAGTAATTAAATTTTGAGGTGTTGAAATACCAAATGCGATCGATCAATCTTGCCAATGATTTTCGCTTCGTTAACGTGTTAATTTTCCTAATTCAAACAAATAATTATACGACACAAAGCATAAGTTATTAGTTATTATTACAGTAAATAATTTTCTGTAAATGTAATTTTAAACACTGTTCTACTAAAATCTGGTAATCTGGTTTCATTAAATTTAACAGAAAATAATCATATGTGGATATAGATATTAAAAGCCAAATGAAATAAGTTATAATAGTTGTAATCCAAATTTTTCAATCTGGTTTAAATTTATGGTAAAATTATTTTATTTAAGTTATGATGGTTGAGATTGGTATATATAAATATATTAAAATAGTATCCAGTGTGTTTCAAAGTTAACTGAGTTATTTGATGTTTGACTTTCTTTGCTATTAATTTCTGGTGGATTTGTTACTGTTTTATTGTGTAACACTCGTTTCTTTCCATAGTTTTGGACCTACCCGTCTCAAACTGCCTGGAAGAGGGCAGCAGTAGCAGGAGGCACAGCCAGCTCAAGGTCGCTGAGTTAGCCACTGGAGGCTGCCAGTGGCCTTGCGAGTGTGACCGCGAGTGTGACTGCGAGTGTGACCGTGACTGTGACCGTGACTGTGTCTGTGATGGCTTCATCATCTTGGCGGCCGCTCCTCGGGCAGCTGGCGCAGCTCAGCTGCTCATCGCGCGCATGACTGACCCACAGAGGCCGTTTACGGAGATGTCTCTTCAGATAGATATAGTATCTGTATCTGTGGCTTTGTCCTGCTGGCGATGACCAGATGCTTTTCACTTTCACGCTGTCAGTCGAATGGGCGGTCGAGGGTTTTTTTCCGGGGGACTGTTTCGGGTACGGGGTACCGGGAACTGGGAACGGAGGCGGATCGCGCTTTTTCCCGGCTTTAAGTATTATAATTAACGAGGTCTCCCAGCTTCGCTTTGCTTTTCTTTCCACGACCGCGCATTAATTAGTCCGCTGGCTGGGCGGCGTCGACATGGCGATTTGTGCGCAGAAGCTGGCGTTTCAGTTTTTGGCCAGAAAGAAGCCCGTTTCTGCAGTTTCCACTCTCGATTATATAACGACTTTAGATGCTGGTCGGGCCTAAGGGGCTCTACGATAATAACGGTCACTTCTCGGCTGCTTTTCGTTTTCGTTTCGATTTCTTTGAGCGCGTGCGCATGCGCGACCAGCGGAGTTTGGTGTTTTGACGGCTTTTGATTTGGCTTTTTATTTGGCGCCAGGTGCGAGTGCGAATCGCTGGGGACGAGCGCCAAAATGCAACTGTGCTCTGCTCGGGTTTGCCAGCAAACATTTACCGTTTCGATGGCGGAGCGGCGCGGCAGACGTCGACGGCGACGTCGACTGCGGCGGCGTGGCGGTGTGGCATGCCCCCGCGCCAGCAGCAACAAAAGCGGAGCCATGCCAACGAAAGTGAAAAGATGGCGGGACGGGAGGGGACGGGGCAATCAAAAGACACACAGATGATGGCCAGCTGAGATGGCGATGGAAAAGGGTAAGTTGGCCCGGCTCAACCCACGGAAATCATTTACCGTGGAAAGTGGCATTACAAGAGAATAAATTAGGCAGCAAATAGTGATTATTTCGCTTTGTTTGGGCTTTAAATGAAGCCCAATGCTTGGCTAGGCCCTGAATACCCTAGATGATTTTATAACTTCAAGTTTATTTGCATATTCATCAATGATGAACGCATAAGTAATACTTTGTTTTGACATTTATTTCCTGATTAAAATTTAACAAAATTATCATTTAAAACGTTCTACTTTCGAGTGAGTGATTAATGTGTGAGTTGGGGTTTCACTAAGAAACTAACCTTAGGTGATTATTGAGAAATTCTTGAAAAAAGGTGTAGAGGAAGTTGATAATTAAAAAAAATAAAAAGACAGTTAATTATATGTGACTTACATTAAACTAAACATAAGTTTGAAGTTTAAGGCTAGGGCCGTTGTGAAACTAGTAAATTAGTCATACATAATTTATTTATTTTCTTGTATTTATATCGTAGAAAACAAGATATACAAATATTTCCAGAAACTAAAATAAATTTGTTCAAAAATATTAATAATCGAAAACAAAAAGCAAATTATAATTCAGCACTTTATAAGAGCTATTCAATTAACCCATAGTTGTTTTGTAATTCTTCTATTACGATCCTTTGAATAAATGACAGTTTAACCCCATTTCACAAACAAGTTGTGAGTTTAAAGTGCTGATTGCATGCGAGCAGGGCATTGTATCTGCCAAGTAAATGTAAAACTGTAGTAATTGTCATTCAAGTGGGTCATTACCATAATTATTTATTTGTTTCTATTTTCGTTTGAGAAAACTATTGATGACTGCGAATTCGATTTTGACATTAGAATAAGCTAGCTGACCGTAAACGATATAGTTAGATAAGAGAGCACATCCATTTGATCTTACATTCGTGACGCCGTTCGATCGATTCCACCAATTATCTAATCTCATTTAAATGCGAACGGCTGCATAGGTCGTGCAACATTGGATTGCCTCGTATGTTATATATAGCATCCGATCCGATCGATCGGTTTGCTACCCATTAATTGCCGCCCGAATGCCAGTTTGTGTCATTGCGGCATTCGGAGTGCATTTTTTCCCTATTCCACGCTGGTTATGTGTGCCATTTAAGTGAGTAATTAGCGGGCAGCTATTCAACGCCTGTTTCAATGTAAGATGTCAAGTGATTAGTTTAATTGCGATTAGTTTAAAATATGCGCATAATTCCGGACTGCCCCCAACCGAGAGTGAATGATGTGGCGTGTGGCTGCCCGATCCGATGGTTTAAGTGAGTGTCTGTATGTGAGTGCGAGTTACTTTCGTTTTCATTACGCGACGAAGGCAGCAGCAGCAGCAGCAACATCAGCAGCAGCAACAGCAGCAACTACCACGACTCGAATTCCGTGTTGATGCACAAACTCATAAGTCATGTTGCTTGTTGCTGCACCACAGCAACATACACAAAGCCAATGGGGAAGTTGTTAATGCAACACCACCAAGAGCAACAGCAACAGCAGCAACAGCAACAGCCAACAGCAACTGCATCGGCTGGGGAAGTTTTATTTGTGCAGTCGATTGATCATTTAAGCCAAGACGTAGCCTGTCAATTTGTTGTGGTGGGCGTTGGCATTTGTACGGCATTTGCCGTTGTTGTTCAATTAACAGGCGCCTTTGACGATGACTGACGAACTTGTAGTGCCCATACCCCATACCCCTTACCCATACCCACCGGATAATCAAAATCAGAAACTTGAAATCCGAAAATCGCTTGCCCAATCGAAGACAATTTGAAGAAAAGTTCCCCGCTCGTCGGCGACTGATGGGAACTTTCCCGCTGCGTTGCGAAAATAATAACAATAATGGCTGTGTGCTTTGGCATTTAATTGAAATCGTAAAACAGCCAGTAGAAAAATAAGTTTTTACGCATGCCTCTGAGCCGCGATGCGATGACAATCGACGGAAGCATTGCGGGTCAAGACGGCAACGTACCAATTGGTCAGGCCAGACAAACTGGGCACGTAGATCAGCCGGAGTCGGGAGAAATCGAAGTTCGGGACCTTGAATGTGTCCGAGTGCAGGGGCTGCAGTTTCTCTGCTGCAGTTGCCGTCGCAGTTATCCAATGGACATTGCATCATAGCGGCAGCAACATGTGCCTGTGCCTGTGCCTGTGGCTCTGCCCGTCGATCGGCGGATGCTCTGCTAGAGTTCGAGAAACTCGACAATTAGACAAATGGTAGGCTGGAAAACTCCACTACCACGCAGCTGATCGATATCGGGCAGCATTTGCATGCCAGCAGCGCAACAGCAGCAACTACAATCCTAAAGATGCGCGCATTACATTACCAACAACAACCCATGGTGGTAACAACAACAACGGGCGCTTTCCACCCGACTGGCGATCAGATGAAAACGAAAGTGCTTCAAGTGGTTAGCCAGCTGCTGCTGCTGTTGCTGCTGATGTTGCTCCTACCGCTGTTGCTGCACAGCAGCAACTCGAGTCGCACGTTTCCAAGCTGATGCTGCTGCGGCTGCTGCTCAAATTTATCTACCGCCTCGGCTGTTGTGTGTTTCCTGTATCTCCAAGTTTATGTTTGCTGCTCTTGTGTTGCTGTGTTGCTGTTGCATTGCCTTTGTGTTGCTGTTGCTGTTGCCACTGACAGTGGCAATGGCAATTTCAATGGCAATGGCAACGGCAACGCTTGCCACATCCATTTGCCGCCCATGCGAACTGTTTTGCTTGGCTTTTGTCAAACAAAGAGACTCTTGCAGACAGGCAATTTGACTTTGCCGATGCCCATATAATTAATTGTTTTATTGTTATTTCATCTCGAGTTGAGTAACTGCCAGGGGATACAGATACAGCTATCGACGTCTATATCGGCGGCATTTTCGCTGGCGATTGCGTAACAACTTGTGACAGCACAGAAGCTCAAGGGTAATTAGTTTGACAAACTCTGAAAGCAAATCTTGTTGCTTTGGCGTCTGTCTAGGGTTAATGTACTTGTCATGCGGGTCTTACTTTGGCCACCCGACTGGAACCGAAAGTTCTCTGAAGTTTTTGCTACATTCTGAGCCAGCTTACCTTTTCGCCTTTGCATATTTCTCTGGGTAATTCATGTTTGCGGTGGGTACTTTAATATTTGTTTTTACATTTTAATGTATACTTTATAATTGTTGGCTAATTACCACGTTTATGAGGCTATTACGCCTTAAAATCCAAAGTATACATTATGATTTATACAATGATACTTAAATAAAATTTAGCATACAACTAATCATTGACTTTCCTTTTTAATATAAAATATTAGCTACAAATCAATAACTTCGCTGGAAAAGTAAGAAGAAAATACAGATGCAAGTCTATTAAAGTCATCTTAAATTAATGATTGTCATTACATTTAGTTCGACTGAGTTTAGTGCATGCTGTTTTTATAGGGGACCAATTAAAATTAAAATTTTATGATTTTATCAAAAACTGAAGTTTTGCATAAGTAAGATATTTAAGACGTCAAAATATTTATGATTTATTTTCTAACAATAAATGTATTAATAGTCAATAAAAGAGGAATTACAAACGTATAGTCTTTCACGAATAGACTTAAGTTGCATACCATATGCAAAAATAGATTCATCCTCTTTGTTAGGGTATTTGCCTTTCGTCAAACTCAAACACCATTTTATGAGTTTGCGCTGTACGTATTTGAGCGTGTTTAATTGCAGGCAACTCAAACAATTAGTGGCTGTTAATGCAATAAATTTGAATTAACGTGCATCTGTATATTGGTTTTGCGGCGCCGAGTCGTGCGGAGTTTGCCCCGCGGAATTCCGAATTCCGAATTCCGAACCCCGATCAACAGGTGTGGGAAGCCCCATAAAAACATAATCACAGATGAGCTACCATTTGGCTAACCAGCTTTCCTCTCTTTTCGCCAGACAATGGGACTCGGACTGGATTGGGCTGACTTTCCACATCTGGGCTAACAAGAGTGCACAGTTTAGGTGGTATGGCAAGGGCCCATTGTGTACGGGCATTTGGCCATTCCGATCGGCCGGAGAGCTTTCCATCCAGCGGGCCACACAAGATGCCGCCTAATAGCGTCTCACCTGCTGCAGTCGCGCTGGAAGCTGTTTCTTTTTATTAATAGCAATTAGTTGGATGGCGAAAAAAAGGCAACAAATATATGTGCCCGCTGCCTGGAAGTTGCGGCCTCTTGTTTGTTTTCGTTTTCGTATTTTTCGATTTGGTTTATCCGCGTTTTTCCTCGCTTTTCTTCTAGCGCTTGTTTTATGTGGCGCAAAATTTGCGGTTTCCATGTGGCGCTGATGCGAAATCGCGGTAAATGAACAGCTCGTCGAGTGGCTGTGTGAGCGGAGATATATGCTTGTCAAGTGGCAAATTATTCGGCCCGGCATTTAGGCGACTTGAACTCGATTGAACCCGGCCGAAGCGGCGACTCCCCCGGGAGACCGTCTAATCAAGGTGAGTTCGAATTAAATACGAAAATTATGTCATGCCGTCCGAGATTGTGGCGCAGTGCAGAGATGGCACAGTCAGATAAAGCCAATTACCCAACACAAACAAGTACGAGCGAGATGCAGACGGCAAAGAAAAGCAATAACAGTGAGCCTGCACAATTACTAATTGCATTTTAGATTGAGGCCTGTCAAAAGCCAAGGCAATTGGATAAATTTGATTTTCAAATGAGCCAGCCCGCAATCAGCGGATCGGCCTAAG